CTGGAGCCCACTCCTTCATCCTCAAACTCCCTCCCTGCGGTGCCACCTCCGTGCAGCTAGAGGAGTCTTTCTCAAAGTGGGTTCCTGGGACACTGGGCAATAAATGGTTTAGAAAATCCTCTACCCGCTTCTGGAAGCCCCTTGCCCACCGGCACGGCCAGGGCTCTGAGAGCACTCCCACACCTGCCCATGAGCCCTGGGTTTCTGAACACGGGGCGCGGTGCCCACACCCTAACCTAGGAGCCCCAGACAACATCGTGGGTGGGTGCGTCCCCGGGGCGTGGTCTTACCCATGCAGACGCCGTTCTGCCGGATGAAGCCAGGGGGGCACCAGGCCTGGCCCACGCTGCTCAGGGTCCCGGGGTGTGGCCTCAGGGAGACCCAGGCGTGGTAGGCACCCCTGGGGAGGAGGGCTGGGGGCCGCGGCCAGGGCGCCAAGGGGCCCAGGTGGCTGACGGTGGTCACGTTGGGCACACTCCGCCCCACCGGGGTGCAGGCCTTGCCGTCCGGGAGGAGGGCGTGGCCTGGCGGGCACAGGCAGCGGAAGCTGCCCTGGAGGTTGTGGCACTGGAGGGCACAGGGCCTGGGCAGCTGCAGACACTCGTTGATGTCTGGAAGGAGGGAGGAGGGGGCGGGCCGAGGGCCGAGGGAGGCTCAGGGCTCCCATGGCTGCCTGGCCTTGCCCAGAAGCTACTGCCTCCTCTCTCCCCCTCTCCCTCCTGCCTCCACTGCTCAGAGGCCTCATCCCCTCCGACCCCCCGACTCTGAGCTGAATCCCAGGGTCCAGCTGTCCTTCAGCCTCTCCCTCCAGGTTCCTGGAGAGGCCCCTCCTTCTTCCTAAGCTTCTCGGAGACCTGCCCACCTCTCTCCACCCTCCTCCCCCTGGGCTCCCCGGGAAGGTGACCTTGCAGGGCAGGGGTGAGGTCTGGGGGACAGGCGGGCAGGGATCCGGGCACATGGTGAGCGCACGACAGCGTTGGCTGCCTGGCTATCTGGTTACTCGTGGGACGTCGCTCTGGTGGGGAACACTCCCTGCCTGTGTCCCATACCGAGGCAGGGCAGGCCGGGGCCCTGGGTCCGGTACCCCCGGGGGCAGCTGCAGCGGTGCCCGCCCGGGCTGTTCGCACAGATCTGCGTGTAGTGACATTCGTCAGACCCCTCCAGGCACTCGTCCACATCTGGGAGGCAGGGGAAGCGGCAGCGGATATGGCACATGTCTGCCATCCGGACCTGGCCCCCCTTCACTGGACAGATGGCAAGCCTGAGGCCCCGGAGAGACCCTCCCGGGGCCAGCAGCCAGGCCAGGCCCAGCGCAGACCCCTGGGACCCGGCGTAGGCTCCCTCCCTGCCTCGCCGTGCCCCGTCAAGAGGGTACCATTTCCCAGAAGGCCCAGCGTCCCAGTGACAGGGTGAACCCTGGACAACCCCCCCCCGCCGTGCCCGTCACCTTCACAGGCAGCCCCATCAGCCGCCACCCGGAAGCCAGGCCCGCAGTCGGGGAGGCAGCGGTAGGACCCCAGCAGGTTCACGCAGCGCTGCCGCTCTGGGCAGAGGTCAGAAGGCCACGCACACTCGTCCACATCTGGGGGTGGACAGAAACAGGGGCCACGTGAACAGGAGCCCCCAGGCCCCCGGCCCCAACGCTGGTCTGGCTTCCCCGCAAGGGCTTAGTCTCAGGGACGAAGGTCGTGGCCTTCCTGTGAGCCCTGTCTGTCACCTTGGCACCCCCACAAGCACAGAGCCCCCCCCCCCCGGGGCTTGAGGCTGCCTCTGATGGAGGCTTTGGACAATGCCCCGTGGGCACCTAATGAGGTGTAACGATGCCAGGCCCCGGTGGTGGGAGTGGAGGGACAGATCGGGGGTCAGCGTGTCCGGACAGTGCCCTAGGGTCTGATTCGTTGTCTGGCAACTTGGCTGAGGGGACAGGCAGAGCCAGCAGGGGGCGCAGGGGTCAGCTCACCTCCAACCCCAGGAGACTAGAAACGGCTGCTGTGTGAGGGGCAGCTGGCAAGGCTGTGCCAGGCTCAGCGGGCATGAACGCCCTGAGGCTGGGGGGCCACGTGGATGTCTCTGGGATCCCCATCACCCCCAGCACTTGAGTCTCTCCACCTCTGGCCCTCCTCACAGGAAGTGCCAGTGGGAACAGGGCACGGAACACCCCCCTGGCATCCAGTGGCCCCCGGAACAGACCATCCCCTGGGTGATTCTAAAATGACCCCCCATCCCCCCCACACACCCGGGCCAGGTCCCAGGGGAGCTGGTGCCCCGGGGCCACCCACCTCTGCAGTGCCTGTCGCCCCGGCCGGGGCGGAGCCAGCCGGGCAGGCGCAGGAGAAGCGGCCGGGGCCGTGGTGGCTGGAGTGGGACCAGGGGCTGGGCCCACGGGAGCTCTCGCCCCTGTCTGCGGCCGGACAGCTGGTGGACCCCACGCACAGGCCCTCCTGACAGCTGCCCGACGGCTCGCCCGGCCCAGGCTGAGGCACCCCCTCCCTCTGCCAGGCAGGGCCAGGTGCTCACCCGCGCAGAACTCTCCCTGCGAGTCCGGCTCAAAGCCCTCGGGGCAGCCTTCGCTCTCCTCTGCAAGCAGAGAGGACAGGATGCCAGGGACAGGGCAGCCTGGCTCACCCTCCCCCCCCCCCGCCAGCGGGGCCAGGCCGAGGTCCCCTAAGCCTCTGTCCCGAGTCCGGCCAGCCCCCAGGTGTCAGCAGGCCCATTCCCAGCCCAGGCCGTGGTTGTGGGTCACGCCATGAGGGGCTCACGCGGGCTGCCTGACCGAGGCTGGCATTCCCCGAAATCATTAATGAGGGCGAAGCTGCGGTCCTGACAGGGCAGAGGGGCCCGGGACGGGGACAGCACCCTTCATCAAGCAGCCGCTGGGCGCCGGGGGTGGGGGAGGTTACAGAGACAGCACCTCTACTCCCGCACCCTGCGAGGCAGGCGGTGCCATGCCCATTTCACAGATGGGCACACGGAGGCTCAGAGAGGCCTGGGCTCTGCCCCCCGGGTCTCCCAGCCGAGGAGTGGGGTGGCTGGGTTGGAACCGGGGTCTTCTGCCTGACCTCAAAACTACCCTCTTACAACTAACTGCTCCATGTTCAAGGTTAAACCACGCTAACAGGCATGTTGTTAGCCGCCAGGGAGTGAGAACGGCGGCGTGTTCACCCCGGCTGCCAGGGGACCGGAGGGGGGTCTCTGATGCAGGCACCCTGGGAGGAAGGCAGGGATGACTCAAGTCTTGACCCTCAGCATGGGGGTGGTTTGGACCTTGACCTTGGGGCCCGAGGGTTTGAACAGGAGCAGCCTGCACAGCTGTGCCCCGCTGGGGTGCGGATGGATGGGTGGATGGAAACAGGGGTGAGCTGTTTCAGTCCTGAGTCTCTGGTCTCCGGTCCGGGGGTGCAGGGTGGGCTGTCGCCAGGGCCCTCAGCCAGGTGCCTCTGAGGCCGTCCCGCTGTGTGTGGGGCGGGGGGTGGGGACAGGGCAAGGGCTGTGAGCAGGGCGGGGGGTGGGGTGGGGTGGGGACAGGCAGGGCCTCACCGGCTCGCAGGGCGGTGGAGAGCTGGAAGCGCAGGGCCTCGGCCGCGGGGTCGAAGGCCGCGCTGACGGCCGAGGCCTGCAGGTGCTGCACCAGCTGGGGCTGCGGGCCCCGCGCCTTGTCGTACCGGATGCTGTGGTTGCAGCGCAGGGACACGGGCCGGCTGCCCTGCAGGAAGTGCTGCGTGGAGCCCGCGAAGAGCTGGCCGGGCCCCGTCTGCACGTACCGCTCCTCAAAGTCCTGGGAGAGGGGGAGGGAGCACGCCCGGGACTGCAGCTTCCAACAGCGCTGCCTCCAGCCAGGCCGTCTCGGGGACGGGGACGGGGAGAATGCCCCGAGAGGCCGGCCCCAAGCATCTTCCTACTCGCCTCCCTCCCCCCCTCCCCGAAGTCCAAGGGTAGGCCAGCCCCAGGCCCTGTGGGGTGTCAGGATGGCGGCAGGCAGGGCCCCCGCGGACTCTCCCGCAGCCCTCTGCGCCCCGGGCCGGCCCGCACCTGCGCTCGGAGCTCTGCGTCCGCCAGGCCCTCGGGGAGGACGCCGTGGACCGCCACGTCCAGGAGCAGGAGGCCGTCAGGATCCAGGCCCCGGGCCACCTGGGTCATCGTCAGCCGCTCCCCTGCAAGCCAGCCCCATCCAGCCGGAGTCACCGCGGAGCGAGGCCCTGGGCTCAGGCCCAGCCCCCCCCCCCCACCCGCCTGGGGCACCCCCTCTCACCTGTAGAAAACTCCATGTGCGACTCCTGCTGGAAGGTGCCCCCCGTCAGGGAGTGGCCGTTCAGGGCGTCGCCACGCTCTCCGGCCAGTGCCCAGTAGAGGGGGGCGATGGCGACCACGAGGACCCGCATCAGAGGCCCTGGGTGGGGCGGGGCGGGGAGGCCAGATGCTGAGGGGGCCACACTTCTCCTCAAGGCCCCCCTGGGACTCCCCAGGAGAGCTCAGCCCCAAGGTGACCTGGGCCCGTGACTGGACCGGAACCAGCGGCAGAGGCCAGTCGCTACCTCGTGGAAGAGGTGTGAAATCAGCAGAGCTTTTATGCATGCACTGAAGTGCATGGAACGTGCTGACGTTTTACTCAGTTCCACCAACACTGGGGGCGACTAGGTCACCCCGGAGCCTGGGACTGCACAGCCCCCTGGTGGTCAGTGCATGTCCTAGCAACCAGTCATTCCACTGTCTGGTCGATTTGCATATTAGCCTTTTATGATATAGGATGTATGTACATGTTCCTCATCTGAGGACATGCTTAGAGAGAGGGAGAGAAGAAGAGAGGGGTGGGGTGGGGGAGAGAGGGAGAGAGAAACATTGATGTGAGAAACATTGATTGGTTGCCTCCTGACCAGGAATCGAACTGGCAACCTTTTAGTTCCCTGGACAGCACTCCAACCAACCGAGTCACTGCAGCTAGTCTCTGTCTACCTTTAAATGCACTCGCTCTGTTTTGTTTGGGGGTTCTGGGTGGCTTGGGCTCAGCTCTTAGAGGTGGCTGCACTTCCTCCGGGAGCCGGGCTGGAGTGGCCTCGGAGCCCAGGCTGTGCCTCCTTCCGGCTCTGCACGGGGGCCGGTCCCCACTCACCCACACTCGCAGGGATGTGGTTGATGCTGCTCCGGAAGGTGGTGAGCCCCGAGCGTGCCTCCTGCTGCACGCTGGCATTGAGAGTGGCCATGCCAAGCTCCTCGCCGTTGATCACCCCGATCACGCTGCCCCGGGCCCCCTGGGGCTGCCCTGGGAGGAGGGAGAGCCGCTGTGACATTACCCACCGCCGTGCCCTCAGCGTAAGCAGCTGCTGTACCTGTTTCCCGGAGGAGCAGCTGAGGCTCAGAGAGGTGACGTAACTTGCCCACGGGCACCCAGCTGGTGGGTGATGGTACCAGCTTCTAACTCTGGCTCTGCCATCACCTGCCTGGAAACTGGGGCTCGTCAGTCGGGCCTCCACACCACACCTGAGTTGGCTTGTCCATCAAATGAGGGTGTGGGACCAAAGACATGTCCCAAAGCTGTTGGCATGCTGGAGGAGCCAGGCCGAGGGGCAGGGCACCAAGCCAGGTGCTGAATGCCACCACCGGAATGCCCCCCCCATGCCAACAGTGGCCTTAGCTCCAGCTGACCTGCAGTGGACCTGGCTGGTGGGTGGTGGGGGGAGACCCTCAGGGGGGCTGGGGTTGAAGGAGCTGCCAGGATGTCTGGAAGCAGACGCCCTTCCGCGCTAATCGGATCGATGGCGTGGGCACGGGGCTGCTGCCTCCGGCCAGCTGCCTCGTTTGGCAGATGGCATTCCAGGGGAGGAGACACAGGAGGCAGCCTGCCTCGGCGCTCACGGCTCTCCAGGGAAATTAGCAACCAATTGCCCACCATCTGTCCGAAGACATAACATCAGACGGAACCGCCGGGCTCCTAATTGGGTAAATTCGGGGCGGGTGAGTTCTGGAATCCAGGAAGTGGCGCCGTTTCCGCAGCCCAGAGCTGGGGTCTGGCCAGAGGCTGCCCAGCAGGGACGTCTCTGGTCAGTATCTGCTGCCCTGACGTCACGGCCGGGCCAAGAAACAGCCACGAACCTGCCCTTGGCCTTGTCATGCGGGGATGAGGCAGAAAGTGGGAGCTGCGGGTAAGGGCAACAGCATGGCCCCCTGGGGACTTAAAAGGGGGGAACTGGACAGGAGTGACAAGCCACTGGCGGCTTTCTCAGACATGGGGTGACTCAGCAGCCACCTGTGTCCCACAAGGCCAGGATGGGCCCCCCAAGACTCCTGGGAAAGGAGAGAAGACAAGTCCGCTGCACACCGTTTACCTGGCGATGCCGCCTTAAGCATTTTCTGTTTCCCTCGAAGACATTTACCTGGGGGGACACTGGGAACAAACCTGTGGCTGATTTCACAAAGCCAACGACAATGACGCTGGGAAACGCCGCTGTGGAATGAATGGCATGGAGCCGGGGAGACGGTGCGGCCTGGGCTTCCTGCCACGGAGTGCCGTACGGCACCCCCGGGCCACGGCAGGTGGTAGAGACGCCTGTCTGTGCGATCTCAGTCGTAAGAGGAAAAGCCTATCTCTTTGTATTTGGAGGGAAAAGCGCGTAGGAAGATATATTCCCAGACAACCTCAGCCAAAGCTCTTTCTGGACATTGAATGACAGAGGTGATTGATCGTTCCTTTTTCTTCACAGATTTTTCTAAATCACCAGGCCTTTCGACAACAAACATAAATGAAGTAAAAAGCAGTTGTTCCCACTAAAAAGGTAAGGAGACCCGCTGGCGTGGCTCAGCAGCTGAGCATCAACCTATGAACCAGGAGGTCATGGTTCGATTCCTGGTCAGGGCACGTGCCCAGGTTTTGGGCTTGATCCCCAGTATGGGGCGTGTAGGAGGCAGCCGATCCATGATTGTCTCTCATCATTGATCTCTCTCTCTCTCTCTCTCTCTCTCTCTCCTTTCCTCTCTGAAATCAATAAAAATATCTTTTAAAAAATATTTAAAAAACGTAAGGAGACCATTATGTCCCCCTAAAAAGGTATGTTGAGTTTTTCAAGTGTCAAGTCCCAGTTCCAAGTGTCCTGAGCTGCTGCCTGGGACAGGGTTCCGTGGGGAAGGAAGCTGCATCGTGTGCAGCGATAGATTAGTGATGTCTGCCACGGACAGGGCCAGAGAAACAGCCACAAATGGGGAGTATTTACAAAACAACAGGAGCCCAGAAATGATACTCAGCGACTTCCCATCCCTCGGGCTGGGCATGTTATGGAGGCTCAGGATAGCCATCTCATCCGTTTCAAAGTGTGGGCTGCCTCAAGCGGGAGGATGCTGACTGCAGAGGCCGACCGACCGGCAGGGGTGGTGCGCTGGGAGCATCCGTGGCTACTGGGCACCCACCCGGCCAGGCAGAGCTGCCAAGTGTCCAGAGAGAGGACCTGGGTCTGTGCCAGGTGAGCTGAAGAGCCCGAGTCCCTGATCTGACATGAGCTGGGAACACAGAGCATCTCGGACCCTCGGTTCTCTGACTGCACGGGAGAGGGCAGACACCATGCCCCATGAGGCCCTCCCAGCTGGTTCATTCGATGTCGGTGACCCTCAGCAAAGGGAAGAGTTGGGGAGCTATCAGGGCAGGGGGCCAGGTCCCTCACAGACGACACACAGACCCCCATTTGGCAGGCGATCCCGCCTCGGCCCGCGGTCTGGGCCGGGACGCCTCGCACCTGTCACAACCAGGGACGCCCGGGCGGTGGCGGAGCCCAGGGGATTGTGAGCGACGCACTCGTACGTGCCCGCGTCCCCCGCCTCCACTCGCTCCAGCCACAGGCTCCCGTCCGGCAGGGGCCGCAGCCGCCGGCCGGCCCGCAGGGGCTGCCCCGCACGCAGCCACTCCACCGTGGGCGCCGGCTCGCCAGCGGCCTGGCACCGCAGGGCCACGTCGTCCCCGGATCTCGCGGTCACGTCCTGGGGCTCCACCTGGAACACCGGGGCACCTGCAGGAGGCCCGGGCAGCTTTCAGGAACGTTCTATTCCTTCCAGGTGTTCAAGCGACACACTCATCTCAACAGAACAGAAGGCACAGAGGCAGAAGGCAGAGAACCACAGGAGGCCCCCGGGCCAGTGCCCTTCCTGTAGGGCCTTCCAGACGCCGTCTCCTTGTGGGAATGTGACCACAGTGCCCGCAGGGCTCGGTGGCTGAGCGTCAGCCTAGGAACCGGGAGGTCATGGTTTGATTCCTGGTCAGGACACAGGCCCGGGTTTTGGGGGCTTGATCCCTAGTGTGGGGTGTGCAGGCGGCAGCCAATCAATGATTCTCTCTCATCATTGATGTTTCTATCTCTCGCTCCAACCCCTTCCTCTCTGAAATCAATACAAATATATTTTAAAAAAAGAATGTGACCAGTGTCCTCCCTCCTTTCCTCCCTCCCTCCCTCTTTCCTCCCTCCCTCTTCCCGTTCTAGTAGAGATCATGATCCCCTTTCATGTCATTAAATATCATCTTCGGGGGCTGCACGGTGCTGCGTGGCTGGTTCTGTCATCCCTCCCCCCCCCCCGTAGCCACCCCCCACCTCGGGACATTGGGGTGCTTTCCAATGGGGGGGCCGCTTGCCGGTGCTGCCATTATCTGACGCCACGTGAGCGGGCACTCGGCTCTGTCCCTGGTGAGTGCTTCTCACCAAGCCACTGCTTCGCCCTTGGCGTTCTCTCTGAACGATGGTCCTTCCTGTCCACGGACGGCCACAGCCCTCGGGGCGCCGCCATGAGGACGCTGGGAAAGGCCGTGCAGGTGAGGAGACGGCGCGGAACGCACATGCAGGTGGAAGCGGACACTGGTCCACGTGCTGTGGGGACCGCTGCCCAGCGCATCCGTCTCCCGTGGCCGCTGGAACCCACGGCCCCAGGCTGGGTGCTCAGAGCCCGTGCCGGAGGCCGGGAGCCCCTCGCCAGGTGTTTCCAGGGTGGATCCGGGGCTCCAGGGGACCATGGCTCCCTGCCTGTCCTCGTAGCCACTAGGGCTGCAGCAAGTCTGGCTCAGTCCTTTGCCTTTGCACGTGTTCTTTTTGCTTGAACATCCCCCCGATTGTCACTGGATGCTGCCTTCTCATCCTTTGGATCTTAAAACTTCGTCACCCCTTCTGCAAGCCCTCTCCTTATCAACTCCCCCCCCCCACCCCAGATTGCCTGAACTTGGGACCACCCCACAGCCACGCAGATGCCTCCATGAAGCCTTGTCGCCTTCAATTTCCCACCAGTTTGGCTGTGATGCATGTGAGTTTTTCTCCGTTTCTTGACTTTGTGGGTTCATGTCTTTTGAGGAACGTGAGGCCCCTCCGAGGCTCAGCCTGTGCTCTGCACACTGCATACCGCCTGGCCAATCCAGGGCTGTCACGATGAGCTTGGCGCAGCTCTGAGTTTTGAGTCCCCCTGGGCTTGCCTGTGGGGTCCTAGGTGCTTGTGAGCCCCGACCCTGACTCCCAGTCCACCCCGGGGGACGTTCCACAGGACTGCGATGTGTGTTCCTAATAAACGTCTTAAAGAAATTCCAAGTCCCAGCCCTGCCTCTCGCCTCCATTCTTATCAGAGCTCCCAGGCCATAGCAGCCCCGCCTTGGCACAGCCTTCCCTGGACGCTCCCTCACACCGCCCCACCCCGGGCCCCAAGGGTGAGGCGGGCACTCACTCTGCAGCAGGAGGACCACCACCTTCTCCGCGGCGCCCATCTCGTTCTCTGCCAGGCACTGGTACCGCCCCGAGTCGCCCATCTGCAGACGGGCACAGGAGAGGGACATAGTGTTCAGGAGGATGAGGGGGAGAGAAGCAGCTGGGCACAGCAGGGCACAGCTGGGGTGTCTGGAGCCAGGCCCATCTAACCAGGAGGCAGCTCAGAGCCTAAGCCAGCCAAGGGCCCACAGACTCCACAGAGAATCCACCCCCTTCACACCTGGAACCTGGGGATGGGGTGGGGGAGGGGACGACTGAGGCCACGGACTCCCTGGGGGGTGGGGTACATGCTACAAAAGGTGATTGAGAGCGCCTCTCCCAACCGTGCACGCTGAGGTTTTATCACTCCATGGTGCACGCTGAGGGATCCCGTTAGGATAAAGAGGCCAGTAAGTGTGGGAATACCCAGTGAGTGAGCAAAAAGCCATCCAAGTGCCAGGCCTCCTCAGGGTGTTTCCTGGGCCTGTTTGCACGGCCCGTTCTCCAGAGAGGAGGCAGGTGGCCGCGTTTCCCCGCTTAGCGGCAGGGAAGCTGTGTTCCCAGGCCATCGCGACCATGGATGGTGACAGCTCATTTCAGAGTGGAAGCACTGCCCCGAGAGAGAGCTCAGGGCGGCCTGTGGCCACAGTCCATGCCCAGAGACGGTACCACAGAAGCAGCTTCGGGGGGTGGGGGGGGACTGTCCAACAGAGGGCAGTATTTCAACACTACCCTACCAGGGTGACAGCCCTCCAGGACTCCCAATGGGGTTTTCTTTTCAGAAGCCTAGAATTCATTACGAGGGTGCTGTTACCAGAATACACACAAGAGGGCGCTATGGAAACACCCTCTTACTAGAGTGCTGATCTCCGAATGTCCAAATGGGGGTGCTACTGCACCTAATCCCATACTAAGGTGCCACAAACAAGGTCCCAGGACCAAACTGGAATTTCAACTAAATTATAAAACAATTATCCTGAAGTTAGTGATCCGAACTGAGTCATTCCCTCAAGCTGGGGAGTGTACCTTTCTCAGGCAGATCACTGCTGCCCAGGAGGTTGACCTACCCTATTGGAAACACACCTAGCCCCATGGTGTGGAGTTTCTGAGGACCATTAAGAGACTGAGAATAACCATTAGCCTCCAGGCAGAAGGAATTGCCCCACCCTGTTGGAAAACCTCTCACCACACCTGTGGACAATTGCCTGAGAACTACTCAAGACTGAATCCAATCAGTCTGCAGGCAGAGGTCTCTGGATGCTTTGGGTCTTTGCCTGATCTAATTAGTCAGAAACAGTGTCTGACACTGTCCAGCTCTAGAGATTGAGAGGCATAGCTGATCTCAGTCTCCTAGAATTCATTACCAGGGTGCTCTTTTCAGAATATCCATAGGTGGGCACTATTGCAACACCTGCCTGCACACAGTTAAAAGTGTAGATTTGGGGGGCCAGACCAATATGGGATGAGATTCTGGTCCATTGTTAACCGTACTGAAGCCACTACTAGACATCACCATGTTTCTGGGGTCTCAATTCCCCCATCTCTAAAATGGGGATAACAACAGCTAGGATTGTTGTGGCATCAAGTGAAATCATAGTCATCCAGTGCCTGGTACGTATGTGGTCAGAGTAGCCATTATTCCTGCTGCAGTTACTGCTACTGTGCTGTCAACGCCAGTCCCATGATTAGTGCTATCTAGGGACAGGCTCCCAAAGGGGCAGGATCAAGGACCCCTAAGATGAGCCTGACAGGAGTGAACGGTGGATTTCCGCATGACCCCAGGACTTGGGACACAGAAGGGAAGATGCAGGGGGGCTGCCCAGGGCACAAGGCTTTGGAAACAGCATGAAGTAAGAGTCAGGAGAGCCGGGGTATGCTCCTGCCTCGGGGCCTCTTGGCTCTGGGCCTCTCTGACCCTCAGTGTCTTCCTCTGTAAAATGGGTGCTCTTACCCATCTACCCTGCCCCATGGGGTGTTGTTATTAATAACCTTTACTGCCATTATCCAGGGGCCAGCCACTCCTAAACACCTGGTGTGGGTCACCGCACTGATCTCTGACTGTAAAGCTCTGAGGGAGAAATGATCATCAGCCCCTCAAATGGGTGGGGTCATCGAGGCACAGGAAAGTGAAGTCACTGGCTGGAGTCACCCTAGTTGTTGGGGGAGAACCTCTGGGTTACGGGCAGGACAGAGCTTTGCAGGCTGTAGGGTGTGGTGCCAACCTCAAGAACCCTCTGAGCAATCAGAAAAGGCCCAGGGCCCTCCCAGATGCCCCGCCCACCGCGCCCGGCCCCTCCTTGCCTCCGTCCTGCGGATGGTCAGCGAGCCGTTCTGCAGCCGGTGCCGGAGACGGCTGGTCCGCAGCGGAAGGCCATCTTTGATCCAGTGGATGTCAGGCGCCGGGTCTCCGTGGACCACACAGTCCAGGCGGACGCTGCCCCCCACAGGCTCCACCAGGTAGGAGAAGGCTTCCCCTTGCAGGACAGGAGCCTCTGCACCATGGGACATGAGACAGAGGGTCAGAGAGGAGGGCCCTCAGGCTCAGCCTCCCCTCATCCTGTCCCCAAAGACCTGTCCCCAGACCCCAGGAGGGCCGAGTTCAGTCCACACGTCAGGGACCGCAAACAGCTCCACGTGATGGGTCACGTGAAACAGACTGGTGGCGGCTGCCAGGAGCTCTGCTGGGAAAGATCTGAAGCCGAGTGGGAGCAGGGCGGCGATTGACTAGTGATGTCTGGGACAGGTGCAGGGTGGAAGGCAGTGTCATGAGTGTCCTACAGCCGCTCTCATGGACAGATACCCCAGCTGCAGAGTGCCTGCTGGGGGCTTTGGAAAGCAAGGACCACGTCCCTGGTCCCCACCTCACTCCAACCTTAAACCAATGGCTGCACCTTCCTGTTTCCTGAGAGAGACTCTACCAACAGCAGCCGCTGGGGCCTGGTGCCTGGGGCTGCTCACTGCCCTCCACCAAGCCCCGCCCTCCCCATCCTGAAGGTGAGCAGACTGACACGTGGTCAGCACCGGTTCCTGGCCGTTCCTGGCTGAGCAGGGCACCCTGGGCAGGCTGACTTCCTGCCAGAGTGCCCGACCCCGGGCCTGCCTCCCGCACGGCCCCGACCAGCTGCTCGGTTGGCCGGATCCTGCAGGCTGGCCGGTCAGATCTCCGTCCCACCCGCAGCCAGGCTGCCCGGGGGATTGAAAATCCCTCTGAGGGGGCCCCGCCCCAGGGAGGCCGGGCCACTGAATCAGGGTGCACCCGGGCCTCGGAGTTTATGAAGTCCCAGGGGTGCTCATGTGCCGCCAGCGTGGACAATGGTTCCGAGGTCAGGAGGCCCGTGAGAAGGAGCCCAGCCGGTCTCAGGAGCAAAGCCCAGGGCTGGCGCCTCACCCTTCACATGGACGAAGCTGGCGGCCTGCACGCGGCCCACTCGGTTCTCTGCCCAGCAGACGTAGGTCCCGCTGTCCTCCCGGCTGACCGCCACCCTCTGCAGCGTGCTGCCCCCGTCCTGCTCGGACACGCCCTCTGTGCAAAGAGAGAGACCGCTCAGGGGCCGCGAACTCCGGCTGAGCACCCAGAGGTGCCTAATCCAGACACAGCAAACCTCTCTCCACACCTGCGGACCATGGCCTGAGGGCTGCTCAACACTGAATCCAATAAGTCTGCAGGCAGAGGTCTCTGGGTGCTTTGGGTCTTTGCCTGATCTCCCTGGGGGTTCCTGGCCCGGGGAGGGGGGGGGGGAGAGGGAGCCCAGGCTGCCTTAGAGAATGTGGGTGAGGGGCGCCTCTCACTGCCAGGCCCACCCCGTGAGCTGGGTGAGCGGTTGGGCAGGTCTCTGCGGGGCTGTTCCCATGAGCCTCTGCACGGACGCGTTGCCCTCGGGACGCCTGCCGTCTCCGCTTCACAGTGAAGGAGCTGGACTCAGAGAGGCTGGGTCACTCGCCAAGCTCCCTTGGGGATGCGGGGTGGGGGGGCGGTGAGGGAGGGTAGGGAGGTTGAGGGGAGATAAAACCTTCTCTTGGGTTCGGAGGGCCTGCAATGTCACTTTGCAGCGACTTCCTGCATTTCAGCAGCCCCGCAGACATTTGCTGAGCACCTACTGTATACCCTTCAGCCCCTAACATCCCCTGGGCCCGGGTAGGAGCCCGAGCCCGAGCCCTCGGGAAAGGCTGGCCGGGGGCCTGCAGGGGGGAGCCCCGGGGGGAGCACCGGCCGCTCCTGGCCGAGTCCCCAGGTTGAGTCCTTTTTGCAGGTGGCTTCTTGCCAGGCCTGACATGTGGCCATCACCCATGGCCAAACCCGGGTTTGCCCCAACCACCCTGCCCAGGGCCCTGTCTGGAGACCCGGAACCTACAGCACCCACGAACACCCTCTTCCTCCCTGCTAGTGGGGGCTCCATGCTGTCCCCCAGCCCCGCTGCAGGCCCCGACCTGTGACGGGCCGGTCGTTGACGGTCCAGCCGATGCGAGGGGTGGGGCTGCCCCGGGCCGCACAGCGGAGCCACAGAGGGTCCCCGGGGCGCAGGCTGCGGTCGCCGGGCAGGGTGGTGAAGACGGGCAGCGCCAGGATGGTGAGGTGCACCCGGCGGCGGGCGCGGCCCACGGGGTTCTCGGCCGTGCAGGTGTAGGTCCCAGCATCCTGGCTCTGTGGGCGGAGGGCGGGGTCAGCCGAGAACTGCCTCCGCCCCCAGGCTGGGCCCCGCCGGTGCTCAGGGGGCAGCCGGCCAGAGGCGGCGAGCTGCCCGAGGTCCCTCAGCTAGCCCAGGGCCCGGCCGCACCCCTGCGGCTCCGCGGCTGCAGCTTCCTCATCCGAGCCCTGACCACGCCCTCGTCGCAGTTTCCACTTACTGAGCACCTACTATGTGCTGAGCACCTCTATGTGCTGAGCACCTACTATGTGCTGAGCTCTGTGCTCACAACTTGCCCGGTGCCAGCACATCCATGCTAACCCTGTCCCTGAGGAAGCTCCTGCTTTTGGCGACTTCTCCAAGAGGAAATGTCCCACCGCGCACCCCGGCAGGGCTGGCGCCTCACCACTGCACCACCCGGCCTCCCGTGGGGCAGGGTCTGGGGTGCCCTGATACCCCCAGGTGTGTCCGAGCAGCCGCACCTCTGGAGAGCAGCCCGTTTCGTAATCACAGCACCGGCCAAGTGCCGATGGGGAGGGGGCGGCTCCCCCTCTGGTCCACATCAACCCTAGGCTGACAGCCACCAGGCGCAGGCTGGGGACACAGAGCCACGGCCGCACCCCTGCCCCCGTCCGGGCTCCCTCCCTCCCTCCCCGAGCTCGAAGGAGGCCCACGTCCCAATCGTGGTTCTGCCTGGGAACAGCGTGGCGTGGGGCCACTCGGAGCCTCGGTGTCTTCATCTGCTCCCAGGGGCAACGACACCCATCTCCCCAGGATCCCGGGCGGAGTCTGCACGGCGCTCAGCGTGACCAGCAGGGGGTGCGGTGATGCTCACGGCCCCCTCCTGTTGCCATGGTTCCCCTCAGCCCTCCGGTAGGGGCCGCAGGCTCACCTCCGAGTTCTTCACCAGCAGCTGCCCGGAGGGCTGGATGCTGAACTTGCCCTCGGCCGCGGACACGGGCCGGCCGTCCTTCTCCCAGCTGATGTCGGGCTCGGGGCTGCCCCGGGCGGCGCAGGGCAGGAGGGCGTGGGAGCCTTCGGTGGCCGCCAGGTCCGGGAGGCCGGTCTCAATCACGGGAGGCACTGTGGGGACGCGAAGGCCCACTCGGGGACTGGGGCTGGGGAGGGTGGGCTGCCCCTGCCCCCGGGCCCTGGCACACCCCTCAGCCCCCTCCTCCACCCCGTCTGCTGCTTCCACCAACGCTCTGGCCACAGACCGTGGCCCGTGGTCTGAACACGTGGGGGACTCAAGCTTCCGGAAGAGCTGTGAGAGGGTGACCTCCTTGCATACATGTGCACATGTGCACATACCACACTCATACACATGCAGGGACTAACTCTTCCGGACTGCCCGTGGGCCCAGATCCCTTCTGCCCCAGGGAGGAGCTCAGGGGCAGGCCGCTGGCCTGGCAGGCGTGTGCCTGGCCCTCCGGTGACCCGCAGAGAAGCTCCGAGGCGCAGGGACGGGGAGCGCCTGGACAAGGAGGCTGGGGAGGAGCCAGGCGCCCCTCGGGCTCCCAGCCACAGCCCGAGCCCAGCTGTGCACAGCCGCCCACGGGGACAGCCCCCGAGACGCCCCCACAGCCGGCCCGGCCCACACTGGACATTGCTGGGTGCCATGCGGACTTGGGGCCAGTGATGTCTCTATCTTTGGAGGCCTCCCTCGGTCAGACCCAGGCGAGGCCACGGTCACTGCTTGTGCAGGAGAAGGGACAGAAACGGCCATTGCCACAGGGAGGCTGACATGCACGAGGCTGAGGAGACTGTTGTTCCCTGAGAGGCTGGGGAGTCAGAGGCACCCGAGTTCCATCTGACGTCAGACCCGGGCGCCACGTTTTCTCCGAATTCCTTCTGGACCCACAGCCGGTGCCGGGGTAGGGGAGATGCAGGGGTCCCCCCGCCCGGGGTTCAGAGCCAGCGGAGAAGCGAGGGGCCGTGGGAGCCTCGAAGCCCCTAGCTGGCCGGTCCACCTCGGCCTCCCCGGGCCCACCTTGCACCACCAGCCGGGTTTTGCCCATGGCACTGCCCGCGCTGTTCTGGGCGATGCAGAAGTAGTTCCCGGCGTCCTCCGGGCGGGCGTGGGCGATCCGCAGCTGCCCGCTGGGCAGGACCTGGGCATCCCGTCCTGGATCGGGTGAGAAGAAGCCGGGGGCTGAGGGCTGGGGCCGAGGGACCCCCGAGGAGGGCAGGAGGGCCTTGGGCTATCCCGTCAGGCCAGGCAGCAGGTGGCACACTGGCCACGGGGTGGGTGATGCGGGGACAGGGATGTGGGAGCTGGACCCAGAGCCCAGCCAGGCTGTCCCCTTCCCGATCTCCAGCCCCGAGCGCTCAGCCCCGCCTCGGGCTCTGGGTGCAGGAGTGAAGGGGGGTGGGCTGTCTGACCTCCCGCAGAGATCCCCCTGGATGGGAATGTGGGGGGGACCCCAGGCCCATTCTGCCTCCTCCCTTAGGCTCTGGGCTCAGTGGGACTCACCCTCGGGGATGCTGAGGCCCTCCTTCTGCCAGGTGACGCTGGGCCGGGGGACGCCCCAGGCCGGGCAGGGCAGCAGCACCTCCTCCTCCACCAGGGCCTGCACCGCGCCGGGCAGCGGCTTCACCACAGGCGAGGCTGCGAGGGAACAGGGCTGCGTCCAGGGGCCCGGAGCACCGGAGAGGGGGGGCTCCGGAGAGAGGGGGCTCCGGAGAGGACAGGAGCTTCTGGAAGCTTGGGCACGGAAGACCCGGTGGGCTGCTTTCCTCCCAGAGCCTCCAGGAATGAGATCACAGGCCGGCAGGGCCTCGGACCTGGTCCTCAAACACCGTCCCCCGGCCCAGCTGCCCGTCGCCCTTTACCTGCTCCACCCCCCCACCGGGCCACAGCCGTCGGAGCCGAAGGGCCGGCACCTTACCCTGCACGGTCAGGACCACGTGCTTGCGGGCCACGCCGGCGGAGTTCTGGGCCGTGCAGGTGTAGCGGCCGGCGTGCACGGGGAGGGCCTGCCCGATCTCCAGGGCGCCTGGGTGGAGGGGGCCGAGGAGGTGAGGGCGATGGAGACACGGCCTCAGGGATGGAGGCAGCCCGTCTTCCAGGCCCCCGACCCGGTGTCTCCGGTCCCAGCCAGCAGGCCTGCCTCCCTGCCGCTGACGGGGCACCTGGGTCCCGGCCTGCCTCTGCTCCTGCCCAAGCAGAGCTGAGGGCAAGTCCCTTCCACGCTCAGGCCCTCCGTTTCCCTGTGTGTGCAATGTCCCAGGACCCGCACTGCTGCCCGGAACCCCTGGCCACCCACAGCTCCCCAGGCCCCAGCAGGTGCCCCGGATTGCCGCCTCCCCTGCCCTCCCTCCTCAGCCCGGGCTTCTCCAAGAACCACAGGCTGCCCCTGAGCAGTCACGTGAAGTGGTTTTTTAACCACCAGCGGGGTGAGCGGGGAAGAGGACACAGCCCCGCCCGGCCCCGGCCCCGGCACCAGCCCCAGCCCCCAGGCACCGCGGCTGCCACAGGCCGGCTCCCGTGACCGCTGCCTGAGGCTGGAAACCCACAGATCTGGCCAGCGGTTCTGACTTGAGGATTTCACCAACGAACCAGCACATTTGTGTCCTTTCAATCCCCATAAAGTTGCAAACTTTTAAAAAATAAATAGACATTTTGTAAGTCACCACCTGTAATCACCCTGATTTCACAGAAGAAAGAAAAGCAAAGAGAAGCCCCATCTCTGCATAAAGGACGACCCTCTGAGGCAAGCATGTCAAACTCGCGGCCGGGGGGCCACATGCCTCGTCTGTTCACATGCTCGCTCAGAGGAGATCAAGCCGGCCGGTTGCCATTGGTGATGTCGCTTTGCCAACTGCCATCAGCGAGCCCCTGAAGGACAGCAGCACCCCAGTGCGTGGAATGGGAGACTGAGCCCATAGAGGGCAAGGGGTTTCTCCCAGGCCACAGAGCCGGGGGAAGGCAGAGCCGGGCTCCAGCACTCGGGCCCGGGAGCTGTTCTCGCCCTCTCTGCCCGAGTCCCAGGTTCCCTCCGCAGCAGCTTCCCTGCGGCCCCCTGGCTTACCCGAAGGGGAGACACGGTAGCCACTCCCCCGGGGCCCCAGCGTGGCGCCCGCCTTGCTCCAGGACACCACGGGGGCGGGCACACCGGAGCTGTGGCACGTGAGGACCACGGGGGCCATCCGGGTCACCATGAAGTCCGTCTGGTCGTCGGCGATGGTGGGGGGCACTGCAACCCAAGCGCAGGCGTGAGGGCCCGCCTCAGGCCCAGGGAACACACGGCCCGCTGGGGGTTGGGGGACGCCATGAGCAGAGGCTGGGACGAGTGACGAAGGGCCGCGGAGGGAGGGGCCGCAGAGAGAGGGGTCACGTGGCTCACTCAGGACCCTCTTTTAAAAATTTTTTAAAAATATATTTTATTGATTTTTTACAGAGAGGAAGGGAGAGAGATAGAGAGCTAGAAACGTCGATGAGAGAGATACATTGACCAGCTGCCTCCTGCACACCCCCTACCGGGGATGTGCCCGCAACCGACGTACATGCCCCTGACCGGAATCGAACCTGGGACCTTTCAGTCCGCAGACCGACGCTCTACCGCTGAGCCAAACCGGTTTCGGCAGGACCCCTTTTTTGCTCCCACCCCAACTCACCGTGGACGGTCACCTGGTACCGCCTGCGGGCCTCGCCCACCTCATTGCTCGCCACACACTCAAACTGGGCCGTGTCCTGGGGGCTGGGGGCTGCGAGGAGCAGGGCGTTGGAGGGCAGGAGCCTGGGACAGACAGACAGACAGATAGACGGCTGGCTGCTGAGGGACAGGCCTGGCTGACCTGAGACCAGCCAGCCACGGCCTCCCTGCCCTGCGAATCTGGAAGGCTGAGGGGGGTAATCGGGAGGTGGGGGGGGAGGGGATGTCTCATGACTGTTTTCCTGTCCTGTCTCTGGGCCCCAGCCCCGGTTCCAGAAGTTTCCATCTCCAAAGGTCTAGTCAGGGGGACATTTCCATTTCTATAAACCTCCAGGTTGCCTGCCCTCGGGGACTCCTTCTTAGCAGCTGCCGCACCCCAGGTCGTCCCGCTGTGTCCCTGAGACCTGCTGAGCAGCAGCCTCCGCGGTGCCCGGGCACGAGAACACCTGGCCAGTTAGCGGTGAGCTGGCCCCTTCCACGCCCCCAGTGACCACTCCCAGACCAGCCACATTGGAGAAGCGGGGAGACCATGTCCAGCGGGGACCCTGGGTCCGGCTCACCAGCAGGAACTGGGGCTTCCGGGAATGTTTCAAAGCCGTGACCGCCGTGGCTTTATGTGTCCTGTCTGGCCGGGTCCCAAATGCTCCCTCCCCCCCATTCCGGATATCTCAGGCAAGGTATCCCCTGCCCCCCACCCCCCAGGATGGTGGTGGCTTTGCAGAGCCCGGAGCATGTCCCTGACCAGGTTGCCCTCGGAGACGGGCATGCCCTCCCCACCCCGAGCAGCTCAGGGACCCCAGGAGGAGGCTCATACCGGTAGGCGCCCTGCTGCAGGCGGAAGTCCAGCTTCTGTCCGTCCTTCCACCAGGCCACGAGCGGTCTGGGGGCGCCCCTGGCCTCGCAGGGCAGCGCGGCGGGGGTGTGGGCTGTCAGGGTCAGGTTGGCGGGGCCGGGGGCGATGGCGGGAGGCTCTGGGGAGAGAGCAGCGTCAGGAGACAGTGTGTGGGACAGGGGAGGGGGCCGGGGACCCCCACCACTGCGTCCCACCCCGGGAAGCAGGGAGAGGAGGCAGGAGAGTCTCCCTGTTGGGAACTCCCATTGGCCCCCAAAGTGTGGGTGGGGGGCCTTTGCTCACCCCCGGGGGCTGGCAACCCCTAACTACCTGTCCAGGAAGAGACCTCCGGGCTGACACAGCCCCATCAGCCTGGCCTGGGCCAGGGTCCAGGCCAGGGAAAGCAGACCAGAGCGCCCGGCTCAGCGATTCTGTCTTATCCTTGCACCTGTTTTATATTTCCTGTGTTTTGTCACTCGCTCAATATAACAGCAGAGCCCAGGGGCTCAGTGGTTGAGCACCGACCTATGAACCAGGAGATCACGGTCCGATTCCCCGTCAGGGCACGTGCCTGGGTTACAAGCTTGATCCCCACTGTGGGGCATGCAGGCGGCAGCTGATCAATGATTCTCTCTCATCACTGATATTTCTCTCTCTCTCCCTTTCCCTTCCTCTCTACAATCAATAAAAATATTAAGTATAGCCTAAACAGGTTTGGCTCAGTGGATAGAGTATTGGCCGGTGGACTGAAGGGTCCCAGGTTCGATTCCGGTCAAGGGCATGTACGTTGGTTGCGGGCACATCTCCGGTAGGGGTTGTGCAAGAGGCAGCTAATCGATGATTGTCTCTCATCAATGTTTCTAACTCTCTATCCCTCTCTCTTCCTCTCTGTAAAAACAATAAAATATGTTTTAAAATATTAAATATATATAATAGCATAATAGTGAATGTATGTAATATATGTATAAAAATAACCATACATCTTTTGAGCATATTTTACTAATGAGCTTCGTGGTAAAAAAACACTGTTGGCCCCTGATGCTGGGATGACCCTGACCCTAAGCAGGACCTGGTCCAAAAGCGAGGTGGATGCTGAAGGCAAGGACACACCTCCCTCTGTCCACCTACCGAAGACCCGGAGGTCACGGCCCTGCCGGTCGGAGCCCGCGGAGTTGGACGCCAGGCAGAGGTAGTGGCCAGAATCCTGGGCGAGGACCGGCTGGATCCTCAGGGAACCCTCGGGCAGAACGTGCAACCTGGAACCGGAGGGAGGGGTTGCCATGGAGACCCAACCCCACGCCCTGGCTTTCCCAGAACCCGGGTGCTAACTCCGGAGCCCTGCATCCGTGAGGCTGAGGTTAGCGGGGCCACAGCTCTGCTCCCCCAACCCAGCATCAGGCGGGGCAAGAGAGGCTGCTTCTGGCCCCCTGGGCTTCTACCTGGGCCTGGCCTCGCCCCAGGACTCAGCAGGCAGAGCAGCCCATCTGTCTGAGAATGGCCTCTAGGTCTGAGCACAGCCCCTTCGAAAGGGTCATGGCAGGTCTGCGTAACCCCGCCCCCAGCCCCAGCTGATTGGACTGAGGAGGAGCCAATGGAATTCCCTGCCCTGGGAATTTGGAACTGGGGTTCCCAGAAAGCTCTCTAGGCTTGCAGGTTGTGTGAACTGAGGACTCTCAGTTCACACAACCTGCAGAGGGGCCACAGGGAGCCATCTCTGTGAAAGAAGGTGCAGAAAAAATTTATATATATGAGAGAGAGAGACGGGGAGAGAGAGAGGGAGAGAGAGAGGAAAAGAGAGAGAGAGAGAGAGAGAGAGAGAGAGAGAGAGAGAGAGAGAGAGAGAGGAAAAGAGAGAGAGAGGAAAAGAGAGAGAGAGGAAAAGAGAGAGAGAGGGAGAGAGATAGAGAGGAAGCATCCTCCCACAGAAACAGATGAGCACCAAAGGATCAAACCAGACAGACAGACAGACAGACAGACACCTGGGGTTCGAGATGCTCTTAACAAACAGGCACGCACATCCTTGGGTTCTGAGCACACTGTCACCTAACGATACGTACAGCCACCTCCAGCTCCAACGGCACACGCAGGCAGGTTCCTGTTTATAACCCGCCGCGTGGCACCTGAGACCGTGCCCTTCCAGCTCTCACCTGGGGCTCCCGAGATCCAGGGGGGCGCCGTCCTTCCGCCAGCTCAGGAGGGGCGGCGGGGCGCCCTCCGCCCGGCAGGGCAGCAGGGCCGTCTGGTTCACTGAGGCGTTCACGGCTGCTGGTCCCGGCTGGATGGCGGGCACCGCTGGAGGGGGCACAGAGGGAGCGGGTTCCGGGAGCCTCGCCTGGAGGGGGCGGGCGGGGCGGGCGGGGCGGCCCACTCACTGTGGATGTCCACACGGAAGGCCACGCTGGTGCTGCCCGCCGCGTTGCGGGCTGTGCAGCTGTAGTTGCCGCCGTCGGCCGTGCTCAGCGCCTGCAGCTGGAGGAACCGGCCTTGCTCCGGGAACTGGGTGTGGGCGTCCGCCTGCAGGCCCCGGGGCGGAGAGACCCTCGTCAGCGCCGGGCTGAGCCGGGCGTGCCCCCGGGCACCAGCCAGAGAGGACCAAGGGATGGATGGGGGCGGGCAGTGGCCTTGGCCTGCTGTGGGCTGCCTGTAGCCCTGGCCGGATGCCCTATGAAGGACCCTCCTGGGAACCAGGCTCTGCCCACAGGAGGGTGCAGGGGGGCTTATGCTCATATTAGAAGTGGGAGCCGAAACCGGCTTGGCTCAGTGGATAGAGCGTCGGCCTGCAGACTGAAAGGTCCCGGGTTCGATTCCGGTCAAGGGCATGTACCTTGGTTGCGGGTACATCCCCGGGAGGGGGTGTGCAAGAGGCAGCTGATCGATGATTCTCTCTCTCATCGATGTTTCTAACTCTCTATCCCTCTCCCTTCCTCTCTGTAAAAATCAATAAAATATATTTTTTTTAAAAAAGAAGTGGGAACTTCCACCAGAAGGTCTGCACTCCATGGGTGCCCAGCAGCAAGCCCCCCGTTTCAGGGGGGAGCCCAGAGAACCTCAGTAACTGGCCCGGGGCACACAGCCACTCAGTGTCGCTCAGAGCTGCACGGAAGAACACGGGAGGCATCAGAAGCCCTGTGTGCACATCCGAGCCTGGCCGCAGGCCCGGCCGCTGTACGGGGGACACAGCAGCGTGGAGAAGCAGCAGGGCCGCATGCAAAGTGGGCCTCCCGGTGCAGCGCGGGCCTCGGCACCTGGGTCCGGGCAGGCCAGGGCCTGGGGCCTGAGCGGGACCGAGGAGGTAGCCCTGGCCCCCAGCCGGGCACCCACCTGCAGCAGGATGCCGTCTCGGTGCCACTGGATCTCGGGGGCGGGCTCCGCCTCCACGGAGCACTCCAGAACCAGCTGCCCCGGGGCCAGGCCAACTACGGAGCGGGGGCCCCGGGGCCCGATAATGTTTGGAGGGGCTGGGGGCAGAGAGAGAGGGTGAGGGACGGACCCGCCCCTGCAGGTCCCACCCTGCCTCCCTCTCCTGCCCGCCCCTGACACCCCTACCTTGAACCCTGACCTGGAAGCTCTTCTCGATTTCACCGGCAGGGTTCTGGGCCAGGCAGGTGTACAGCCCGTCATCGCCCACCTTGGGACGGGACGGGGCAGGGTAAGTGGCCACCCCTGGCCCCAGGCTGCCTACCTCCTGGCCTCCTCTCTTTACAACTAAGGACCCTGCTGAGCCTGCCCTCCCACTTCCCAATCACTCCAGTCCCCTCTCCGGACGCTGCTTCTCTATCTCCCTCTCAGCCTTGCTTTCAGGCTGGGGCCAAGCCTGCCTCCTCCAAGAAGCCCCCCCTGACTGCACCAGCCCTCCTCTGGTTTTATGGTTTCTGCATCAGCCTGGGCTCTGGCGGGGCTGGGAGCCCTCACCCTCACCCCAGACCAAGGAGGAGCTCCGCCAAACCCTGCCAGATGCCGCTCGGACACCCTCCCCCCTCCCCTCCCCCCTCCCCTCCTTCCCCCATCCCCAACAGCAGGCAAGACAGCAGCACCTGCACGGCCTCCACCCGGAGCCGCTGCCCCGTCCCTCCGCCGTCCTCCTGGCTGCTCAGGGCCCGCCCGTCCTTGTGCCAGGTGACGTTGGGCGAGGGGGTGCCCCGGGCATCGCAGCGCAGCTCCAGGGGGGCCCCGGGGGCCAGCGTCAGCTCCGCGGGCGGGCCGGGGTTCTCCAGGCGGGGGGGATCTGCGGAGCGCCGCGCCGGCGTCAGCGGGGGGCCTCGTTGGAGGAGTGGGAGCCGGGGTGCACCCCCCCCACCCCCACCGCCCAGGCGCCGACAGAGGACAGAGCCGGCGGGGCCATGACCAGGCAGGCGGGTGGTGCGGGAGGGCGCTGAGGACAGGGCGAGCCGCGGCCCCTCTGCCAGGAACAGCGATTCCCGCCTTAAAGCTGACAAGGACCCGCGTGGACTTCGGGAAGGCACCACGGACACGCGTGTTCCCAATGCTCAGCGACCCCTGGGAAATCGTGCGCCTGAGACGTAGGCCTCCCTCCCACCCGCGTCTCCGTGGCTCCTGCGTGGTTTGGGGACAGGACTGAGGAGGCCGCCCCAGGAGAACGGAGCTTCCCGGCTGCCTGCTCCCCAAGCCCTGTTCCAGGTCCCGGGGCACCCCCTTCCCTCCCCCCCGGGCCCAGGGGTGCCAGCGTGGGGGCAGACGCACCCATCACCGTCAGCCGGAAATGCCTCCTGGCCTCCCCCGCCTCGCTCACGGCCACGCAGGAGTAGGTGCCCGCGTCCCCCGCCCCCGCCGCCTCCAGCTGCAGGCCGGGCCCCCGCTCCAGGCTCTGGAGGAGCAGGGGCTCCCCGTCCTTCAGCCATGACACCAGGGGCAGGGGGCTGCCCTGGGCTTCACAGGGGAGGACCACGGGGGAGCCACGGGCCACCGCCACGTTGCTCTGGAACTCCGCCGGCTCCAGGACGGGGGGCACTGTGCAGGGCAGAGGGTGGGCGCGCGTCATTTCACCCCGTGCCAGCTGGCCCTCCCCCTGGCCCTTTGCTCTGGACAATCCCTCCTCCTCCAGGCAGCCTTCCCGGAATGGCTGAGGCCGGGCGAAGTGCCCGCTCTGTGCTCCCCCAGCGCCCTGTCCTTCCCCTCGCCGCTCTAGTCCCCGGGCTGGTGGTCACCTCTTTACAGAGCGCCGACCTCCCAGTGGCAGGGGCCACCTCTGCTCACGGCGGTACCCCAGTGCCTGGCAAGGTCCTGGCACCCCACCGTGTCCAGCGACTATGCGGGAGGCGAACAGACCGGACCGAGTAGCCGTGCGTGCTCACCCAGGCCTTCCTTCTTACACCCAAGGCCACGGCCAGCCCAGGGCGCCCCGCTCCGTACCGTGCACCTGCAGGGTGAAGTTCCTGTCCGCCACGCCAGCCGGGCTTGCGGCCACGCAGGTGAACACGCCGGCATCTGCCAGCTGCACCCGGGAAATCCTGAGCCCCTCGAGCAAAGGGGGAGAGGACAGGGAGGGCGGCTCAGTGCAAAGGTCCCCCCTTCCCCGCTCCGTCTCCCAAAGGCTGGCCAGCAGCGGGCGGCTCCGAGGCGCCCACGTGAGCAGGTCCAGCCTCTGTCTCACCGGAGGACGCGGCCGGAGCCGTGGAGGTGGGTGCGCTGGGAGAGCGGGAGGGGCAGGCCGTCCTTGAGCCAGCTCGTGTGGATGGGCGGGGAGCCCCGGACCGGGCACGCCATGGTCGCCAGCTCCCCGGCCCGGAGCACCAGGGGCCCTGCGCCCTCGGGCCCCTGCTCGATGGTGGGAGGCACTGGGGTGGGAGAGAGAAAAAAGGGGCAGTGAGGGGTCTACCGAGGGGCTCTGGGGCGGGCAGGGGTTTCTCCCGAGGAGGAGATGCCTAGAATTTTGCCCCATCCACCCGGGGAAGGAATGAGGGCCACTGCTTGGAGGCCAGTCTCACCCCACCCCTGCCCTGAGCTCCCTCCCCATCATCCTCTATCCCCCACTCCCCGCGGAACCCCGGCTGCAGGGTGCCTCTGGCCTGAGGACCCGGCCGAGGCCCAGAGAGGTCACACGTGGGCACGGCTGAGGCTTGTACCAGGCCCTCCGGAATCCTACACTCGCATCACCCTCCAGCTACCCCGGTCAGCGCCCCGGTCCGCGCCCGGAGGCCCTGGAGGCCAGGCTGCCGCGGTCTGGGGGGGCCCCCCTCCCCTCCCCTCCCCTCCCCTCCTGCTCACCCAGCACGTTCACGGTGTGCAGCCTGGCGTCCTCGCCAGCCGCGTTGTGGGCCACGCAGGTGTAAGCGCCCGCGTCCGCCGCCGCCAGGCCCTTCAGCACCAGGGAGCCGCCGTCCAGGTAGAAGCTGCCCGGGGAGGGGGAGCGGGGGGCAGGGGGTGAGGGCGGCGGCCCCGGCGCCCGGGGCGGGGCGGGCACGGGCCGGGCCGGGCCTTACCGGAGGTGCGGGCCCGCGCCCTGGCCCAGCGGGCGGCCGTCCTTCAGCCAGGCCACCTCGGGCGGCGGCTGCCCGTCGGCTTCGCAGTCCAGCCGCGCCTCCTGCCCCTCCAGGACGCTGTGCTCCTGCGGGGTGCCTGCACTGCGGATCCGGGGGGCGGCTGCGGCAGGGGCTGCGTGAGGCCGGGCCGCGGCGGGGGCGGCGGGAGGGAGGGCCGGGGGGGGGGGGGGGGCGCGGGGCGGACACGTACCCAGCACGGCCACCGCGAAGTCCTTGCGGGCCTCGGCCTGCGCGTTCTCGGCCACGCACGTGTAGGTGCCCGCCTGGGCCGGCTGCAGGCGGCTCAGCTGGAGGCGGCCGCCCCGGGAGACCACGCCGAGGGCCACGCTGCTCTCTGCGGACAGACGGGCGGGCCGGGCCGTCACCTGCGCGGGCCGCCGCCCCAGGGGCAACCGCCGCCGGGCCAGACCCGAGTGTCATGTGACCTCCCGAGGAGGTGTCCACCATCCCCACACGAAGCTGGAAAGACCCCGGGAATCCCTGTGCCCCTCCCGCTTCTCGTGTTCACAGGGAAACTGAGGCCCAGGCAGAGGCAGGGCCTCCTCCCAGCCACCCTCGCGGCTTTCTTAGCCTGGTCCCGGTTCTGCTCCTCACAGCCCCTCCCTCCTGCCTCCCACTGCGGCGTTTCTTCCCAAGGGGCCCCACTGCCTCTAGTGTCTGGGACTTGGTCCTCTTTCTTTTTTAAAAATATATGTTTACTGACTTCAGAGAGGAAGGACGAGAGAGAGAAAGAGAGAGAGAGAGAGAGAGAGAGAGAGAGAGAGAGAGAGAGAGAGAGAGACATCAATGAGAGAGAATCATGGATCGGCTGCCTCTGCAGGCCCCACACCGGGATCGAGCCTGAATCCCGGGCCTGTGCCCTGACCAGGAATCCAACTGTGACTCTTGGTTCGTGGGTCAACGCTCAACACTGAGCCACACTGGCCAGGCATTGGTCCTCTTTCTGTCACCTCTCAGGTCCGCTTAACCTTCCCTCCAGCTCCATTCACCACCGGTGCTCCCCCCCCACACACACACACACACACACACTCCACCCAGCGAGGCTTCCGATCGAGGTGAGCCAGCCGCTCACTGACCCTGACGCAGGCCGGCGTGGGGCTTCCTGCCTAACAACCGCCCCTTCCTTCTCCCCTGAAGCTGCACCTCTGCCCTGAAGCCGCCTCAAACTGTGCCAGCCCAGCCCTCTCAGTCCTCCTCACCACCCCCCACCCCCCGGGCAATCTGTGCAGCCAACCCTTCAGCACAGAACGAAGCAACTATGACATATCGACGGTGAGCGTGGGAATGGAAGGTGCACGAAATAGTCCCTGTCCTCAGGGCGTGCACAGTGCATCAGAGACGGGGCCACGGGCACCCTCCTGGATGGAGCTGGGAGCAATCAGGCAGGCCTCTGGAGGAGGTGTCTCCGCTGAGACGGGAAGGTAAGAACCAGCCAGGGGACAGTGGAGGTGGGCAGGGGAGGGGGGGGGTGTTTCAGGGAGGAAGCAGCTGGAGCTGAGAGAGAACGGGGCCTGGGCAGCCCACCCCCAGGTGGAAACCCAAGGGAGGAGAGTGCACGCCACACACACACACACACACACACACACACACACACACACACACAAGCGCGCGCACACATCCACGAATGCTCCCAGCACACAGCAAAGGCGCAAACAACCCCGTCCGCCAGCGGCCGCCCAGAGAGAGAACTCGGGACAGGCTCACACAACAGTCATCCGTGAAAAAGGATGGGAACCAGAATTGAATTTCACTTAAAAAAGGAAGAAGAGCCAAAGCCGGTTTGGCTCAGTGGTAGAGCATCGGTCTGTGGACTGAAAGGTCCCAGGTTCGATTCCGGTCAAGGGCATGTACATTGGTTGTGGGCACATCCCCGGTAGGGGGTGTGCAAGAGGCAGCTGGCCGATGTTTCTCTCTCATCGACGTTTCTAGCTCTCTCTCTCTCTCCCTTCCTCTCTGTTAAAAATCAATAAAATATATTAAAAAAAAAAAAAAAAAAAAGGAAGAAGAGACCCCCACTACAACATGAATGGACCTGGGAAGCATGGTGCTGAGTGGAAGAAGCCACGCTGTGTGGTTCCATTTGTGTGAAATGTGCTGGAGAGGCAAATCCACAGACAAAGCAGGTGGTGGCTGTCTACAGCTGGGGGGTGGGGGGGGGAAGAGGAGGGGATGGTTGGAGGGGAAATGGGGAGTGAAGGGTAATGGGTATGGGGTTTCCAGCGGCTTTCACTGTCCTTTCATTAAATAAAGAGATATTTAGCACTAAAAAGATAAGAGGAATCGGATCACTCACCAACGGGCATTCTGTCCTTCAGCCAGGTGACACTGGGGGCAGGGACCCCCGTCACGTCACAGGTCAGGACCAGGGGGCTCCCCGCCACCTGGCTCACTGTCTCCGTCTGGGGGTTCTCGAACGTTGGGGGCACTGCAGGAGCAAGGCCAGATGCCCAGAATCGTAAGACTCTGCCCTCCCTTCCTCCCAGAGAGAAGAGGGATGTTCGAGAAAGCCTTTCCCGGTGGCTGGGAGCTGACATTTTAGGCTTTGCCATGGATGGGGGCGTGCGCTATTTTATTCACAAGCAGAACCTGCAGCTGGCTGTTTCAAAACATCTACAGAGCAGAGCCCAGGAGGGGTCCACTTAGCCCAAGGACGGTAAGTGCATGGCTCACAGCTCAGCAGTTCTAGCTTATGCCAGGACAGACATCACTAATCAATCCCTACACTCTCCTGCTCAGCGGGAGGAAGTCACCTACCCAGGCAGCCACCACCAGTGGAACAGCGATGGCTGTGCTGAGGATGAAATGCCATTGTCCCCAGGGACCAGACATTCCCCTGATGCCCACCGTTCATCAAGGCAGCCGTCAGGTGAAGGGGTGTGAGCTTTGAGCAGCAGGCATGGTATCAATAGTTTACATTTTAAAAATGTTTCCCAAAGTGTGGTACGAGTACCCCCAGGGGTATGGGGAGAGTTTGGTGGGGGTACGTGTTGCACGGAGTTTGGTGGGGATATGCACTGCACCGTGCTTAGCTGCGCCTAATTCTACGTTCTCATGAGTGCGAGGAATACTCAGCGTTACGAAAATTATAGAAGGGGTACACACATGTCAAAAGTTTGGGAAACACTGGTTTACAACAACGGTATCCCCACTACTCCCCGGGTGGGGACGCTACTGCTTGGCTATTTCGGCCAATAGCTGGTGCCTGCCCAACCTGTCTTCATCTTGCACTGCAATTTTAGAGAGCACATGGCTGCTCAAGTGGAAACTACATTTCCCAGCCTCCCTTGCAGCCTGCTGTGGCCAGCTGCCTAAGTCCTCACCAAAGGGAATGCAGGTGGAGGGAACAATTCTACTCGTGCGCTTTCCTGCTTCCTGTGGGCTAGGACAAGATTCAGAGTGTCCCAATTCCAACCACACGGACAGGGACAGCACCCTGGGGACAGGAGAGCCACAAGATGGAAGGATCCTGGGCCTCTACATTTCCCCATGGAGCCCAGCTACCCCAAATCTAGACACGCACGTCTGGATGTTTAGACGGGAGAGGTCAAGTCCTGTTCTGATCCTGCTCGTTTCGACTCCAGATCTTGTTCCCTCAACACTGGGCAACCCGGCCTCTTCCCAGCGTCGGCCCTTCCCACCCTCAGCGGCCCGCGCGTTGCTAAGGATCCCACGGAAACGCCCGCAGACCGGTCCCCGCTTACCCTGGACCGTGAGGACGAACGCCCGCGTGGCCTCCCCGGCCGCGTTGCGGACCTTACAGCTGTACACGCCTCTGTCTGACACCTGGGGCAGAGAGCACGCGTGGTGACGGCGGGCATGGGGCTGGGTTCCTACCGCTGCCCCCAAACACCCAGGCCCCAGAGCCTGCCAGAGCGGGGACTCCCCGGACATGCTGGTCCTGCTGGGGAGGTCAAGGGGAGACCTGACCCTCAGACCTTTACCAAGACCCTCAGGAAGCAAGAGGGCCCCTGTAGGGTGAACGGCAGGCCCCAGACCCCGCCCCACCCAGGCTGCGTGCAGCCAAGCCTGGCAGAACAGCCCCCTCGCCGTGGGATTGGGGAGCAGGAGTGAGGAGCCCAGGATGAGCTTCCAGGGGAGCAGCCGACATCCAGCCGACGCTGTGAGTGTCTGATCCACACCAGCGGGGTGGGCAGAACCGACTCCCAGGAAGGGAGGGCGTGAAGGGCCTGCAAAAAGCTTCCAGATCCCGCGGAAGCTGAGGCAGGCGGCGGCGAAGGGACCCGCTCAAGGTCATTCTGTGAGGCCCCGTGGAGCCCTGCCCTCTTCCCCCTCTCCAGCCCCGGAGGCTGCCAATCACCTCGGCCTGGGGTCTTGCAGGCTGAGGAGGCAGCAGCCCCCGCATCCTGCCTCCCAGCCGCCCGCCAGGACCGGGAGGTGGGGCTGCATGGCCGCCAAGGCCGGCTGCCTATCCCCTCCTCCCCCCCCACCCCCGGGCCGCTCACCTGGGTGTCCAGGATCGCCAGCTTCTGCCCGCCCTGCAGAGCCTGGGTCCGCTGCGCGGGGACCAGGGGCCGCCCGTCTTTGTACCAGGTCACGGCCGGCTCAGGGAGCGAGTCCGTCTCGCAGCTCAGGACGGCCTTGTCCCCGGCCCTCACCGAGAACCGGTCCTGGGGGCCGCCGAGTGCCGGCCTGAAGGTGGGGGGAACTGGGCCGGGGACATGCAGAGTGAGGTGCTGCGACTCCCCCCCACCCCCGGCCCAGCCCCCGGCAGCAGTGTATGGAAGCCCATGGTGGACCCCACCCCAGGGATGGCTCAGACCCGGGGAGTCTTCCTGAGAACCAGGCTGGCGTGCCAACCACCTGCCCTCTCCAGCCTCAGCCTCCTGGGCCCTTTCCCACACAGGGCGGGCCCCCCTGGGGCCCCCACAGCCTAGTCCCTCCAGCAAACCAATGTAGAAGCCAAGGTGAGCCCACAGGGGCTGGCAGTGCCCGTCACAGAGCAGGTGGACACACAAATGAATGAACCAGCCCCGGGCATAGAAAGAACCTTCCGGTGAGTCCCGCTCAGAACATCCTGGGCCAGCTTTTCCCCAAGAGGGTTCTGAAGACCAGGGGCCCCGAGACAGGCTTCCTGCCGAGAACCCTGTGGTCAGAAGGCCACCCCCCCCTCAAGGTCAGAGCTCATGCGAGGCCCGGGGCTAGGCGCTCACATCCCATCCCAGCCCCTCGGTCAGTCCTTACACCAACTGTCACCTCAGATGAGAGCGGAGGCTCAGAGAGCGGGCATGACTCGCCCACGGTCACTGAGAGGGGAAGCGCACAGCGGCGTTTCAGACTCAAATGCGTCCAGTCTGCAGACCCTGACCTGAACCCCCAAGTCTGCAGCCCGACACGGTCGCTGCAGGGGGCTTGGCACCCCAGGGCTCCCCGGGTCCTCTCCCGGCTGTGCTGCCGGCGGGCTGCGGGCAGAGGGCTGCGGGAGGAGCGGGGATGGCGCAGACGGGACATACCCAGCACGCTGAGCTGCACCAGCCTCCGGTCCCGGCCGGCGGCATTGAGGGCCTCGCACAGGTACGTCCCGGAGTCTGCCGGCTGCGCCCGGGCCAGCTGCAGCGTGTGGGTGCCTGCGTGGGGGTGGGGCATCAGTCCAGCGGGCTGCCCCCCGGCTCCCAGGCTGGTCCCCACAGAGCTGGACCCCGCGCCCCGGGGTACCCACCGGGCAGGAGGAAGACGCCCTCTCCCAGGGGGAGGGCCTGGCTGTCCTTGTACCACGTGACCTCGGGGCTCGGGTGAGCTCGCACGTCGCAGGGGAGGGCCACGCTGCTGTTGAGGATGGCGGTGACCCGCTCGGAGCCCGGGCCGGAGATGTGCGGTGGCACTGTCCCGGGGCCACGGGGTAAAGACAGACACTGAGAATGTGCGCCGGGGGGTGCAGACCGAGCACGGACCCCAGCTCCCGGCTCCGGGGGGCGCGCGACCCAGCAACGCGGTGCAGCAGCCCCTGCTCGTCATCGCGATGCCCAGGTGGGCGCCCGGGGCGTAGGGACTGGGAAGCGGGAGTCACTTTCCCACCGCCACTCAGCTGGCCAGCGGCAGAGCCAAGAACCCATTCAGGTTTGAGCCCTAGACCCTGAGTGCTCAGCGCTGTCACCCCTCTGTTCCCAGGCCGCAGCCGCCCCCTCGGGAGGCCGAGCCACAGCCCCTGAGCGGCGTCCGTCACAAGAATGTGGAGGCCAAGAGCGCCAGCTCTGGGGCGGTGGCCCCACGGGGCGACCTCTCTGTCTCTGCAGCTGTGGGGCTGGGCAACCCCCCGAGCCCCGTGCCAGGTACACAGTAAGTGCTTAATGGTGGCGCTGGAAGGCCAGAGGAGCAGCTCGCTGACACCTCCAAAAGGCTTAGCATCAGAGGGTGTCCCTTCAGGCATCTGGGGACGGCCCGGGGTGATCGGGGGCCCCCCCAAATGCTCTCTGTAACGAGGTGTGGCTGGTGCCAGGCCAGGAGGACTCCCCTCTGGGGACAGCCCTGGGGCCTAGGACATGGGAAGCACAAGGGGGTGCCCTGGGGGAGGGACACGGTGCCGTGCCGGCCCCAGAGCAGGTGGGGGGGCCCCGAGCACCGGCCCCTCCCCAGCTGGGGAGCCGTGGGGCGGCCGCTCTGCCCCCTCACCTTGCACCCTGAGCGTGAAGAGCTTCTCCACGGAGCCCGCTGGGTTCTCGGCCACACACATGTAGCTGGCGGCGTCCGCCACCTCCGCCGTGGAAACCTGGGGGTGCAGAGAGGCGGTGCCCGATGGCGGTGGCCCCCCTCCCCGGGAGCCCCTGGGAGGGACCCTCCCCGTACCAGGCTCGGCGGGCACCCGGAGGAACCCTGCAGAAGGCCGCCTTTGTCCACACGGAGCAGTGCGTGGGGCGCCCCCGATGGGCACGCACACCCCATGTCTGTCTAGGGCAGTGGTCGGCAAACTGCGGCTCTCGAGCCACATGCAGCTCTTTGGCCCCTTGAGGGTGGCTCTCCCACAAAATACCACGGCCTGGGAGAGTCTATTTTGAAGAAGTGGCGTTAGAAGAAGTTTAAGTTTAAAAAAATTTGGCTCTCCAAAGACATTTCAGTCGTTGTCCTGTTGATATTTGGCCCTGATGACTAATGAGTTTGCCGACCACTGGTCTAGGGCTCTCTGAGACACTCAGGAGGGGAGGGCGAGGCTGGGCTGGGTGAGCCCCGATAGCTAACGAGGTGGTCTCCCCCCGCCCGAGGAGGCTGCCCTGTGCGGTGTGGAGCCTCAGGGGTCCGGGCGGCTGTGTTGGAACCTGGGAGGCCCAGGGAGCTGCCCAGGCCCTGAGCCGCGCTGGCTGAGCTGTGACATCGGCGGGTGTCCCTTCCGGCATCGGCAGGGTTCCCAGGCGCTACCCACGCGCTTGCCTGCCGGCGGCACAGGGTGGCGGTTGGCACGCATCGCTTGGGGGTGGAATGGAAGCCCGGGAGCTCCCGCAGGCTCTTGGGCAGGGGCCTCGTTTGGCTCCGGTAATGGCAGCTCCTGGTCCCAGGGCAGGGCACGGAGCCTGGGCAGCTGCGCCTTCAGCCACGTCGGGGGACGCCCTGACCTGTAAGACTCGCCCGTCCTGCAGGACCTGCAGCCTCAGGCTCGGGGAGAAGGGCAGCCCGTTCTGGAGCCACGAGATGGTGGGCGCGGGGTTGCCCAGGGCCGGACACTGCAGGCTGACGGTGCTGCTGGCGTTGACGGTCACCTCCTCCACCAGCTCCTCCGTGTCCCCCGGGATCACAGGCGGGGCTGGGCGGGGAGAGGGAGGTGAGGAGCAGGCGGCCTCCCTGGGAAAGGTCCCGGGGGTGGGAGCAGCGCTGGGTGCCAGGCGCTGGCTGGGGCTCCGTGTGCCCGGCTCACCAAGCCCTCGGAGCCCCGGCGCAGCTAAGGAACCCAGGCACAGAGGGAGCTGTGAACGGCTCGAGGTCACACAGCCAGGAAGCAGCTCGCGTCGGAGTTTGAACCCAGTCCTGTCTGCTTTCAGAGCCCACCCTACATCACCGCCTCCAAGTCCTGCCAGACGGACCACGTTCCCCTCTGTGGCCCCGGGGGCCCTCGCAGGGCCTGCAGACGCGACACCCCCTCCCACCACCAAGCCGGCCACTCACTCAGCACCACCAGCTCGTAGTGCAGCCAGTCCTCGCCCACCTCGTTGGAGGCCCTGCAGGAGTACCTCCCGGCATCCTCCGCGCGCACCAGGGGGATCTGCAGGACCCGGCCTCCTGCGGGGACAGGGAATGGAATGGGGGGAGGTGAGAGGGGTGGCAGAGGCCTGAGCAAAGGCGAGGAAACCTGCTCCTTCCTCCTAGGGGACCTGGGACACATCACACCGCACAGCCCCCCATCTGTGAAACAGAGAGCATCTGCCTGCCCCGCCCAGCTCTCGGGCCCAGGGCACCAGGCAGAGGTCAGGGAGGTGCCATGTGCTAGGCCTGGCACACTTCCCTGCTCCCTGACTCTGGGAGGTGAACACTCCCATCTCACAGATGGAAAGACTGAGGCTTCCCAAGCACACCCCGCAGTGTTGAGCCCGGCTCCTTGGTGAGGGCAGAGGGAAGGGCCAGAGAGCGGGGCAGAGTTGGGGGTGGATGTTGCTAGCAGGTGTCACCGGAGACCCTCTGTGACCCAGAGCCTGGCAGGCCCAGGCGCTGGCATCTCTGGGGCCTGGAGCTGGCCTCCAGCAGGGGCCGAGTGAGGGTCACTGTGTGCTGGCCCAGGCTGGGGCGGGGTGGGGGTGGGGGAGCTTGTGACCAGGGTTGGAACTAGGGGCTCATTACATCAGAGCCGGGGGGCAGCGGCCATGATGAAGGAGGGAGGGAGGGGGGGAGGGCCGCTGTCAGGGTCCTTTATGTGTGAGGCTAACCAGTGTGCTGGGACTGGGAGTCAGTGGGCAGGGTCAGGGTTCAATGGTGGAGTTGAAGGCTTATGGCTGGGACAGAGGGGCCGGGGCTGTGGCCGGGGGTCAGCATGTGACCGAGGCCTCTGTGTACCCAGGACTGGGGTCAGTGTCCAGTCCGAAAGGAGGCGGGTGTGTGTGTGTGAATCCAGGGGTTCTGACAGGAGCAAACAGCTGTCACAAGCGCTGCCTCCGGAGCTCGGAGCCGCCTTCTTTTGCAAGAGCCAAAGTACAAGCCCGGGACGGCCCTGCTCAGCGCCCCCGCGCCCCCACCTCGCCGCCCTCGCCCCGCCCTCAGCAGCCCAGCACAGCCCACGCCTGGCAGGGCCTGAGCGGGGAGACCACGGAAGCCCCGAGACACACAAACTCTGTGCCGGAATCTCTCCCGGCTCTGCTCTACCCCAGGGGCTCGGCCAGCCGCCCGGGAAGCCTGGCGTTTGGAGCCTTTTAACTCAAAGTCCTCCACAAAAAACAAACAAAAACACAACTGTTCTAAATAAAAGGTTTGTTTTCTTAAAAAAACCAAATCGCCTTCAATAAATATAAAGCAGTAAAAAGAAAGCCAAGGTGACTTGGCCCCGGTCCCTCAGCCCAGTGGGAGGTTCCCCTGCTGGGATGGTCACGAGGTGCCAATAAAGCAGCGGCTCCTGCCCAGCTGGGGCTGCCCAGAGGCTGAGCGTCCACCTAGGAACCAGGAGGTCAGGGTTCGATTCCTGGTCAGGGCGCATGCCTGGGTTATGGGCTCCATCTCCAGGAGGGGGCGTGCAGGAGGCAGCCGATCAGTGATTCTCACCATCGATGTTTCTCTCTCTCTCCCTCTCTCTTCTTCTCTGAAATAATTTTTTTTTTTTTTAAAGCAGCAGCTCCCTCTAAGAAAGGCGCCAGCATCGGCAGTGATTTCAGGGCGTCGTACGCAGATCTGGAAGCCCAGGGCACTCCCAGCGCCAGACTACAGGAGGCGGCTCAGGGCCAGCATGGCCAGACGCCCTGCCCGAGGTCCCACAGCAAGCAGCACACGGGAGCTCAGAGGTCCGGCAGAACGGCAGTTGAGGGGACCAGCTCTGCTGCGGGTGTGGCCCCCGTCCCTGCCTGCAATGCCCCCACTTCTCCGTGCAGCCCGGCCTACCTTGCAGGACGGACACGCCGTCGGTGGCCGAGAGGGGCTGGTCCTCCCGGTACCAGGTGAGCTCGGGGGGCGGGACCGCGTTGGTGTCGCAGTACAGGTATGCGGAGCTGTTCTCCACCACCTCCCGGTATTCCGTCACCCCACCCCGGGCCTCCTCCTCCCGGGACAGGATCTCGAAGGTTGCGCTGGCATCGCCCACCTTCTGGAAGATGGGGGGCACTGGGGAAGGGTGACAGAGCCATTAGGACACACAGCGGGGGATGGAGGGGCACTCTGCTCAAGAACCCGCTGCTCAAGAACCAGCATCCTGGGGGAGCTGGGACCTCCCCGGTCCCAGCTCCCCCAGGATGGAAAGGGCACTGTTTGAACCAATTCCGTGGGTCCGTGGTCGGCAAACTGTGGCTCGTGAGCCCCCTGCGGCTCTTCCACAAAATACCACAGCCTGGGCGAGTCTGTTTTGAAGAAGTGGCGTTAGAAGAAGTTTAAGTTTAAAAAATGTGGCTCTCCAAAGAAATTTCAATCATTGTGCTGTTGGTATTTAGCTCTGTGGACTAATGAGTTTGCCGACCACGGCCATAGGTCAAGGCGTTTTTAAAATTCGCTTATCCCTTCAACTTAGTGGTTTTTTGGGGTGTGTGTGTGTGTGTGTGTGTGTGTGTGTGTGTGTGTTTGTTTGTTTGTTTGTTTTTTGCAATGAGTATTTATTGATCAGTTACTACGCCAGGCACTGGAACAAGGTTCCTGACATCACAGCTCATGCCCAATGGCTGCCAGACCTCGCCCAACAGAGTGGTATTTTTCACGGGAGGAAGCCATACGCTGAGCTTGGCTAGCCTGTTTATCGGAGCCCAGAGACATAAAACCACGGGCTTTTAGAACTGAGGGGCCCCTCAAGGCCACCCCATTCAGCCACCCACATGTCACAGAGCAAATCTAAGGCCGAGGGGCAGTGATGTCCCCAGGTCACAGAGGCAGTGAGCGCAAGGGCCCAGGCTGGGCTCTGGGGGCCAGACATGCCCGACGGTGTTGAGAAAGGGGACCGGCAGCCCGGCCGGTGTGGCTCAGTGGTTGACTGTCGACCTATGAACCAGGAGGTCACGGTTCGATTCCCAGTCGGGCACATGCCCTGGTTGTGGGCTCGGACCCCAGCAGGGGATGTGCAGGTGGCAGCTGATGGATGATTCTCTCCCATCATCAATGTTTCTATCTCTCTTTCCTCACCCTTTCTCTCCGAAATCAATAAAAATGTAATAAAAAAAGGGGGGGGGGAGGTACAGGCAGCTGGGACAGAGATTCTGGAAGCAGACACTCCACCCCCAGCCATGCTGCCCAGTCCCCGGCCCCCGGCCCCCGGCCCCCGCAGGCCCTGCTGGTCGCACACACCCTGGATGAGCACGCTGAAGTCCTGGTCGTCCTCGCCGGCCACGTTGGTGGCCACGCACAGGTACCGGCCGGAGTCTGAGACCCGGGTGGGCTGGATCTGAAGCAGCCGCCCTTCCCCCAGGACGCGGAGCCGCTCATGGGGGGTCACGGGCTGGGGGGAGGCAAGAGGGGGAGCAGGGGTCACAAATGGGGGGAAGCACCCAGACAAGTGTACGCAGATTCTAACCAAGTTGTAAACACACATCAAACTGGTGTGACACCCTGGAAACCTGGTAAAAACCAAATCCGTATGACAAAAGTCGGAGAGAATGAAACGGGTGAATATCAAGTTTGATGGGACCTGTTCCCGTTTCAAAGAGTAGGATTCCCTATTAACATGCAAAGGGCGAGGCGGGGCCCAGCCCAGCTCTGGGCCAGGTGCTCTGACTGTCTTTTCTGGAAGGTTCTGAGCAGGGCTCGGGGGACCCAGGGGAGGGACCCTGAGGCTGCCCCCGGGGGCCCAGCTCACCCGTCCGTCCTTGTACCAGCTGATGGCTGGCGGGGGCGCCGCCCAGCACTCACACTCCAGGGTCAGGGTGCTGTTGACCTTGGTCTTCACCTCCTTCACTCCCACCTCCCCCAGGGAGTCGTCTTTGGAGATGGAAGGGGGGACTGCAAACCACAGGGGGGGAGTCTGAGGAGCCGGCCTGGGCGGGGGCTCACCCTGGACCCAGGAATGGGGGGCTGGCTGAAGGATCCTGGGTTCAATTCTAGTCAAGAGCACATGCCCTGGTTGCGGGCTTGATCCCCAGCAGGAGGCAGCCAATCAATGATTCTCTCTCATCATTGATGTTCCTCTCTCTCTCTCCCTCTCCTTTTCTCTCTTGAAATCAATAAAAATATATTTTAAAAAAACCACAACCACCAAAAAAAAAAACCAAAAAAACAAACAAACCCAACAATACCAAAACCCAACAAATGGCGCTTGGCAGAGAAAAAGGTTCCCCACCCCTGCCTTAAGGCGAGACTGTGTATCAGCGATGGCTACGGGCCAGGGCAGGCCGGAGGCAGGGGGATTCCTGGGGTGACCTCTGGGGCCTCAGGTCTCCAGCTGGGGAGACTCTGACTGCATCACAGCAGAAAGAAGCTGGAGTGGGTGTGGGCATCCACGTGGCCCACGTCCTAGCTCGCCATTCCCCCTCCGAGTGTCCTGGGCCCTCAAATGGGGAATGACCAGCCCGCCTGGCGACTGTCAGAGCAGAGGAGCCCATGAAGGCGTCCGGGACAAATGCCTGCCTCCCCCCCGCGCCCGGGGGCCGCCTCACTGAGGACTTCCACGTGGTAGTTCTTCACGGCCTCCCCCAGCTCGTTGGTGACCACGCAGGTGTACTGGCCCGCGTCTTCCTTCTGGGCGTTCAGGATCTGCAGCCCGTGGGTGCCTGCTTGCAGAGCGGCGGCCCGGGTCACCTCAGGCGCGAGCTGGGGTTCGCCAGCCCGTCCTTGACCCCTCGCGCCTCCCCGCCCCCCACCCCCGAGGGCATCACCTGGGAGCAGCTGGATGTTGTTTGAGGCCTCGAATGGGGACCCGTCCTTCATCCAGGTGATGGTGGGGGAGGGGAAGGCCAGGGCCTCACAGATCAGAGAAATGGGGTTGTTGATGGTCACGGTCACCTCCTCGTCTGCACCATCCTCAGTCACCCCCATGATGGAGGGAGCCACTGTGACGGGAGGAAGGGGGGGAAGGCGGGTGCGCGTGAACAGAGAGCCCGACCCAGGAAAGCCTCAGGCGCGCGGTGCCCAGCGGTGCCATTTGCATTGCCCAGGTGGGAAACGGAGGCTCAGCGGAGCCCAGGCAGGTGCGGCCACACTTGAACTCAGGCCCGGGGGACCCGGAGCCCCAGCTCTCCACGGCTGAGCAATGCACGAGGGAAGCTGGACAACTTCTGCCTCAATTTCCCCAACGGCCTCTTAGCAGCCAGCGTATCTAGTAATTTAACCAGAGTCTCCTCAGTTCTGTTTGCGTTTCCAATCTGCGCCACTCCCGGAGTGTGGGGGCGGGGGGGGGGGTGCGGCAAGGAGGTGGGGTGATGCTCCCTGCTGAGTAGACGCCCTCTGCTGTCACTGACCCTAAAGTCCTCTTCCGGGCCCTGCAGGGACCATCCATTTGGCCACCAGCACTTTTAAAAGTGGATTTTCCGAGACCAGCCAGTGCCCCTCTTGATTTCGAAACCCCATTTCCCCAGCCCAACAAAACGGGGCTGCACCGCCCTCGAGAGCAGAGTGGACGGCTGGAGGCTGGCCTGTCCTCTCTCTAAGCCACAGAGCTCCCTCAGTGACACCAGCGCCGCCCACCTCCTGGGGCTGCTGTGAAGACTCCGCCAGGACGGCCTGGGCACCTGCCTGGCCTGTAAGGGCTCAGCCACTAGAGCTGTTTGCTGTTGAACATGGAGAGCGTGGGGGAAGCTGCCTGCCAGGTCACTGTGGCCCTGCCTCCCGCCAGCACCAGGGCAGACATCGCTAATGGATCACCGCTCTCCTTCCTGCTGGACCCTGATGCAGTCCCCGAGTCCACCTCATCGCAATGCATCCAGGGAGCGGCCAGGAGAGGCCCAGCTCACCCAGGACGCTCAGCTGCACATGCTTGGTCCTCTCCCCCACGGCGTTGGCGGCGACGCAGGAGTAGTGGCCGGCGCTGGACAGGTTGGCCTGGAGGACCTGCAGGAGGGCTCCGTCTGGAGAGATGTGCTGGGTGTCTCCACCGGCCAGGGGCCGGCCGTCTTTGAACCATGTGACCCTGGGCTGCGGGTGGCCTTTGTGGGGAGGAGAGAGGCAGGTAAGACAGTTCAGCAGGATTGGACCAGGTTGGAGCAGTGGTCACTCCAGGAAGGGGGCGGGGCGGAGGGGGCCATGTTTTTCCATCACAGTCCAGAGGCCCATGCACCAGGGCAGGACACAGAAGCAGCCACCTCTTCCTAAAGGGTTTGACTGCCTTTTCCTTACGGAGGAGTGGACAGAGATGGCGAGTATAGACAGAAGAAAGACAAGATATTCCTTCCATCCTCCCATCCATCCACCCACCCATTCATGTATCTAAACATACCTATATACATACATGTATACATACACCTATCCACCTAACTTGTCCACCTATCCACCTCCCCATCCATCCATCCATCCATCCTTCCATCCATCCATCCTTCCATCCATCCAGCCATCCATCTTTCCATCCAGCCATCCTTCCATCCACCCGCCCATCCAGCCAGCCAGCCATTCATCCACCTAAACATACATATATACATACATGCATACATACACCTATCCATCCTCCAATTTGTTCATCTATCCACCTCCCCATCCATCCATCCATCCATCCATCCATCCATCCATCCATCCATCCATCCACCTATCCATCTATCCACCCGCCCACCTCCCCATCCACCTGCCCACCCATCCATCCATCCATCCATCCACCCATCCATCCATCCACCCATCCATCCACCCATCCATCCACCCCAGTTCAGAAGCATAACGAAGGCCCTGAGGGAACCTCGGTGACAAGGTAGACCTGGGTCCTCAAGGACCTCAGAGCCCCGCTGGGGTGCAGAGGTGTCACAAGGCCACCATGGATCAGTGTGGTCAGTACTGGGATGGGGTGCAGAGGGCCGGGATAGGCAGGCAAGATCCCCAGCACCCCCTTTTCACAGCTGCCTTCTCACCTTTCCCCAGCCCGCTGTGTGGCCGTGTGGCCTTACCTGTGGCATTGCACGTCAGGTTGGCTGTCTGTCCCTCAGGCACCTTCACCATCTCCTCCAGGTCCTCGTTCTCGATACTGGGAGGAACTGGGAGAGCAGGGAGACAGCCAGACACTGACTAGTTTTCCCCATTCCCTTGTGCCTGGTTCCACAGGGCCGAGGGAGAACCAGTGCCCTGGGAGAAGGCTCTAATCAGAGCAAGGTGGAGGTAGAAATATCTTCTCGGGGGCTGTGACGTACCCAGGACCTCCACGCTGAAGGTCCTCCGTGCCTCCCCGGCCTCGTTGCTGGCCAGGCACGAGTAGAGGCCTCTGTCCCGCTCCTGGATCCGGGTCACCTTCAGCATCCAGCCGCCTGGGGAGGGAGGAGAGTGGGCTCCGCGTGTGGCTCTGAGTGGCCTCTGTCCCGAGCCGAGCCAGGCTGACCACCAGGGAGAGGAGAGTGCCCGGCGCCTCAATCAGCTGTCTGCCTTCCCCAGTGCCCCATTCCTCAGGCGGGAAAACTGAGGCCCAGGAGGGTGAACAGATGGCTGGAGGCCCAGGACATTAGAATAATGTCTGAGGCCCTGTTTCGGGAGAAGGACCTGTCACCTGGCGACCCCCACTTCTGGAGACCGGCCACAGCGAAAGGGACACCGCAGGCCTGCTGCGCTGATGGACCCTGGAAAAGGCCACCTTCTCCCAAGACCGGCCCAGGGGAGGCACACGCACGGGACACGAGATCACGGCTGCTCCTACGCCCGGGGCAGACATCGCTAATGGATCACCGCTCTCCTTCCCGCTGGGCCCTGACGCAGTCCCTGAGTCCACCTCATCGCAATGCACCTGGCAGCCCCGCCGAGTGCTCCCAGGAGGTGCCCAAGGGGAAGCTAACTGCCACCCCAGCCTTGGAGCAGCCAGAGCATCCTTGTGGGTCCCTGAGACTGGGCTCCAGGGGCCCTGACCTCCTCACAAGCTTTGGATGGGATACTGCCTCCCAGACCTCAGTTTCCCCGTCTGTATGTCAGCAAACCAACTCTGTGAGGAGGATGGCTACCAGAGGCGGAGGCGCTCAGAGCCTATGTCCATTCGCCCGCCTGCCCTGCTCTGAGAGATGTTCTATAGGCACCGTGAGAATTTTTGCTGCAGGACCTATCAGAACCTCGACTACAAATGGTCTCTGTGAGTCTCTAGGAGGGGAGCAGAGCAGGAAGCCTTTCTAAATGTATGCAAATCTGCTTCCTGGAGCACAGCGCCTGCCAGTGTTCTGGGATGGCCTCTTGGGGGGCCAACCGCCGAAATGGCCGCTCGGGGTCAGAGGTCACGGGCACGTGCTGAGCAGAGGCAGAAGCAGAGGGCCAGGCCCGATCGCTGGACACTCCCCGATCACCAGGCCCCTTACCGGCCAACAGGTAGGTGTCCTCTCCGGGTCGGAGCGGCTCCTCGCCTCGGAACCAGCGGACCCGCGGGGGCGGGATGCCCGTGGCCTCACAGAGCAGCGTCAGGGGGCTGTGCAGGGCGGCCGTGACGTTGGTCAGCGGGTCCGAGTCTCCGGTGAGCTCCGGGGGCACTGGGCACAGAGACACGGCCTCATTCAGGGTGCAGACAGGGCTGTGGGCGCCGTCCTCCACCCCCAGCACGGCCCTCCCCCGGAGCCCCACCCCACGCAGAAGGGGCTGAGGAGCGGAGGTGACTCTGAGAGGGGTGAGTGGCGATCACAGTGTCAGGGTCAGGGCCTCAGTTTCTCCAGCCCCCAGGAGGGATGCCAGGATTCAACAAGAACCCGTGTCAAGCTCTCGGCACAGTGCTGAGCAAACGAGACTGGCTGAGAGCAAAGGTGGGCACAGATGCGTCCCCCAGATCCACACGTCAGAGCCACGCGGGGCGCTGTGGTGTCTAGAGCCGCGGTTTGCTGCTCTGTTGACTAATGGGTTCGCCCACTGACCTAGAGTCTCGATTCCAACAATTACAGGCCCTTGGGATTAAGCCCCTATCCCAGTGGTCGGCAAACTCATTAGTCAACAGAGCAGCAAACTGAGCCTCGCGAGCCGAATGTGGCTCACAGGCCACAGTTTGCCGACCCTGGTCTAGAGCATCCACTCGGTAAGGAAGCCTGCTCTATCAGGCTGGGGTGAGTGGGTGAGGTGGGGTCCCGGCCACACTGCCCTCCTCTCCCCTCTTCTCTCTCACCACTCTGCACTTCTGCCCCGAGGCTCACGGTAGGAGCTCAAGAAAAGACTGAAACCACAGGCTGTGCTAGCTCCCCTGAGCGTGACACCCTCCAGGCTCTGTGAGGTCTGTTCCCTCTGCCTGGCCCATTTCCTCCCTCACCCTGGCACCTGGTTAGCTCCCATCCTGCTTGTACATCTGAGCTGACAGGCCACCTCCTACAGGAGGCTGCCCTGACTTCCCCGAGAGAGCTCAGGCCCCTGAATTCCCCTGTCACGTGTGAGTCAGGAGGAGAGAGCTGCTGATTTTCACAGTGCCCAGGACAGAGCAGGGGATAGACAGAAAGGGAGGGAAATGTGTGTGTGTGTGTGCGCGCGTGCGTGTGCGTGTGCGTGTGTGTGTGTGTGTGTGTGTGTGTGTATGTGTGTGTGACAGAGAGAGAGGAGAGAGAGAGAGAGAGAGAGAGAGAGAGAGAGAGAGAGAGAGAGAAGGGGGAGATTTCCACGGTGCCCAGAACAGAGCAGGGGATAGACAGAAAGGGAGGGAAATGTGTGTGTGCGTGTGTGTGTGTGTGTGTGTGTGTGTGTGTGTGAGAGAGAGAGAGAGAGAGAGAGAGAGAGAGAGAGGGAGGGAGGGAGGGAGAGAGAGAAGGAGGAGATTAGGGCTATTTGAAGCCAGTCCTGGTTGGGAGCAGTGCTGCTGGCTTCCCCAGAGACCTCACCAGAGGCCCGCCTCTTGGGAGAATGAGGCGTGACCCGGGCACAGACTGAGGGCTGTGCCTGGAGATTGAACCGGCCTTGCCTTCCCCAGCCCGGGCCCCCTCGCCGCCCTCCTCCGGCCGGCCGGCCCGGGTCCTCACCCAGCACGGAGAGCGCAAACCTCCTCTCGGCCCTCCCGGCCACGTTGTCAGCCACGCAGCTGTAGCGCCCGGCGTGGGCCGCCTGCGCCTGCTGCACGTGCAGGCTCCGCCCCTGGCTCTGGGGCCGCAGGCCGGGCTCGGCTCCCAGCGGCCGGCCGTCCCGCTCCCACGTCACCCTGGGCGGGGGCTTCCCGGTGACGTTGCATTCCAGAGCGGTCTCCTCGCCCCGGACCACGGAGACCTGCGTGGGGGGCTCGCGGGGGCCGGCGATCTGCGGGGGAACTGGGGCGGGGAGAAGGTTGCTGTGGTCGCCAGGCAGCAAGCTCTCACATCGGGGCCCAGCTGGCCCGTGCTCCCCACGGCCTCTCCCTGGCCGGGTGACCCTGGCCAGGGGACCTCATCTCTCTGGGCCTCCGTTCTCCATCCTCACAATGGGGCCATGCGCTCCACTCCTGCCCCTCTCTGACCCTGGGGACCCGGGGAGGGGCCTGCTGTCAGGAAAACAAGCTCTCAGCACAGCCCCAAAGGACTGTGGGAGGTTTCCTTCCTCAGAAACCGGCCTTTCTGCAGCTCAGGCCATCGGGGCCGGCAGGGGTCGGGGTTACTCTCTCCAAAATGCTTTTCTTGGTCTTATTTTTCTTTTCTTTTTTTTGATATATATATATATATATATATATATATATATATATATATATATATATATATAATTTTAGAGAGGAAGGAAGAGGAAGAGAGATAGAAGCATCAATGATGACAGGGAATCTTTGATTGGCTGCCTCCTGCACAGCCCCTACTGGGGACCAAGCCCGCAAGAGCATATGCCCTTGGCTGGAATCGAACCCAGGACCCTTCAGTCCACAGGCCAATGCTCTATCCACTGAGCCAAACCGGCTAGGGCTCTCGGTCTTATTTTCTAAGCGGAGATATTTCATCTTATCCCTGCAGGACGCAAAGCCGGAGACTTAGGCTTCCCTTATGCACAGGAGCTTCGTAGAAATTTTACGTCCCTTCCAGTTTCTGTTTCAAGTTATGTTTTCCCCTCTGGGTCACTGGGGGCTCCTGGGGTCACGCTGCCCCCCTCAGGCTGAGGCTCGGAGACGCAGGAGCTGGCTGGGAGGGGGGTAAGGAGATGCCTGGGATCTAAGAGGCCCGGGAAGTGCTCTCATAATGGCTGTCCCTGTCTTGGCTTGGATCCTGGGGGTGGGGTTTCCCCTGCCAGGTGCCTGCCTGCCCCCCTTCCGGCCCCTCCTGCCTGGCTCAGGCCACCCCGCCCTGCTCACCGTGCACCTCCAGCTGCTGGTCCTGGCTGCTATTCCCGGCCACGTTGCTGCACTCACAGGTGTAGGTCCCCTCCTGGGACGGCCGGGCCGGTCCCAGGTACAGCAGCCGCCCCACCGCCGACACCTGCTCCAGGCCGGGCCCCTCCCCGGGCACGGGCTGACCTGGATGCGGCAAGAAAGGGCCCCCGATTCCTGGTCCCCCCACCATCCTGGCCAAGTCCTGTGGGAGAAGGCTGTCCCTGCCCTGGATGGGTGTCCCCACCCCAGAGTCTGGCGGAGATGGAGATGGTGGGCCTGCAGCCCCAGGGGAGGGTTCTTGGTTACAGAAATGACACTGTCCTCAGTCCCACTCTGCTCGGCCCCCACGTCTGCTGGGCACCCCAGCCCCTTCCGTACCGTCCTTCCTCCAGGTGACCTTGGGGAAAGGGACACCCTGGCATTCGCAGGACAGCCTGGCGGGGTGGCCCTCGGTCACGGTGAGGATGCGGGGCTCCCTCGAGGGGAACGCTGGAGGGACTAAGAGGAGAGAGGGGGTCAGGGGGTGGGGGGCTGGGAGGGGACCAGCCGAGGCAGCAGTCCCCCCCCCCAGGCACGCGAGCTGGCCGCGTAGGGGCGGGGCGGGCAGGAGGGACCGCAGCCCGGCCCAGGAGACCCTCACCCCAGATGTTGAGGTTGTAGTGCTTCTCCGAGCGGCCCGCCTGGTTCAGCGCCTCGCAGGTGTAGCGGCCGGCATCGCTCACCGCTGCCCTGTCCACCTGGCCGGCGGCGACAGGAGCCGTCAGCGGGGGCAGCACGGAGCGGGGTGCCCCAACCTCCCCACCCGGCCCGGGCACCTCCTGCACCCTGCAGTTTCCCGAAGCCGGTGCCTGCGGGGGCCTCCTGTGGGTCAGCCCTGCCAGCCACACCCGCAGCCCAGCCCGTTCTGGCAGAGCAGCCCTGAGGAGAAGGTGCAGGGTGAAGAAGGGGGGGGAACCCTGTCCTCAGGGGTCAGAGCCTGACAGGTGGTGACGGTGGTGGCTCTGAGGGAAGGAGAGGCAGGCTTTCCAGACAGAGCAAACCAGAGGGGGTGCTCAGGGTCGGGAATGACCATATCACAAGGAGTAGGGCGGTGGGAGGAGGAGGAGCAGGCTGGATGCAAGGTTCTCCCCAGCAGCAGCAGCAGAGGCGCCACCCCTCCCGGAGCTGACGTGGATGAGCTGCTCTGGGGCAGGGCGGGACCTCCCGGGCCTGCCTCTGAGAACCCTCCCACCTCCCAGGAGAGAGGCACCGATGTGTCTGCAGGGGAGAGGCCCTGGGCCAGTGTGTCAGGATGCTGGGGGAGGCGCAGCCAGAGGAGGCGGGGCTAGAGGTTAAATCCAGGCTGACTCCAGAGTCCCGACCCCACACACCCCTGCCTTGCTGGGCCCGATGCCGATACCGGGGCTTCAAGGCCCAAAGGCGAGGCGGCTTCGGAACAAGGAGTGGAAAACAAGCAGAAAGACCTGCCGGCTTCGTGGGGGGCGGAGGCGCCCGAAGGCTCAGTCCCCGCTGGGCTGGTCGGGAGGATGCGCCCTGGGTGTTGGGTCTGGGGGGGCCTGTGGGGCCCACGCAGCTGAAGGCGCCTCGCAGGGCACCCACGGCCCCCGCCCCGCCCCCAGCCCCCCGGGCTCGGCTCCACTCGCCTGCAGCAGGGCCCCGTCTGCGGAGAGGCGGGCTCCGGGCCGCGGCTCCAGGGGGCGGCCGTCCTTCCGCCAGCTCAGCACGGGCGGGGGCACGGCGTGGCTCTGGCACTCCAGCACCACCGACGCGTTGGCCACGACGGATACGTTCCTCTCCTCCCCGAGGATGCTGGGCGGCACTGGGAGGGGCGGAGGGGGTGCCTCAGTAGGTGTGTGTGGGGGGGGCAGCAGGATGGAGCCGACGCCCTGAGCCCCGGCCCTCTCATCCCCCCTCATGACCTCCAGCGCCGCCTCAAAAGGAGGCCCGGGCCCAGGGGGGCGGTGGGTGTAACAGCGGCCGCATCCTGGCCGACAGCACTTCAGGACAAGCGTTACCTCCCAGGTAACCTCGGGGGACCGTGGCGAAAGGACCCGGGGTTTCTCTGTATTGTTTCCGGCAGCTCACGTGAGTCTAAAATGATCTCAAGCTCTTTTTTTAAAATTTACAATAGCTTTACTTCTTAAATGTGTGTTTAAAAGCAGGCCCCCAGCCACCTTCTCCTGCGGCGTGGGGTCGGGGTCAGGAAGGCGGGTCCGGAGTCAGAGGCCCTGGCGGAGCCCTGGGCCTGACACGTGGCCACTGTGTGATGATGGAGCAGCTCCGGCCGGCGATGAAATGCAATGACCCTGGGGCACACGCTGCCTGCTGACCACTATCCGGACTCGGCGATGGGAGGAGCTGGACTGGAACGCTCCCCCAGCCCGCACCCCCCACCCCCCACCCCGGCTCCACATTTCCCAGAGCTCCCTGTGCATCTATAGAGGTCTCACAAGACCCCCTTCAAGGACATTTTATTTTATTAGTATTTTTAGTATTTTTTTTTATTGATTTCAGAGAGGACAGAAGAGGGAGAAAGAAACATCCATGATGAGAGAGAATCATTGATTGGCTGCCTCCTGCACACCCCCTAATGGGGATCCAGCCTGTAACCCAGGCATATGCCCTTGACTGGAATTGAACCCGTGACCCTTCAGTCCGCAAGCTGATCCTCTATTCACTGAGCCAAGCTGGCCAGGGCATCGAGGACATTTTAAAACCAGAGCAACTGTCACTATGCTGAGTGTGGTGAGCCCCAAGACACCTTGGGAGTGGGTGCCACCTTTGCCCATTGCACAGATGAACAAACGGAGGCTCAGAGGAGCGAAGTGACCAGCCCGAGGCCACGGAGCTAAGACGTGGCGGAGGCAGGATTTGAACCCCGGATCCATGCACTGCAGAGCCGGTCCCTAACCACCACCCCACACCACCTTGCCCAAATGCACCGTCATCCCCACTGACCCAGGAGAGTGAATACGTCCGACTGTCGGCTCTTGGCCATGGGTGCCTCCTGCCACGGCACTCGGATCCCCTGGCTGAGTGAGGCCACCCACCCGCCCACCTGCTCACCCTCCAACTGACCCCACGGGAAGGCAGCTCGGGCTCAGGCTGCATGTCTCACACCCACCACCCTCCTCTGAGTGCGGCCGGACACCCCCGCCCCACACTCCTGAGCACGGCCTCCGGGCCCGACACTCACCGTGGACGTGCAGGGCGACCTCCCGGCGGTCCTCGCCCACGGCACTCACGGCCACGCAGGAGTAGGTGCCCGCGTCGGAGGCCCGGGCGCTGGCCAGCGTGAGGCTGCGGCCCCCGGGAAGGACCTGCGCCCCAGAAGGAAGCCCCCGTGAGGTTATGCACCCCGAGGCCAGCTCCACGCCTTCCCCAGCTGGCCCTGCTGACGGCACGCCCGGGCAGCCTGCTCCAGACGCCCGGAACCCCCAGACCTCAGCCCGGTGCCGGCTGGCGGGCCATCACAGGGGTCCCTGGGGATGGCCCCCTATAACCTCGCTGTGCCTAGTGAGCCCTTGGGAGGGGGCCAGCCCGCAAGCGTAGGATACACAGCGGGTCCCAGAGTTAGTACGAAAAGGATGCAAAACGTCTCACTCATCGCTTTCCATATTGGTGGTGATGGAATTACGCTGTTTGGATAGACTGGGTTAACCTAAATGCCTATTAAAATTGCTTTCACCTGTTTCTCCTCACTCACCTCCTGCAGCTGCGGGCATTCTAGTTCACACGCACTTGTTTCTGGAGACAATGCTGAGACTCTCTGCTCAGCAGCCCCTCCCCGTCCCCCCACCCGCCCTGGGCGGTCACCGCTCCCCCCACCCCCCATGCCTTGGAGCTCCGAGGCCGGCCTCTGCGCCCAGCACCTCCCCCCTCCCTGAGGCGGCAGGAGGCAGCGGGCCGCCCAGCCCTACTGACCTGGGGGCTGGAGGTCCCTGCCGTGGACACGGGGTTTCCGTCCTTCAGCCACAGCAGGGTGGGGCTGGGGCTGCCGGTGGCGCTGCAAGTCAGCCGGACCGGGGCTCCGAGCAGCACGGGGCCCGGCAGGCTGGGCGGCAGCGTGATGTGCGGAGGCACTGTAGAGGCGAGGGGAGGGGGTGACACAGAACACAGGCTGAGCCCCACTCGGGACATATCGGGGAGGGCACCTGGCTGGGTCACCCCCTCCCAGGCCACACACAAAAGCACAGGGACGGCCACTCAACATGGGCGGATACCCCTGCACAGTCCTCAAGGCTGCTCATCTTATCTTTAAAAATATATATATTTTTTTATTGGTTTCAGAGAGGAAGGGAGAGGGAGAGAGAGAGAAACATCAATGATGAGAGAGAATCACTGACCAGCTGCCTCCTGCACGCCCTCCACTGGGGATCGAGGCCACAACCCTGGGCATGTGCACTGACTGGGAATGGAACCCAGGACCCTTCCGTGCACAGGCTGATGCTCTACCCACTGAGCAAACCGGCCAGGGCTCATCTCGTCCTTTCCAGGCCATCCTGAGGCCTCTGCAGAGGAGAACCAGGGCTCCGGGAGGCAGTCACCGGCCCGAGGGGGCCGGCCAGGAAGCCGCAGCAGCAGCACCTGCACGTGGGCCTCCTGCTCAGCCCACCCCGGGGGCGCGGAGGGGTGATGAGGGCTGAGGACCCCGGGCAGGTCCTGTTTTCCAGCTCAGAGGCATCAGCTCAAACGCTCGCCTGCGGGCAGTCCCGTGGGGGCAGGTGATGACCCTCCTGTATCTGGGAGCCACGAGCCAGGATGCTCCCCACTGCTCTGAGGACAAAGACCGGAGCCCTCCACGTCCATCTCCCCAGCCCGGCCCCTGGTTCTGTGAGCTCCAGGCCCCGGCCTCCTGGCCTTTCCTCAGCTCCCTCTCTCCCTGCAGCCGCAGGCCTGGCAGGCGGTCTCTGTTCCGGCATCCAGCTCTCCGAGACGCCTCCGGGCTCCCAGGCCAGGTCAGAGCCAGGCTCCCGGCCCTCAGGGTATGCACCTCGCCTTTGCTAGCTCTTGTCACAGCATCAGGAGTGGGGCTCTGGGTAATGACCTACCCCTGTGCCCTCCCCCAGAGGAAGCACCGGCCTGCCCCCTCAGGGCGGCAGCACCAGGGTTTGTGGTCCCCAGAGTGTGTCCTTCATCAATGTGGTTGCAGAGAAGATGGGTAGATGGAGGAATGGATGGCTGAGTGGATGGATGGATGGATGGATGGATTGGCGGATGGGTGGACAGATGGATTGTTAGATGGGTGGATGAGCGGGCAGAGAATTGGATGGATGATTGGATCAATGGGTGGACAGTTGGGTATGGATATATGGATGCATGGATATATGGATGGATAATGAATGGATAAAATAATAGATGGGTGAATGGATGATGGATGGGTGGATGGATGATGGAAGAAAGGATGGATACATGGATGAATGATGAGTGGGAAAATGAATGGACGATGGATGGAAGAAAGGATGGATGAATAGATGTATAAATGCTGAATGGATGAATTATGGATGCAAGAAAACATGGCTGAGTGGATAATGGATAGATAGATGATGGGTGGAAGGAAGGAAGGAAGGATGGATGAGTAGATGGGTGGATGGTGAATGGATGAATTATGGATGCAAGGAAACATAGATGGATGAGTTGATAATGGATAGGTGGATGATGGGAGGAAGGAAGGAAGGATGAGTAGATGGGTAGATGATGAATGGATGGATATGGGGTAGATTTGAAGACAAATAGATGGAAAATAATTGTTGCACAAGAATCCTATAGTCCCGGGGCGCTCACCATTGACCCGCAGGCCGTACTGCAGCTCGGTGCCACCCGCCACATTGGACGCCACACAGCGGTAGCTCCCGGCGTCCGAAAGCCGGGCTCGCTCAATGCGGAGAACTCTCCCGTCAGCCGACACCGTGACGCCCTCCCGAGCAGAGACAGGCTGGCGGCCCTTGAACCAGGAGATGTCTTCGGGAGAGAAGAGAGACACTGGGGTCCTGCCCGCCCTTCAGACCGTGCTGTGTGCCGGGCGGTGTTGCTGAGAGAGGACCAGGGCAGAGAGGAAGCCCGGGGGTGAGAGGCCGAGAGCAGGGAGAGTCCACGCGGGCCTGCCCCCCTCGGCTCCTGCTATAGAGGAGAACCCAGAGCACCCCGAAACGGCAGCCTCAGAAGCACGGAGCAATTGTATCCAGTTCCTGCATCCTGCCAGGGCCCATCCCGGAACCTAACAGGGTATTTGCCCCATCGGGTGGGGCAATAACCTTAGAGCTCGCTACCCCAGCAAAACTGGGTGGACCTGGTTTTTTTTTTGGGGGGGGGGGGAGGAAATGGGCCCTCCTCCTGGGCCCATCCTGGCTGCCCAACACCCACACCAGCCCCAAGATCCCAGCCTTTGCCGCGACTGTTCGTCTAGAGCAGGGGTCGGCAAACTCATCAGTCCACAGAGCCAAACATCAACAGCACAACGACTGAAATGTCTTCTGAGAGCCACATTTTTTAAGCTTAAACTCCTTCTAACGCCACTTCTTCAGAATAGACCCGCCCAGGCCGTGGTATTTTGTGGAAGAGCCACACGCAAGGGGCCAACAAGCCTCCTGTGGCTCTCGAGCTGCAGTTTGACGACCCCTGAAGGAGAGGCAGACAGACAGCGACCTGGCAACTGGGCGGCCCGGCCCTCGCCCCCAGTGGGGCAGCCTGTGAAGCTACAGCTCCAGACCAAGCCGCGCGGTTTGCTTCAGACACTAGCGCCCTCGCTTCCCGGCCTTTGGGCCGAGGTCAAGTGCAGACACCAGCGCACAGGCTCTGGGCCCTGGCGGTGACCTGGGCACTGGTGAACAGCTGTTGAGAAGAGAGGAAAGTGCAAAGAACAGGCAGTGCTATGGGCAGTGCCATGGGCACTGGTGAACAGCTGTTGAGAAGAGAGGAAAGTGCAAAGAACAGGCAGAGGGGCCTGCTGAGCCATCCTGTCTCCATGACCAGAGCGGTGCCTGGCACGGGCCAGCCTCAGCAGGTGGGGCCTGGGGCCGGGCAGGCGGCTTTCCATCACCGGGAGGGGTCTTACCTGGAGGGGGCACGCCGGAGGCCAGGCACTCCAAGGTCACCGAGGCGTTTTCCAGCACCGCCTTGTTGGCCAGGACCGGCTCGATGTTGGGGGGCACTGGGGGAGACAGGGAGCGCCCTCAACTCTCAGCCATTCCAACGTCTCTCCCCAGCCTTCCTGAAAGGCCCGGGGCAACAAGAGCCCTCCCTGGCTCATGCCCTCTGACCCAGGAACCCCCCTCCTGAGCCACGCCCAAGAATAAATCTTCATTGCAATCACATAGAGACCGTCCCGGCACCCACCCCCAGGACAGCCGAGCCCAGCGGGAAGGCGGACTCAGAGAGCCATGGAAAGTGGCAAGTGCAAGGACCTGCCCACCTGTGCGAGGATGCAAAGGGACCCCCAAAACGAACAAGGCAGCAAAGGCAAATATGGCTGCGGACAAGCGTGTCCCGTAAAATCCCTCAGAAAGCCACCCCTGGGGGCCACACAGCAGCATTTTTTTCCTTTTTTTATGTATTTGTATTGATCTCAGATGAAGGGAGAGACACGCATCAGTGATGAGAGAGAATCATCTATTGGCTGCCTCCTGCATGGGGATGGAGCCCGCAAGCCAGGCAGGTGCCCTGACCTGGAATTGAACCCTGACCTCCTGGTTCATAGGCCGACACTCATCCACTGAGCCACCCAGGCCGAGGGCCCTCACAGGATCCCCCACCCTCCGTCCCCGTGTCCTCACCCAAAACCTTGAGCACCGCATCCCTCCTGCTCTCGCCGGCCACGTTAGTGGCGACACAGGTGTAGATGCCTTCGTCCCTCAGGTCCACCTTCTCAATCTGGGGCGGGAAAGGCGGGGGGACAGAGGTGTGTCATGGGGAGGTGGGGCTGGGGGCACGGGGTCCGGAACCGGAAGTCCTCAGAACGGTGCTGGGACGTGACCAGTGGCCAGGCCGCGTGGACCCAGGAGCAGGAGGAGGGAGGCGTGGGCGCGAGTTTGGCTCTGGGTGCAGTTTGAACCGCACACAGACTCCAGGGAACCCTCCTGGTCTTGGGGACCCCCCTTCTGCCCACTTTCTCCCTCTGACAGCTGAATCTCGGGGGACGTGGACTAGGTTAAATTGCCCCCCCCCCCCTTCAGTCCACTGAGAATTCCCAGCTGAACGGGTTCTTTGCCGGTCCTGCCCCAGCCTCCCGGGCCCTAGGAAGAGGCTCCTCCTTCTATGCCAGGTCACCCCGCTAGCCCTAGGGCCCCCCAATGTACCTGCAGGTTCCCCCCCGAGGCTGCCAGGGCCACCCCGTCCTTCCACCAGCGGAGGCTCGGAGCCGGCACCCCGGTGCCCGCACACCGGAGGGTCACAGGCTGCAGGAAGGGGGCGGTGACGTTCTCACCGCCGACGATGACCGCTGATGGGAGCTCTGGGCAAGGGGAGGCGGGGAGGACAGGCCAGGGTCAGCAGGGTGCAGGGTACCCAGCAGCCCCTTCATGCCGGGGATTAGGAGTGGCCTGCAGAGCTGCCCTCTAGCCTCCCCCACTCATCCCCTAGACACCTGGCTTTGGGGAAGACTGGCCGCCTGGACCCAGCACGGCAGGTCTTTCCTTTCCTTATAAAGTCTCCCATCCACCCACCCACCCACCCATTCATTCACCCACCCATCCACCCACCCACCCATCCATCCATCCATCCATCCATCCATCCATCCACCCATCCACCCATTCACCTGCCCATCCATCCATCCATCCATCCATCCATCCATCCATCCATCCATCTATCCACCCACCCACCCACCCATTCACCCACCCACTCTCCCATCCACCCACCCATCCACCCATCCATCCATCCACCCATCCACCCATTCACCTGCCCATCCATCCATCCATCCATCCATCCACCCATCCATCCATCCATCCATCCATTCATCTGTCCACCCACCCACCCATCCATCCATCCACCCATCCACCCATTCACCTGCCCATCCATCTAACCATCCATCCATCCATCCATCCATCCATCCATCCATCCATCTATCCATCCATCCATCCACCCACCCATCTATCCATCTATTCACCCACCCATCTACCATCCATCCATCATTGAGCATCTATCTACACTGAGCCCCAAGTGTACCAGGCACAGGGACACAGCCAGGAATGGTGGCCGCTGTGTTGTCCTCTCAGAGTTCCCAAGCTGGGCTGAGAGTCGGACAACGAAACAAGCACTGCCAGTACAGGGAGTGGCGAGCGACAGCCAAGAGAAGTGGGCGGTGTGGGTTATTAGCGCCACAGTGAAATCAAGGAGGGCTTCTGGGAGGAAGGGGCGTTTTAGGACAGACCTGAAAAACAAAGAAGTGCTAGGAGGCAAAGGAAGAGAATGTTCCGGGAACAGAAACAGCGTTTTCAGGCACGGAGGTGAGAGAGCTGACATATTTTAAAGAGCTGAATGAGGTTCGTGGTGGTCAGTGGGCAGAGAGGGAAGAAGCCTGGGGAGAAAACTGAGACCTGAGGCCTGGACACGTGACAATGGGGTGGACAGCTCAGACCAGTTTCCACGCCTCTTCTCTCTGGGGAGCTGGGCAGCACAGCCCAGACGTGCCGTCTAGAGAAGACCAGCCCCCATCCCTCCCCGGTCCCCCAGAGGCCCGGTGGCCTCGGTCCCGGCTCCCTCCACCGGCCGCGGCTGCCCTGGCCGCTCACCGTGCACAGACAGCTCCACCTCGGCGCCCGCGGTGCCCGCCTCGTTGGTGGCCTGGCAGGAGAAGAGGCCCGCGTGGCCTGGCTCCACGTGGCCGATGTGCAGCGTGGTCCCCTGGGCGGCCACCTGCACCCCCTCCAGCTCCTCGGCCGGGCGGCCATTCTGCAGCCATCTGAGGTGGGGGGCGGGGGCGGTCAGCCTGCGGCCGGGGAGGAGGGCCAGCGGGACAAGCAGGGGCCCGCAGTGTCTCCGCCTGCTCGCACATCCGGCCTTTGCCAGGCCTCTGGGAGGGGGTGTCTCTCCAAAGCATGTGCCCTCTGCGCCCAGCCCCAGCCCCAGCCCGGGTCTTCACCCCCTCCCCGCCCACCCCCCACATACGCACTGGATAGTGGGCGCCGGGGAGCCCGAGGCCTGGCAGGGAACTTCCAGGCGCTGTCCCACGAGGGTGGTCACCTGGCCCAGGCCTTCAGCCACCAGGAGCTGGGGGGGCACTGCAGGCAGGAACCCCACTGGGTGGTCAGCGCTGAGCACACCCCTGCCTGGAGCCCTCTACGTCCCCCGTGGCCCCAGAACGAGGCTCCAGGCACACCCGCCATTCCAGTTCCCCATAACGGCCCCGGCACTGAGGCTTGTCCTGTTCATGTATGTCTGTCTCACCGGCGGACCCAGGGCTCAGGGGTCCTGCCACCTCGCTCCCCCCTCCTCTCCAGCCCCTCCGGGCCAGCCCCAATCAGCCCCCGAGAGGCCAGTCCAGGGGAAGAAGGCAGGGGACGGCCCCTCCCCACCGCCCCCAGGGCCGCTGCCCCCAACCCCACGTGGGGCCTCGGGGTTTCTGGGTGAACGTCCCCCCCGTGGACCAGAGGCGGCTCCCCGGAGGGGCTGCGGGCGCCGGCAGGTGGTCAGTGTGGGAGGAGGAGGGGCCCCTGGCCCGGGGGCTCACCCTGCACCTCCACGGCGTACTCCAGCACGGCCTCGCCCGCGGGGCTGCTGGCCACGCAGCTGTACAGGCCGCCGGACGCCTCCGCCAGGCTCTCCAGGCTCAGCAGGCCGCCGCCCGCCTCCAGCCAGGTCCCGTTGCTCTCCGCCAGGGGCAGCCCCTCGTGGAACCAGGTCAGGGTGGGGGGCGGGTAGCCTCGGGCCACGCACTCCAGGCCCAGGGGCCTCCCGGCCACCGCCTTCACCAAGTGCGGCCCCTCGCCGGCGCCCTCGATGGTGGGCGGGACTAGGGAGCAGGCAGGGGCTGCTCAGGGGCGGGAGGTCCCCGCCAGCCCTGGTGCAGCCCCCCCGCCTGTCCCCCGCAGACCCCACATCACGGGTCGAGCCTTCTCCCGCACCTGCACTGGCCAGACCCTTTGCGCAGAAGTCAGCTCCTGCAGGGAGCCTGCCCCATGGAGCCCTCCTGTGTACCAAGCCCCTTAAGGCGGCCATCACCAAGGTTAACCGTGTAAAGGGGGTTAACCATGCAACACCCCCCCCGGGTGTGAACTGGGGGCCGTCACATCCCCAGAGTCCACTGTGCTCAGGGGTGGGTGGAGAGACGAGGGCCGGTTCCCTAGGGCTGACAGAGGAGCCGATGCTGCGCAGCCCGGGTCTGGCTCAGCCAATGGTTCACTCAGAGAACGTAATGACGACAGAGGGTTGGGTGTGGTTTCAGATTCCTGGGTCCTCTGCTCGGCTCTGCAGGCCCCCAAACAGGCCCTTTGACCCTGCCCCCAGTTGCCTCCCTCGCCTGTAGGCGGGACGGTAGACCGAGGTGACCCTTCTCTAGCCACTCCCTCGCTGACCTACGGAGACAGGAGGCCTTTGCAGCCCAGAGTCCCTCCCTCCGCTCGCCCCGCTGGCCGCCGCTCGTGGCTGACCCCGGCCGCTCACCGTACACCTCCAGCCGGGCGGCCTTCTCCGCGACGCCCACAGGGTTGCTGGCCTGGCAGGTGTAGATGCCCGCGTCCGAGCCCCGGGCCCGCGCCAGCTGCAGCTGCCGGCCGCCCCGGGCGTAGGCGGCCTCGGGGCTGGGGGGCAGCGGGGCCCCGTCCTTGAACCAGGTGATGTCAGGGGCGGGCACGCCGCGGGCCTCACACAGCAGCCGCGCCGGGTGGCCCTCCATGACGGCCACCTCGCTGGTCTCGATGGAGCCCCAGATGGTGGGAGGTGCTGAGGACAACGGGGGGGAGAGAGGGGTGGCAGTCATTCATTCATCCCATCTAAAGAAAGGGACTTGGTTTTTTTAAGTTAAAGGAACAATCCCCCCCCCCCCCCCTGAGAGGTATCAGGTGCAGGACAACCTGCGAGGTGGGATGGGACCATGGGGTTTGGGGGACGGTGGTCCAGATTCCCTGTCCGCCTCCTCCCGGGCTTTACTGGCCTGGGGCGCGTCCCCCTGCCTCCCGATTCTGCTCTCGCCCTTCCTCATGCAGTGGGCAGCCGAGGGGGGCCTGGCCAGCAGCCGAGGGGGGCCTGGCCTGCAGCCGGGCGGGGCTGGGTGGGGCCGGGCTCACCGTGTATCCGGAGCTGGAAGTCCTTGGCCTGCTGGCCGGCGGGGCTGAAGGCCACGCACTGGTACCGCCCCTCGTCGCCCAGGTGGCTGCTGGCGATCCGGAGCAGCTGGCCGTCCTCCAGGAGCTGGACGTGCGGGTCCCCGGGCCGGACCGGCCTGGGAAGAGGTCAGACGGTGGGACGCAGGCCGAGGCGCGAGCAGGGGCGGCGCCCGGACCACAAAGAGGCTGAGAGGGTCCCGTCGCCGGACGGTGCCACCAGCCCCAGTGCCCGGCGCCGGCGATCCGACAAAACGTGTCCGACGGGCGGGCGCTTGGAGGAGTCAGCGCTGACCCCGCCACGCCGCTGACCCCGGACCGCTAAGTGGGAGGAGCCGGGCACAAAGGCCCCGCGTGCGGCTGCGTGGAGCCTGGGACGTGCAGGACGTGCAGGTGCATCTGCAGACAGAGCGGCTGGGGGAGTGGCTGCCGGTGGGCGTGGGGTCTCCCTGGGGAGACGGAATGTTCTGGAACTAGACAGGGTGATGCTTGTGCAACACCGTGGATGTGCCAGGTGCCACTGAACTGTGGGCGTCAGGTTGTGTGGATCCCCCCCGCACACCCAAACAGACATTAAAAATAAAAGGAAGGCTGAGTGATGATGAGAAAGCCCAGCTGGGTGAGAGCGGGCTCTCAGCTGGGTGACCCCGGCTGGGGTGGGGGGTGCCCACGCCGCCCTCTGCCTGGGCCCTGGTGGCACGTGCGATGCCTGTCAAGGTCCCCCCCGAATTCAACCTCCCCAGAGCCCCCACCCCCCCGGCCCAGGCATGGGCACCCCCGGGCTGTCCGCGAGGCAGGCCACTCACTGCCTGTCCTTGGTCCACTCCACCTGGGGCGCAGGGACCCCCGCGGTCCGGCACTCCAGCTCCACCGGGGCGCCGGCCAGGCCCAGCACCTCCTGCGCAGCCCCGGCTCCCAGCACGGAGGGCGGGACTGAGGACAAAGGGCAGGGGTGAAACGGCTCACACCTGCAGCCCTGCCTTCCCCACCCCTCAGGCCCTAGCCATGCAGGTCCCCTTCCTGGAGCTCCTTCCCTTCCACGTCCTGCCTGGAGGCCCCCCAAAGCCCTGCTGGACCGGCCCCACTCCGTGCTCCCTGCACAGCCTGCACTCTGCTTGGCTAATCGTGTGACTGTCGAATGTCCGCTGAGAGCTGTGTGGGGAGCTGGTGTGCCCCTCTGTGCCCTGCTCTCCGCACACACGGCGACCCCCCGCCCCAGCCTCAAAGGGGAGGGGCTGCGACCCGGCCTCACTCACCGAGCACCAGAAGCTCGAAGTCCCGCTGCGCGGTGCCCGCCTGGTTCTCGGCCCGGCAGGAGTAGAGGCCGGAATCGCCCGCCTGGACCCTGGGGAGGTGCAGGGCCCGGGCCTCGCTCAGGAGGCGGTGGCTGTCCCCGTCGGGGATCTGGGCGGAGAGGTCAGAGGGAGCTGGTGACGGGGTGTGGTGCCCTTCATTGGCAATAAGGGGATTAAAGTCCCCGGAGCTGGGCTGGTGACAGGAACCCGGGGCTCCTAACTCTGAGAAGAGTGCCGTGCCCTCCCGCCCTGCAGCCCTCGAGGCTTCCCTGGGAGGCTCAGTCCTCTCTGGCCCTGAGCCCCGGCACTCTCAGGGAACGGTCACACCTCCCTGCCGTAACTCGGCACAGCCCCACCCTCACGTGGCCGCCCCGGGGGGGGGGGGGTCACCCACCGGCTGCCCGTCCTTGAACCAAGTGACCTCGGGGGCTGGGAAGCCGCTGGCGTCGCACTCCAGCGTCAGGGACTGGCCGGCCATGCCCGACACGTTGGCCCTGCGTCCGTCCTCCCGGATGCTGGGGGGCACTGGGCACAGGGAGAGGTAGAGGAGCCTTCTCCCCGGAGCCCCAGGCGCCCGACCGGCAGCCCCGGAGCCGGGGTCCCCGGCGTGCCAGCCAGGGGCGCCCGCTCTGACACGCAGCTCTGCAAGACGCCGAGGCCCGGCCCATCCGGCTACACCCCCATCGCCACGGTCCGGCGAGGCCCCGGGGGTCTCCTGGGTGTGTCTTTGGGACAAACGTCCAGGAATGTCCCCGCAGAGCGAGCTGGGTGCCGCTCACAGGGGGCCGAAGGGGGCCCATAGGAGCCATTAAACTGCCCCCCACCCCTGCAGGATGGGCACGTGGTGGGGGTGGGGTGAGCAGGTCTCCGTGGGGCGGCCAGCGGCGCTCACCTTGTATGAAGTCACCCCCAGACCGTCCAGAGCCCCTGATGGAGCTCGGGCTCGCCCCTCGCCCTCCGGAGGGGGTCTCCCCGGGGGAGGGGTGCCCACACAGCCGGCCACTCTCCCGCCGCCCCGAGCGCTCCCCGCCCCGGGCACCCTCTGTCCTGGAGGAGGTGGGTGCCGGCCGCCCCGCGCGGGGGCCATGCTCACCCAGGACCACCAGCTTGGCTCTCCGGGACGCCGAGCCCGCCTCGTTGGTGGCCTGGCACTCGTAGTCGCCGCTGTCGCCGGGGGAGACCTCGGCCAGGAACAGGGAGCCTCCGTCCAGCACCGCCAGCCCCGGCCGGCCGCGCAGCGGCTCCGCCGACGGGCCCTTCCGCCACGTGACCTGCGGCTGGGGGGTCCCTGGCCGGGGCGGGGGGTCAGCAGCGTGAACACCTGCCTCTCCCCTCCCCACTCCCCTACCCTCCCCACCGCACCGCCCCCCTCCCCACTCCCCTACCCTCCCCACCCGCACCACCCCCTCCCCACTCCCCTACCCTTCCCACCCGCACCGCCCCCCTCTCCACTCCCCTCCCCTCCCCACTCCCGTCCCCTCCCCACTCCCCTCCCCACCCGCACCGCCCCCTCCCCACTCCCCTCCCCTCCCCACTGCACCCCCCCTCCCCACTCCCCTCCCCTCCCCACCCGCACCGCCCCCTCCCCACCCCCCTACCCTCCCCACCCAGAGCTGCACGGCCGAGGTCTCCATGAGCTTCTGAGCCCTCCAGCCACCGTCATGCCCAACACTGCCCACCAGGCAGCCACCGAGGTGAAAGGAAGGCAGCCGGGGGCGGGTGCCAGGGCCCAGCAGTGGTCACCACTGGGGCTTCCGCTATGCTGGTGAGGCTGAGTCCAGCCCAGAGGCCAGGACCCGGTTGTGGGCAGCCAGAGGCACCCAGCACAGGACGCGGGGCTGGGTGGCTGGGTGGGCGGGTCCCACCTCCAGAGAGCGCAGAGCGGCTGCTTGCTATTACCAGAGACCCACACGAGGTGGCGCCATGGTCAAGGGCAGGGCCGCTGGGTCCCTGCAGGTGGGCAGCTCTGCAGACAGGACCCCACAGCTCCCACGGGAGCCTGCCTCCCACCAGCCTCCCCCTCGTCCTGGTCCAGAGACTCCCCTGGCCCGTGTGGTTCGAGGAAGCACAGCTGAGACCAGAACCAGCCCCGGCTCCTGCCAGGCTTCAGGAAGCTGCCATTTCCCCGGGGACACCCGCCCCCAGCCTTCCTGAGAGCCGTCCACCCACGGGACCGACAGCGTGTCCACTCACGGGTCCCAGAGGGCCCACAGCCAAGAGAAGCCCCTCTCTGTGCCAGGCACGGTGCCGGGACCTGAAGCTCAGGCTGCCCGCCCCCCTCCCCCCGGCCCTCCCAGCAGCAGCCCTGCACGAGGGGCTGGCCTGGCCCCATTCTACAGATGAGAAAACTGAGGCTCAGGAAGGAGGTGTCCAGTGCCCCAGCTCACAGCTGGGATGGTTCGACGCGGGGCAGGTGGCCGCAGAGCTGGCTGTCACCTCCCACACAGCTGCCGCCCCCAGGGGCCTGGGGGGCTGGTTTGCTCAGGACTCTGAGTCCAACTCTGTGAGGAAGTCCGGGCCTGGGGAGAGGGGGCCACCGAGCCCCGACCACCAGGGCCTGGGCTTGCTCAGGCCAGCTGTTCCCATCCCGGGGTGTAGGGGGCCGGGGTCTCACCACGCCCGCCTGGTGAGCACCTCTGGCTGTGTGACCCCGCCTGTGACCGACCCCCCCTCTGGGCGGGACTGCCCTCGGACAAACGAGCTGATGCCAATCCCGTCCTATCGGTGAGGAGGGGTGAGGTGCCTGGCACGGCCCTGGGGACGAGTGAGGATGCCACACCCACCATCACCCCGGCACTGCCCCCGGCCCCCGCCCAGCTCACCTCGGGCGGGGCACGGCAGGCTGGCGTTCTCTCCGGCCACCCTCTCCAGCAGCCCGCTGGTCTCGTCGGCTCCCCAGTGCGGCGGCTCTGGCGGGAGGCGACGTGGCCACACTCACTCCCCGGCCCAAAGCCTGGTCCAGGGCCGCTGGGGAGGCCCCCCCGCCCCCGGAGCTCCGGCCGGCCGGGCAGACGGGGGTGCGAGCCCTGTGCTGCAGCCCTCAGCTCAGGCTGAGTGAGCCGGGCCGTGGAGCGGCCACGGAGAAGCCACCAGGGCCACGCAGGGCCCCGAGGGCTGGAGAGGCTGGGGTTCCCCTCCGGCTGCGCTTCCCGGGTTTGTTTTACATCCAGGGATTTAACACAAACCTGGACCACACCTTTCCACGCACCAGGGGCTCTGCACACAGTCCCTCCCTGCCCCCTCACATCCAACCCATTTTACAGGTGAGAAAACTGAGGGTCAGAGAGTGTCAACGACTGGGCCCAGGCCCTGCCCGTCAATCCCTTCCCAGCGGACAGAGTTCCCATGGGGCCTGGGAGGGCGGAAGGCGGGCCCAGCAGGCCCTGAGCCCAGGGGAGCGGACACGCCTCTCGGAGGCCGGGCTGTGGGAGGGGAGGGGGGGCGGGGAGACGGGGTTCAGGGACTCACCCAGCACCCTGAGCTCCAGCTCCCAGGCGTCCGCCCCGGCGCTGTTGGCAGCCTCGCAGCGGTACGTGCCGGCGTCCGAAGGCCGGACGGCTGCGAAGTGGACGGAGCCCTCGGGGCCCCCACCCCGCAGGGCCTCCCCATCCTTGGACCAGCTCAGCCTGGGCTCTGGGGTGCCCTCAGCCACACAGTTGAGGTCCACAGCTTCGCCAGCCAGGACCTTCAGGACCCGGGGGCCTGGCTGCACCTGAGGGGGGACTGACGGGGACATGGGGAGGGGGGTCAAGGCGGGGGCCCTGGGTGGGGAGTCACAGAGGCCAGACCTGTGGAGAGGTCTCCCCAACCCCTTCTGCCCCCCCACCCCCCGCTTCCACCATCCCCGCTCCTCACCCCCCACCCCAGCCCTCCCTCAGCCCCACCCCAGGCCCAAGTGCAGCCAACATCATTGGAAAACCAGCAGCTGGGAGACACGGGTGTCCCCCCCAAAATGTATGCACACTTAGCAGCGGAGAGCTAATGGAGAGCTCAATGGATGCTTCTTTCTTTTCAGATCTAACCCGCCGGGATGCATAGTCATTCAGAGTGTGTATACCTCCTGGGGGGAGCACCCCGCATAATAGTGCTGATGGGGAAACTGAGGCCGGGGCAGAGGGACTGACTGGGTGGACGGCCAGGTTGGGAGGCAGCACGCACAGAGGGGAAGGTTCACATCCCAGCTCTGTCCTCACAGCCACAGGGCCCCTCCTGGCTGGGCCGGAGCCCCCGGACCCCTCAGCACCGCTGCCCAGGATCGGAACAGCTGCTCAGACCGGCCTGGCCTGGCGGGTCACCCCCACCGCTCACCTCCATCCTCCTGCCCGGAGCTCAGGGGCTGCAGGCGCTCACCTCCTTCCCAGGCGTGTTTTCAGGGTCCCCGCCCTCCCTCTGCCGTGGGCCTTCCCACCTGCAGTCACCCACACCCTCAGCGGGAGCGGTCCCAGCCCCGGGTCTGTGTGCCCAGGAGCCCAGGCTGCCTCCTGGGGTGTGGGCCAGGAAAACACTCAGAATCCACAGGGCCCATGGCTCTGGGTGCTGAGCGGAAACCTGAGACTGGGTGCTGGGCGCTCGGGGGAAGGTCAGGAACACCCACTCCCTTCCAGGCTCTGGAGGAAGAGCCAGAGAAAGGACTGTTCCACGGGAAGCTGGCACCTGGGCACAGATCAGCCCTGGGTTCAGGGCACCAGGGCACATGTCCCGCCCACGCCACCCCACACTTGCTGAAAACAGTTACAGCTTCCCCTCTAATGTCATCGGTTCCCCTTCTGATCAGCATTTTACAGGAAGGAAAACTAAGGCTCAGAGAGGCCACGCAGCCGGCACAAGGTCACACAGCTAGGGGGCGGCAGAGTCAGGATTCAACCCAGCCCTGCTCATCGCCCTCTCTCCTGGGCTGGGAAACCTCGACCCTTCTCTCTGAGCCTCAGCCTGCCCACCTGTAAAACGGGCAGTTCGCTCAGGTCAGGGGTCGGCTGTTTCTGCTGAGGGCCGGTCAATACTGTCGGCTTTGCAGACCAGACGGCCTGTCTACACTCCTCAGCTCTGCCGTGACGGCGGGAGGGCAGCCGCAGACCAGGAGTAAAGGGTCTGCAGGCTGCGCGCCCGTAACACGTGTATCCGTGGACTGAAATGGACTTAATAGTGTCCACGCGTCACAGAACAGCGTTCCTGCCCCTCGCGTTTCCAAACCGAGACACCCTTCTCGGCTCCTGGCCGGATGCACATGGCAGGCCGGCTGGGCGTGGCCTGGGCACGGCCAAGGGCCTTAGTTGGCTGACCCCCTGATTCCTGGGGGCTCCTGGCGATGACAAGCTCGCGGCTCTTGGGTGGAGTGACTCTACCGCTGGCTTCTGTGAAGGGGACCCAGGCCCCCCAATGGGCTGGGACCAGAACCCTCTGTGGGTCCCTCCCCAAGTGCCTACTGCTGGGCCCTGCCCCCGGTGCTCAGCACCCAAGGGTACAGGAGAAGGGGTGAAGGGTACAGGAGAGGGGGTGAAGGGTTCAGGAGAAGGGGTGAAGGAGACGTGGCTGGAGACAGGCAGGACGTGGGGGTGATGGGGAGTCTGGGGCGTCCTGGGGAGGTGACAGAGCTGGCACATGGAGCTGGGGGCGGGCCCTGGGCAGGCGAGACAAGTCAGGGCAGAACAGTGGGCGCGACAGGAGCCCCGGCCAGCCGGGCCTACCTTGCACCCCAAGGACGTAGTGCCGCGCGGCAGACCCCGCGGGGTTACTGGCTCTGCACTGGTAGAGACCGCTGTCCTCGGCCTGGGCCTGGGCCAGGCGCAGGGAGCCCGACGGGAGGAGGCGATGCCTGCAGGAGGGAGGGCACCGGTGAGGCCCCAGCCAGCCTCGGGCCTCCAGACCCAGCTCACACCGGCCACCGCCCCCGGCACCCCCCTCCCCTGCCCCCCTCCACTTCCCTGAGCCCCAACCAAGGCCAGGTCTCCCCAACCGGTGACACAGAGCCCGGCATGAGGAGCCTGCCAGCGTGGGTTCAAGTCCAAACTCTGAGCCTCTCCTAGCTGGGCGAAGAAAGGCCTTTACCTCCTGGGGCCTCCATTTCCCCATCTGTAAAATGGGCAGCCAGGAGGGGCTGGGGCTGGGGAACCGGCCCTGCGTTGGCTCGCCCCCAGGCCCAGAACCGGCTCGCTGCTGGACCCCCGCTGACTCCCCCTCCTCTGACGCACACACGTGCCATCCCTGGGCCCTTCCCCGAGTGGGGGCGAGGGGTGGGGGGATGAGGCTGCATTTGGAGGTCCTTCCCATGGCTTTGGGGGAGAATCTGCCCGCCCGGAGGCCCTCTGTGGACAGGTGCTCCGCAGGGTCCTACTGCCCGGCATGTGTTGGGCCCTTAGGAGGAAGCTGTGAGGCCCCCTCGCTGCCCTCCCCCAGCCCGCCCTCCTTGCTGAAGTCACCTAGTCCCATCCTACCCCACAGGGATCCGGGACCCCCAGCCAGGCTCGTGCAGCTGGGCTGGACCCCGGGGGCCCCTGCAGACGTGATGTCACCACCATATGTGCTGGCTCCTCGCGGCCCCTGCCTCCACAAACAGAAGGCAGCTGTGGCCACTGGCCCGGGCTGGCCCCGAATGCAAGTGGCCAGCAAGGGGGTGGGGACTCCACAGGCCAGCGCCCCAGCCTGTGCTCACCGGGCTACAGCTGGGCTCCAGAACCCGATGCCTCTGGTCCCCACTCCCACGTCTCAGTTTTCTCTTCTGCAAAGTGGGGGTGACAGTCACCCCCATCTCCCCCCAGGCAGCAGCAAGCAAAGTGCAGGGTGTGCGCCTGTCCAACAGGACAGCAGTAGCCCCCTGTCCGGCCACCCCCTCCTCCGGTGTGTCTGGGGCACCCAGCAGGCACTGGGGCAGGTCCTCGGAGGACAACTGTACACGGTCTGTTGGGCGGTGTCTCAGGATTCCTGGCACTGGGACGGCACCCTGTCCTGCCAGGGGCTCGCTCTGGGGGGTCGGGCAGCACCTACCCTCCCGGTGCCCCCGTTGTCTCCTTTTGGGAAAGAGAGACAATAGCCGTGTTTACATCCCACACAGAACTGTCCAGACAACCAGTGACCTAATCCACAGCCCAGCGCCTGGAACCGAACAGGGCTCCACCAAGGTCACTGTTACCATGGCGACAGCAGTGCATCCAGAAACAATCCACGGTGCAGCGTGTGCGCGTGCATGTGCGCGTGTTTGCGTGTGCGTGCGTGTGTGCGCGTGTGCATGTGCGAGTGCGTGTGCGCGTGTGCGTGTGTGTGTGTGTGTGTGTGTGTGTGGCTAACCCACTCTGTGTTCACCGTTATATAGTATTCCCCTGTGTGATCACGCCAACGTGGCTTCATTCATTCCCCTGTGGGTGGGCGTTTAAACACATATTTTTCTTTCCTTCTTTATTTCCCTCCTTTTTTTTTCCCCCTCTTGAACATGATTTTTAAAAAATATATTTTATTGATTTTGTACAGAGAGGAAGGGAGAGAGATAGAGAGTTAGAAACATCGATGAGAGAGTCATCGATCAGCTGCCTCTTGCACACCCTCTACTGGAGATGTGCCCGCAACCAAGGTACATGTCCTTGACCGGAATCGAACCCGGGACCTTTCCGTCCCCAAGCCGACGCTCTATCCACTGAGCCAAACCGGTTTCGGCTCTTTCCCCGCCAGAGCTCTCTGCCCGGAGCCGTCTGCTGTCCCCAGGCACAGGAGCAGGACTCAGGCCGCAGACCTGAGCGCCGCCAGCCTCCGCAGTGGATACTTCATCGCTCCCACCTGGAGGGCAGGCTTCTCACCCGAATCCCCTCGCTGTGCTCGGCGCTGTGGTCCAGGGGTTTGCCATCAAACTATGAACAGGAGGAGGTCATGTAGGGGCAATGCCCGGGTTGTGGGGCACTGAAGGAGGCAGCCAACTGATGTTTCTCTCTCATCATTGATGTTTCTATCCCTCTCTCCCTATTCCTTCCTCTCTGAAATCGATAAAAATGTCTATTTTTTTTTTTTTAAGACTCTGCTAGCTATCTGCGAAACATGATCCCAGGTGGCTCTGAGACAGGTGTCAGGGACCAGGCACACAGGAAGGGAGTGCCCCGTCCTGAGGAGCGGCTGGCAGCGCAGACGGGAGCGGGCTGTGATGGCAGGTGGCCCCGGCATGAGCCACCCTCTGCCTCCCCCAGGCTGCACCTCCTGAGCCTCAGCGTCCGCATCGGGGGTCACAGGAGCGGTGAGCGCCCAGAGACGTGATGCCTGCCGAGCCCATGGAGCCCGGGACAGAGTATGTGCTCAGTGAATGGCCCTCCCTGCTGTCAGTCAGAGCCTGCACCCTGCCTGGCCCTGCCCGTACCCATAAGCTGGCAGCCCTGAGCAGGCCCAACATGGAAGAAAGGAAGAACCGGAAGAAGCGAGAGTCCATTTCCCAGATGGACAAGCCGAGGCCAGCCCCACAGGGCCCATGCTCACTCTCAGTGCCTGTCTGGCTGCACCGCGCTTCACTATAACCCCCGTCCCCTGGGCTTGCCCACTGCTTGCTGGGGTTGCCCTGTGATCCCGTCACTGCCAGACGGCTCAGTACGGGGGGGCAGGCGTGGCCCAGGTCCTGCCGTGTGTCAAGCAAGCAGTGGGCAACCCCAGGGGACGGGGGTTAAAACCCAAGCCCAGTAGCATGGCTTGTACGGACCCACAGGCCAGTCCTCCCACCCCGCCCAGCCTCCCAGTGAACCCTGGACCATGCTCTTCCCCAGCGGGCTGTGATGGCAGGTGGCCCTGGCATGAGCCACCCTCTGCCTCCCCCAGGCTGCACCTCCTGAGCCTCGGCGTCCGCATCGGGGGTCACAGGAGCGGTGAGCGAACAGGTCCTTCCCACCCCCACTCCTTTCACACGCTGTCTTCCTGCCCGGGGCACCCCTCCACCTCCTGTTCACAGGACCACCTGCTCACGCCTCATACTTAGACGTCACCTCCTCCAGGAAGGCCGCCTGGATGCCCAAGGCTGGTAGGTGCGTCCTGTGGCCTCCCACAGCTGCCTGCCCTGTCCCCCACCGTAGCCCTCACCCGCGGGCTTGTGACCCAGCTCTCCCTCCACGTTCCCAGAAGCTCGGCAGGTGTGGGGGCTGCAGCCTGGGGATGGGCTCAGGGGCCGGGGGGGCGTGGGCCGTGGGGAGCATGCTGCCGTGGTGTGCGTGTGGCGTAATTAGCGGCAGCTGCTCCGTCCCGGTGGCGTGAGTGTCCAGATGGCTCCGTGTGGCGCCCAGATTCCCGGGGAATTTCCTGTTTATGACATCCACCGGGCTCAAGCCTTCGCTGGCTGTCAGCGTCCAGGTTCCCACAGCCACGCAGATGGGGGATATGGACCTGAGAGGGCCCCACGACCCCGCTGGGTCCCCCGGTCCTGCGGGCTCCAAGGGGGGCCTCCCTGCCCAGAGAGGCCAAAGGGCGCGGAGGGGGAGTGCCCAGGAGCAGGCAGTCCCAGGCCGCACCTCGCTCCCAGCACACACGCCCACTGCATCCCTCCCCCAGTCACCTGCCAGGTCTCTCTCGTCCTCAGTGCCTGGCAAGCCACCTGCCACCCAGGCAGAGCCCTGCTCCAGGCTAACGCTCCTGGAGCCCGCATGGCCCTTACCACACCTGTGATCCCGTCACTGCCAGATGGCTTCCTTCCTTCCATCCATCCATCCACCCAACCATCCTTCCATCCACCCAACCATCCACCCATCCAACCCAACCATCCACCCATCCACCCAACCATCCACCCATCCACCCAACCATCCACCCATCCACCCAACCATCCACCCATCCACCCAACCATCCACCCATCCACCCAACCATCACCCATCCACCCAACCATCCACCCATCCACCCAACCATCCACCCATCCACCCAACCATCACCCATCCACCCAACCATCACCCATCCACCCAACCATCCACCCATCCAACCCAACCATCCACCCATCCAACCCAACCATCCACCCATCCACCCAACCATCCACCCATCCAACCCAACCATCCACCCATCCACCCAACCATCCACCCATCCACCCAACCATCACCCATCCACCCAACCATCACCCATCCACCCAACCATCCACCCATCCAACCCAACCATCCACCCATCCAACCCAACCATCCACCCATCCACCCAACCATCCACCCATCCACCCAACCATCCACCCATCCACCCAACCATCACCCATCCACCCAACCATCCTTCCATCCACCCAACCATCCACCCATCCAACCTTCCTTCTTTCCTTCCTTCCTTCCTTCCTTCCATCCACCCAAACATGCACCCATCCACCCAACCATCACCCATCCACCCAACCATCCATGTATCCAACCTTGCTTCCTTCCTTCCTCCCTTCCATCCACTCATCCACCCAATCATCCTTCCATCCACCCAACCATCCACCCATCCAACCTTCCTTCCTTCCTTCCTTCCACCCACCCACCCACCCATCCATTCATTTGCTGGACAAAGTGGGGGTCCAGGTGGGCCGGCTGCCGCAGGATTGAGGAAGTGCTCCCTCCTCAGTCAGGCGTGTCTGCAGCCAGTCCCTCCTGCTGTTGGTACCACTGCCCCCGTTTCTAAAGGCCCCATCACCCCGAGAGCACAGACCCTTCCAGAAGGAGGGTCAGTGGCTGCAGATGCACAGCCCTCTTCACAGACACCCCACGGGCCGGCCTGCTGGGACCAGAGTGGGGCCTGAGCCTGCACAGGGCAAGGGCCTACCCACGGCGCCAGGCAGCCGCCTTCACCCGCCAAAGGCCGCTGACCCTCATCATGGGCCTTTCTGAGGAGCCCGCGTGGGAAACCAGCTGGGGATCCAGGCGGAGGGGCCCGAGACCCACCACATGACAGCATCCGAGAGAGCGGGAGAAGGCCATCCCACGAGCCGAGAAACCCACACCAAGCCACGCTCACGGCGGCTGCCACCTATGGGGGGGTCCTGTGTGGCCCCGCACAGCTGAGCGTCCCCCGCGGACTCTCTCACGTGAAGCTCCCGCAGCCACCCTGCGCGCGGGCGGGTCCTGTGCCATCAGCTTGGCAGAGGCCTCCACGGCCACCAGCTGGTCAGGGCGGACCCGGGACACACCCCACTCTCTGCTACCGCCCTGCCGGCCGCTGTGGTGACCTCACGGGTCAGCTCAGACGCTGAATTCACTGCACTTTGCCAGGAAGAGAGCTGCTGGCCGTAGGCTGACAAGACCAAGATTTCAGGGCCACCAGGTCGGGCAGCAGCCTGAGCTGTGAGGTCCCACCAAGGCGAACACCCAGGAGGGGCCTGGGCAGTCCATGCCAGGCCCGTGAGGGGATGGCTTTTTTTTCCCCCTGGGTCCCTAGAACCCCAGCCGCACCCCACCTCGGTGCCGGGGGGGGGGGTGGCTGGGCCCACGAGGAGCTGGGTGTGTTGAACACTCGCCCTTGCCGGCTGCCCCTCCGCTCCCGCCCCCGCCCCCCCCCGCCCCTATGTGGCTGGATCGGGCCCAGGATGGAGTGTGAGCCGGGCCAGGAGAGCGAGCAGCTGTCCCAGCTCCACATCAGAGCCACAAACAAACACTGTTGCCTAGAAACACCGCCGCGCCCCGGCATTCCCGGGTGGACCAGGGGACCGGAGCCGAGAGATGCTCTCTGGCCACGGCTGCCGGTCCAGCCCTTTGCTCTCTCGGACGGGAAGACGGAGGGCCAAGTCCACCCAGCGGGGCGAGGCCGGGAGAGGAGCCCAGGCCTCTGGCCCTGACCTCACCCAGCCGGGCCCCTGTCCTCGGCGGCGTGGTTTCGGCACAGTCATTGGTCACGAGGTCCCGCCACCTTCGACGGTGAGCTCACAGCTCGCACGGGCTGTCTGCACACGGCAGGGTCAGAGGTGCTCACTGAGCACCCGCACCCCGGGGCTTGCCGCCTGCTCTCGGGACTGTCCCCCAAGGAGTGACCAGCAGATAGAGGAGCGTTTGGGTGAGGGTGTCCCAGCGGCCCCGCTCTGAGCGCCCACAGCTGGCCACGCGCGTGCCCGGAGAACAGCTCAGCCACGGGGAGGGACAGGGGTCGGCAAACTCATTAGCCAGCAGAGCCAGATATCACAGCACGATTGAGAGAACCACATTTTTTAAACTTCAACTTCTTCGAATGCCACTTCTTCAACATAGACTCGCCCAGGCCATGGTGTTTTGTGGAAGAGCCACACTCAAGGGGCCAAGGAGCCGCACGTGGCTCGTGAGCCACGGTTTGCAGACCACTGGTCTACAGTTACTGCCAGCCACAGGGGAGAGACAGATGCCCGGAATGCTATTCTGTCCTTTACATGACAAGCAAGGGACGCGGGCCGGGAGGAATCAAGAAAACGGGTAAATGGCCGGGACCGGTTTGGCTCAATGGATAGAGCGTCGGCTTGGGGACTGAAGGGTTCAGGGTTCGATTCTGGTCAAGGGCATGTACCTTGGTTGCGGGCATATCCCCAGTAGGGAGTGTGCAAGAGGCAGCTGATCAATGACTCTCATCGATGTTTCTAATTATCTCTCTCCCTTCCTCTCTGTATAAAGTCAATAAGATATATTTTTAAAAAAACAAAACAAACAAACAAAAAAAAAACGGGTAAATGGAGAGCAGTGGCGACGGTGAGGGCAGAATAGAGGACACACACGTTTCATTCCCCAGAAGCCTGCCCGGCAACGCTCGGGGAAGGGCGTGCCCGCAGGCAGGTGGCTGAGGGCGTCGTGGGTCAGTCCCCCAGCATGGCGGCTCTGAAGCGGAGCCTAGGGGCGACCTCCGAGAAGGAAAAGGCTCGCCAGCCAGTATGGCTCAGTGGCTGAGCATCGACTTATGAACCAGGAGGTCATAGTTCGATTCCCTGTGTGTTCATGCCCGGGTGTGGGCTCCATCTGCAGGGTGCGATCCCCAGTGTGTTCATGCAGGAGGCAGCTGATCAATGGTTCTCTGTCATCATCGACATTCCTCTCTCTCTCTCTCTCTCTCTCTGAAATCAATAAAAATACATTTGTTTTTGTTTTGTTTTTTAAAAAAAGCAAGAAGGAAAAGGAGGAAGATCAGGCAGACAGACAGCCTGTGCCCGCCCACCGCAGTCAACACCCCCTCGGCATGTGTGTCCGTGGGGTTTTTAAATCTGGGTGAATGGCTGCGTTCTGCGAGAAGACCGAGCTGGACTCTGTGTGGGGAAGCTGTCCACGTGCTGGACGTCTCACAGAAACGGAACGGGGGGCCCAGGAACCACTGTGGGGGCACAGGAACCTGCGAGTGACGTTCACTCACAGCTTCACTGCCCTCCGAGCCGGGCGGTCGTCCGCGGTCACCAACGAGTGGAAACCCAGTGAGTGTCCCTCCCGTGGCGCACGGACCAACGCCCGGCAGCCAGGCCGCACCGGTCAGCCTCGGAGAGGAACGGAGCTCTGACCCGCGCCACCACACGCAGGAGCCGAAACGCAGGCTGCTGAGAGAGGAGCCAGCACTGAAAGCCACGCACGGCAGGGTTCCACGGACACGGGACGTCCAGGATAGGTCGATCCAAAGGCAGAAAGCAGGCTGGCAGCCGCCAGGGGCTGGGCAGGAAGGGGAAGAGGCTGCCAGCGAGGACGGGGGTGCAGGGGGCGGGAGGGGAGGGGGGACGGTCTGAATGGACGGCGGCGATGACCGCACAGCTCCGAACACACGGGACCAGACTTGCACAGCTTGTGTGTTACATCTCCATAAGCCTTCGTACTTGGCGGAGGGGAGGAGGAGGGAACCGGATGACAGCTGTGACCTCTTTTAGAAGCCGCCAGGGATGCTGCGGGCTGTGAACAGCAGCCGGCGCTGTCAGGGGGAGCGGCCCGCGGGCGCTCGGGGCGGGCGGACTAAGCACCGCACATCCATCACCGCGCCGCCCAGCAGCGTTTGAACGGCGGCCACGCTGCCGACGGAGCCCGCGGCCACACGACGCGGACGGGCCCCTGGGATCGGCTCACGTCTGACGGCTCCGGCGTCCGCGCTCCTCACCCCGGCCCACCCCGGCCTGGGCTTCTCCTCCTGCAGATCCTCTCCCCGATCTCATAAATCTCCGGAGGAAGCTGCAAGCCGGCGAGCAGTGGAGAGGGCAGGGGAGAAGGAGCAGAGCAGACTCCGATCGCAAAAGCGGATTTACGGCCCCGGCTGGCCGTCCCACATCACAGCAGGAGGGCTGAGCACGCGGGAACCCCGGTTTCCCGTGTCAGCAGCAAGTGGTAAATTCACAAGCACCTGGCCGCCCGCCACCGCCCGCCAAGCGGCTGGGACCAGGCTCTCTGGCCAAGGGGCTGAGACCAGGCTCCCCGGGAGAGATGGCCACCCCCCCCATACCCACTCCCACCACCACGCACCATCTGGAGCCGCAGAGACACCCACGGGGCATGGAGTGGGGGACCCAGCCCAGGCACAGGTCCCAGCTGCCTACAAGCTGGAGGTTTGGAAGGCTCAGCAAACAGATGTTCTGACACAGAGATCCACGTGGGGGTGTCAGAGGGGTGGGGGCGGCACAGACCTCGGTCTGGAACGTCTCAAAGGCCTTGCCAGGGCTGATGTCACCGGCCTGAGCTGCAGCCGCCCCCCGCCTCCGAGGGTCAAGGGCCCAGGAGTGTTGGGAGCTCTCGTCTGGAACCGCCACCCCCACGCCCGGCCCGGGGGCGTGCAGCCTGGCTTTGAAGGACCCCCGAGCCAGCCTCTTCCCGCTCCCGGGCACCTGGCCGTGCGGGAGGAGCCTCAGTTCAGCTCAGGTCAGGGGGGCAGCCTTGCCGATCACAGGAGAGTCTGCGGGCAGCTCCCAGCTGCCGGGAAGGGAAACCCTGGGCTCCTGCTAATTCCGAGGGGTCTCCCCCTGGCGTCACGGACCCTCTGGGGGTCCTCGGAGCGGCTTCAGGGGACCCGGAACCGAAGCACCCCCTGGAGCACCCACAGGCCCTCACACGCCCGGCCACGGGCCATGGGCCACGGGCTGCCTGAGGCCACGTTCCCCCTAAACCCCAAGCCCTCCCCTGCCCGTGCACAGGGTCACCTGTCAGGGCCGGCGGGCACAGGCTGGGAGTCCTTGGTCCAGGCCACCAGCGGGGGTGGGGAGCCGTGGGCCTCGCAGTCCAGGGTCACCTCGTCGCCGGCCTTGGCCGTGACTCTCAGAGGCTCGTCGGAATCGTGCGAGACGTTCCCGTAGATCCGGGGCTTGGCTGTTGGGGAAACAGGCAGACATTGTGAGCGGGTGAGGGGGCCACAGGACGAGGCCCCGAGGGGACCAGAACAGCTCCCCCAGGAAGCTTCCCATGCAGGGGGATGGGTGTGGCTCTGGCATCATGAGGGAGTGCCCATTTGGGGGTGGGCTCGGACCTGGTGGTTTCCCGGTCCCTTCTCCCCAATCTCTCCACCACAACCCCCTTCGGAAGCTTGTCCTGCTGGGATGACACCTACGTTCCTTAGCTTCTCCCCACCTTCTCCTCCTTCCCTGGAGCATCAGGGCAGGTCCTGTCCTCCACCTCCTTCCTCCCCGCCGTGTCCCTCACGGTGAGCCCACTTCCTCCCAGGACACCAGACACGAGGGGACCCCCAGTCTCCCGCTGCCTCCTCCTTCGGGGTGACACGAACCGGGGCCCATCACCTGGCTCTCATAGGAAGCGGAGGCTCCGATGGCAGAGATGACCCGAACCCCTCCTTCTTTATGCCTCCCGCCCCCCATTTCCAGCCATGTGCTCCTACACGGAAGGCACCCGGGACCTGTCCGAGCACCCGTCACTGCACCGGCCAGCCAGCCGGGGACGTGGAGGCCCAGGCAGCCCGCAAGGGGTTCCCCGAACATCACGCCTCTCAGAGAAGCCCCCACTTGCAAAAAAGTGGCTGCAGCGTGAAAATACGGGCTCCGAGAGCAAACTGGCCGTGCGCCTGCTCACGCTGCCGGGCAGCGGCTGAGGGCCCGGCTCTGCTGTGCCCACTGGGCAACAGTGGCCAGGCCAGGCCCGCCCGGTCCTCATGGAGCCCAGGGCCACCGGGAGCACCCGTGCCCACAGCTCAGACATAGCACTCGCTCACAGCTGTGACGGGCATCGTGCAGGGTCTAGTCCACCCTCCCCAGCAAGGTGATCTGGCTCAGCCCGAGGATCAGGGAGAACTGAGCGTTATGGGTGGGAGAAGTCGGCTGGGCCGAGAGGTGGGGGAGGGCAATCTGAACAGAAGGCACCGCACGTGCAAAGGCCCTGAGGCACCATGGCCCATTCGAGGGATTGAAAGGAAGTCGGAGGGTCTGGGCACAAGGCATCCGGAGGAGAGGCTGGCAGGGGGTGCCCAGCTGGGGGCCGGGGCCCAGCGTAGGGCTGCGTCTTTCCCAGGCCTCCCCACACTAGCTACAACGGCTGAGACGGAGGAAGACAACCACCCCATGATTTCACTTCTACGCGAGTGGGGGTCGCTCTGAGAGCACGGCCTGTCTGCTGGGACAGCGCTCCGAGGGGCCGGCTTTGGCCAGAGCATTCCTGTGGGGGAGTATGGGGTAAGGTGACCAGACGTCCAGCTTTTGGCAGTCCCACCAAAAGCGGGACGCCTGGTCACCTTAGGGTAGGGGCGGGGTTGACCAGGGCTCAGGGAAGATGCCGTGCGGTCAGCGTGCCCGGGTCCTGACTCCACGCCCGCCGAGCCCCGCCCCCAGGCCGGGGCACCCGCACTCACTGTTGACGGACAGCCGCATCTCCTGGCTGGAGAAGCCCACGCTGTTGGTGGCCGTGCAGACGTAGGCCCCCGCGTCCCGAGGGGCCGGCCGGGCGATGACCAGGGTGCCGTCCTGGCTCACGGTGTAGTGGGGACCGCCGGCGGGCAGGGCGCTGGCCTCCTGGGAGGGGGCGCCGGTGAGTGGCGCCGGCCGAGCCCACCCCCACGGCAGTGGGCATCACACCCCTCCCCACGATGCCCCAGGCCTGGCCCTCGGTGCCCTCCGTGGTCACAGGCTCCGCCTACCTTGGTCCAGGTGACGGTGGGGGCGGGGACCCCCGAGGCGACGCAGGGGAGAGAGGCGGGGACCCCCTCGTTGGTGACGTGGTGGGTGGCCGTGGAGCGGATTCTAGGGGGCACTTGTAAAGAGCAAACCGACTTCGTAAACCACAGCTCACAGCAATAAGTGGAAACCACCAAAAATCCGCCAACGGATGGGGATGAACAGGACTCGGTGTGTACATCCTGAGTATTTTCCAGCCTCGACAAGGAGGGGAAATCGGATCCTACAGTAGGCACGATCTTGAGGACATAATGCCAAGCGGAATAAGCCAGACACAGAGGACAAATACTGCATGACCCCCTCTCTCCGAGGAGCCCGGAGTGGGCAAACCAGAGACAGGACGTAGAATGCAAGGCCCTGGGGGAGGGCAGTGTTTCATGGGGACAGGATTTCCGTTTGGGGAGACGAGAAAGTTCTGGAGATGGTGGTGGGGATGGTTATACCACAAGGAAAATCTACTTCCTGCCACTAGATTGTGCCTTTAAAAATGGTTAAAATGGGGCCCGGCCGGTGTGGCTCAGTGGTTGAGCATCAACCCAACAACTAAGAGGTCACCGGTTCAATTCCTAGTCAGGGCACGTGCCCGGGATTGTGTGCAGGAGGCAGCTGGTCAATAATTCTCTCTCGTCATTGATGTTTTTATCTCCTTTCCTCTCCCTTCCTTTCTGAAATCAATAAAAATATTTTAAATAAAAAACTTTTTTAATGTAGATTTAAAAATATATATTTTATTGATTTTTTTTTTTTTTTTTTTATAGAGAGGAAGGGAGTGGGAGAGTTAGAAACATCGATCAGATCCCTCCTGGATGTGCCTGCAACCAAGGTACATGCCCTTGTTCAAAATCAAACCCAGGACCCTTCAGTCCGCAGGCCGATGCTCTATCCACTGAGCCAAACCAGTCAGGGCTGTGATGTAGATTTTAACACAATTTAAAAACAGCAGCGTCAGCAGTAGAACCGGAAGGCGTGGCCCCACAGCCGCCGCTGCCGTGCGGTCCGGCCCCGGGCAGAGAGAGGGCAGCCCACGCCCGGGAACCCGCTGCGCCATCTCTGTGCTCTGGGACTGTGGGTAAGCCACTTCATCTCTTGGCACCCATACTCCTCGATCAGCAAAAACAACTAAATTAACCCCAATTCACTGCCCACTCTCTGAGGGTGGACAGATGAGAAATGGCAAAAAACAGATTCCCAGAACAAGGGAACTTGGGAACCAGTGCCTCGGCCATCCTGGGCACCATCCAGACCTGCAGCATAGAAACGGGGTCTCTAAGAGGAGTGTGGGGGCGGGGGGCAGACCCGAACCCGGGACTCGCTCTGTGAAGGCAGCCTGGCCACTGACCCTCGGACCTGGAGGAGTTTCTCCTCTGAGCCTCAGCCTCCTTAACTCCAGGAAGCTCGCCTCTGGGAGCAGCGAGGAAAAGGAAGGGAAGCGTACGCAGCCCCCCCAGAGGTCTCCGCGGCCTGCCCCCACCTCTCACCCCTGTCGGAATTATGGGGACACAAGACTCAGCCTCCGCCCGAACGTTGGTTTTCCCCTAAAACATGGAGAATCGTGGATTCTTCCCACTCATCCCAGGGGGGATTTTATGAAATAAGATTTTTTTTTTTTAAAGAGGGTATTAACAGACTTGGCAAATGACAAAATATAACAAGGCTTCCTTTAAACGTCTCGTCTTATATCAAATCTACATAACAGAGTTTTCCATTTTTAAAATATTTGTATTAATTTCAGAGAGGAAGGGAGAGGGAAGGAGACAGAAGCATCAATGATAAGAGAGAATTATTGGCCGGCTGCCCCCTTATTGGGAATCAAACCCACGACCCGGGCGTGTGCCCTGACTGGGAATCGAACCGGTGACCTCTTGGTTTGTGGGTTAGTGCTCAATCACCGGGTACCTGGATGGGAGAGCGCAGGGAAACTGTGACTCCAGCGCTGTGCGTGGGAGAGGAACTGGGAAAACACCGAAAAGCCCTAACAACTGGCCATCGCTGTGACTCAGCGCTCAGCTCCTCGTCCTCATTACCCTGAGGCGTTTACCCCGGTGCTCATGCGAAGCACAGGCCAGAGGCTCACGGCTCATCCAAGCAGGGCACACAGCCCTCAGCCGGTGCTCCTGGGAACTTACTGATAGAAACCATCGCACAATCTAGTGCGACGGAAACACGCAGGCTCAGACAGAGGTGTTGATGTGGCCCTAGCGTGGCTTTAAATGTGTCCTAGTATGTGTATGTGTTTATAAGGAATTCATACCCAGGTGGACAGAAATAGAGATGCATATATAATTAATGCTCGGACAGTTGGGCATCATCCTGTGTACCAAAACAATGCCCGTTTGATTCCTGATCAGGGCGTATGCCTGGGGTTGTGGGCTCGATCCCCAGGAAGCCCAGCAATGTTTCGCTCTCACATCAATGTTTCGCTCTCTCTCTCCCTCTCCCTTTCTCTAAAAACTAATAAAACTACTTTTTAAAAGTATTTAGCTTATTTTATATACAATTTACTATATATATATATATATATATATATATAGTGTGAACTTACACACATACCAATATATATATATATATATATATATATATATATATATATATATATATTTATTGGTATGTGTGTAAGTTCACTTTTATACACAGTATGAAAGATACACACTAAGCCCTGACCAGTTTTGCTCAATGGCTAGAGTGTAGGCCTGCAGAGTCATGGGTTCCAGGTTCGATTCTGGTCAAGGGCATGTACCTTGGTTGTGGGCACATCCCCAGGTGGGGGGTATGCAGGAGGCAGTTCATCCATGTTTCTAATTCTCTCTCCCTCTCCCTTCCTCTCTGCAAAAACATCAATAAAACGTATTTAAAAAAAAAAAAAAAAAGAAAGAAAGAAAGATACACACTAAAATGTAAGGTTATTCTGGTTAATCTATCTATGCGTATTATAGGAGTATTTTTTATTTATCTGTCTGGTCTCTAGATTTCTTACAGTGACTAAGTACTACTTGTGCCATTTTTTTTTTAAAACAAAACTATTCAAGATCAAGTCCCCCATCCCGGCCAGTGCCCGGCCCCACCCCACAGCCTGGGCCCGGGCTCACCCTGGACGACCAGCCGCACGTCCCGGTGCTGGGAGCCCGCCGCGTTGGTGACCACACAGCGGTACTGGCCCGCGTCCTCCTGCAGCGCCCGGTCCAGGTGGAGGCTGCCGTCCGCTCGGACAGAGTGCCGGCCGCCGGCGGGGAGCTGTGAGGGCGAGGAGCCTCAGCTCGGAGCCCAGGCCCCTTCGGGGGAGCCCTCTGAACCACACTGCCCGCCAGGCCCGCAGGGCGCGGGCCAGACCGAGAGAAGATGGGCGAGGGGGGTTGCTCTGCCTGCTCAGCCCCCCATCCTTCCCAAAGACTCAGTCAGGGGTAGTGGGCCTCACTGTGGGGCACGGCTACGGTAAGGTGACCAGACGTCCCGCTTTTGACAGGACAGTCCCGATTTTCAACAATTTGTCCGCATCCCACGGCGTTTCAAAAAAGTCCCGATTTTTGGAAAGAATCTTTTAAATCTTTTGGACGTGGGACAAATGGTTAAAAATCGGGACTTTTTCGAAACGCCTCGGGACGCGGGACAAATTGTTAAAAAGCGGGACGTCTGGTCACCTTAGGCCACGGTGTCTGCACAGGTTCAAGCCTCGGGCTGATGAGAGGGCACAGTCCTCTCACGGCCACGTGCAAGCCCCAGCCTGGAGGGCAGAGCCTCCCCGCACAGTGACAGCCGACAGCCGGAGTTGTGAGCGTGAACCTGTGGTCCGAACACGTGGCCCCACGTGCCTGAGTGACACAGGCCGCAAGTAAACAAGGCTTGACCAGGTGCGTGTAATGGAGTAGGCCTGAAACCCACGAGAATGCTGTCAACATCTGGACCACGCCCTTCCTGTGCGTGGAAAAAGTCCCAAGGCACCTGACCCAAGCAGGATCGATGGTGGTCTCCCCAGGAGGTCCCCCCTGTCTGCTCTGCTCTGGGGCCCAGACAGCACCACCAGGACAGGGGAAGCAGGAGGGGAGGGGGGCACCTCTTTAAAGCCTCCAGGACACAAGGACCCCGTGTGTCTGAGGACGGCGCTGAAGCACCGAGGGGAAGGGAGGCGCAGCTGCACAGGAAGAGAAGGAAGCGGGGTAGAGAGCCACCGTGCGCCCAGCACCGAGCCAGGCAGCCAGCGGCCCTTCAACCACACAGGTCACTCCTCTGCCCGGAGCCAGGACGGCTGACCAGTGCGTGGTGTCTGTGCCCGGACAGTCCCGCTGCCCAGCCCCCTGCTGAGCTCCCGGGGGCCGCGGCCCCCTGAGCCGCCTCGGCAGGCCGGGAGAGCGGGGTGGGGAGCGCCCGGCCCGCGGCCCACGTCAGGCCCACGAGTCCTTTGGTCCGGCCCGGCCAGGGCTCGAGGGCCGAGGGAATTCAATGAGTGACCGAAAAGAGCCGTGGTCGGCAAACTGCGGTTCGCAAGCCACAAGCGGCTCTTTGGCCCCTGGAGTGTGGCTCTTCCACAAAATACCACGGCCTGGGCGAGTCTAAGTTGAAGAAGTGGCGTTAGAAGGAGTTTAAGTTTAAAAAAACTTGGCTCTCCAAAGAGATTTCAGTCATTGTGCTGTTGATATTTGGCTCTGCTGACTATCGAGTTTGGAACAGAGCCGGCTGGCTTTTAAGGTGATGCTGTTGCACGGCCCAGAACAATGTTATGAACATCCCGATGTTAAAAACGTTCCCCACCCCTGCTGCAGCGGGGACAGTGCTCTCGGCCATCACCAGAGAAGGTTCCAGAGAGAGGCGGGAAAGAGAGGGAGGAAGGACGAGGCCCCTCTAGACCCAGGGAGCAGCAGAGCAGAGGCCGGGGTGTGAGCGGCTGCCCCTCCGTCCCCGCTGCCGGCCCTGGGGCCACACTCACCGGCTGGCCGGCCCTGAGCCAGCGCCTCTCGGGGAAGGGCCTCCCGGCCAGGACGATGCAGGGCAGCGACACCGGCTGCCGCTCCAGCACCCGCACGGTGGGGGCGCTGCTGGCGATCTGAGGGGGGGCTGTGGGGAGGACGGGGTGCTGGTCACACTGGGTCCCGGGGGCATCTGTGGGGACGGAGGCTCCACCCTCCCGCCCCCGGGAACCTGCCTGGGAAGGGGCTCCCCTCGGATACCAGGCCGTGGACACATCTGTCCCAGAGGTGGGTGGTCACGGGGGGCCTCCCTGGGTGTCCCCACCTCCCACCTCCCGCCTCCCGCCTCCCGCCTCCCCAGATCCACCAGCGAACCGTGTCCCGTCACCAGGAGCCGGGTCTCCGCCTGGACCTTCCCAAAAACATTCTGTGCTTCACAGACGTAGGGGGCCTGGTCTTCGGGGACCACACCTGAGGGCGGGGGAGAGGCGGCCTGGCTGTTGGGGGCCGGGGCACGCCTCCAGCCCCCACAGGCTCGGCTCCCCAGCTCAGAGGCAGCCCGTGGCACAGCCTGGCCCTGCCGGGGTCAGGTGGGGGGCTGGGATGGCAGAGAGGAGAGGGATGGGGGATAGGGCCGGGCTGTGGAAGGGCGAGAAGGCCTCAACCTGCTCATCTGTAGAATGGGGCTAATTCATCAATCCCTTTGCCTTGTAGTGGGACTGGGAAAAGGTCAATAAGATGATGTGGGCACTACGCCCAGCACCCAGTCTCGCACATGGCAAAGTGTAGCTTCAGCAGGGTGGTGATGGTGATGGTGATTGGTGGTGGTGGTGGTGATGGTGACTGGTGGTGGTGGTAGTGATGGTGATGGTGATTGGTGGTGGTGAGGGTGATGGTGATTGGTGATGGTGGTGGTGATGGTGATGGGTGATTGGTGATGGTGTTGGTGATGGTGATGGTGATTGGTGGTGGTGATGGTGATGGTGGTGGTGATGGTGATGGTGATGGTGGTGGTGATGGTGATTGGTGGTGGTGGTGGTGGTGATGGTGATTGGTGGTGGTGGTGATTGGTGGTGGTGGTGATGGTGGTGATGATGGCGATTGGTGGTGATGATGGTGATGGTGATTGGTGATGGTGGTGTGATGGTGATGGTGGTGTGATGGTGATTGGTGGTGTGATGGTGATGGTGATGGCATTGATGATGATGGTGATGACGGTGGTGGCTAACACCATAATATTAACCCAAGGTGGTAACACTGTCACCGTCATTACCATGACCAGTTCAGGGTGGTAAAATGACTTGGCCAGCGCTGCCCAGTTAGTCATGACCCCGAATATCACCCATGGTCAGTGCTGGGCTCAGGGTCCTGCTCCCAGCCACCCGGACTGGGGCCACCCCGTCTCCCTTTCCCCCTCCCCCAGCTCCCAGCTCTTACTTTCAAAAAACAGCACGCCCGCCTCAGGCTGCCCGGTCCTGCTGCCCCGGCCAGGCTCCAGCGGCCGGCTGTCCCCCCGGCGCCAGGTGACCGTGGGCGGCGGGCGGCCGGTGGCCCGACAGGCCAGGAGGGCGCTCCTGCCCAGCTCCGCACTGACTTCCCGCGGCAGCTCCATCAGCTGGGGCGCATCTGCAGGGAGGGACCCGTCACCGCGGCTGGACAGCCCAGCCCCCAGGGGACTGCTCCCCCTCGTCCAGCCTGGCCGTGCGCCTGGGGGCTGAGTCAGGGCCCCGAGGCCACCCTGAGCTTGGTGGGGACCCCCCCCCACACTCTCAGGGGCGTGAAGCTGCCCGCACGCCTTAGAGGCCTGTGTGGGGCTCCAGGCAGAGCTCGGGAACAGGGAGCTCCTGGTGCCCCGGACTTGAGCGACCATCTCCACGGCCCCTTCGGTGACCGGCACCCCAACAGGCCGGCTTCGTGGGGGGCTGGCTGCCATCCTCAATCTCCCCTCCACATCCTTCTGTTTGCGGGACTTTTTGTAACGAGCATAGAAAACACCACTACACAAACACAACGCGCTGTGTGTGAATAGCATGACCAACGGGCACACTGGAGAGAAAGGGCTGTAATTAATAATCACCACACCAGTGGGGAGGAGCGAGGGCCATGGGGGGGAAATTCGACATCTGTAATACTGTAAATTATAAAGATAATTTTTTTTATTTTTGTTATTTAAAAAAAATTTTTTTTTTATTGATTTCAGAGAGGGAGAGGGAGAGAGAAACATCCATGATGAGAGAATCATTGATCGGCTGCCTCCTGCACGCCCCCTTCTGGAGATGGAGCTGGCAACCCCGGCCTGTGCCCTATGGGGAATCGAACCGTGACCTCCTGGTTCATAGGTCAACGCTCAACCCCTGAGCCACGCTGGCGGGGCATAAAAATAAATTTTTTTAAAAAATTACACCAGGACAACATTTCTGCACAGGCTTCCCTGCTCACCCGAGTTATAAAAAATGTAAACACACAGAAATGTCCCCTAATTTCTGCCCCTGCACCCCCAGGTCCAGTGCCCCTCCCCAGGGTCACCGCCGCTAACAGAGGGCGGTGCTTCTCGCAGACCTTTCCTCTGAGCGCCGTCTTGTTTCACCATCGGGGAGGGAAGGAGTTCTTTCCCAGACAGAGTCTCACCGTCCTCGGCCTGCAGCGGGCCAGCAGCAGGCCCCCCTCCAGCCAGGTCCCGCCCGGCCTGCAGCCGCGGGACACCGGCCCCGGGTCCCGGCCTCGGCCCCCGGCCAGAAGGCCCCGCCTTTCGTTCCGCTTCACATCCCGCGGCACGGAAAACACCCGCCTCCCCGCTCCTTCCATCTCCTTCCAGAAATGCCCCCGTCCGTCCAAGCCATGATGTCAGACTCCCTCCGGCCTCGGGATTAGGAACGCCGTTTGGAAAATTCCAGGGAGGAAGATGGGCCTGGACTCCCTCCGCTCAGACGCCACCCTTCGCCTCTTTCTCCTTGGGCCTCCAGCCGAGACTCAGAATCCCAGGAAAGCCTCTGCCCCCGGCTGGTCTCCGATGGGTCCCTGGGCCTGGGCCTGGGGGCACGGCTCTGCCATCCTCCCACCCCCCAAAGCCTGCCTCTCCACCCCACTCAGCCTGCCTGCGGGACTCAGCCCCAACCCCCTCCTCCAGGCAGGCCTCCCAGCTACCCTCCCTAGCTCCCTCCTTAGACCCCAAACAGCCCGACTGGGCGATTCTGAGGCGCACTCTCTTCCTCCTCCTCCTCCTCCCAGGCCCAAACTTCCCTGAGACGGGGCAGACCCTTATCATGATAAGCAGAGAACACGTATCAAGGGCAGCATTTCAAATGCCTACCAAGTGCCAGGCATGGCGAGCATGCTTCCAGGAATGGGACTTCATTCATGGCCTCAGCAGGCTTAGGAAGTGGTGGCGCAGCACAGTGCCCCATTTTACAGAGGAGGAAACTGAGGGCCAGAGAGATGAGAGAACCCGCCCAAGAGCCCGACGTCACGTTAGTGGCAGAGCCCAGGTCTGGCTGCTGCGAGGCCCCGGCTCTCAGACTCCCCTGCATCCCCCATGCGCTCGGGGAGAGCCGCACCGGCTCCCGCGTCCCCTTCTCGGGGTGAATCCAGCGCAGCCAATCCCAGACTCAGACCCTGCCCGCAACACTGGGACTCACCCTCCTCGGGAGCTGCCCCCCACCCTCACCTGGAGCCCCCAAAAGGCGGGCCCCCAGAATCTTCGGATGCCAGAGCCGAAGGTCCCCTGGTCCCCACTGGCCAGAGGAGGGGGTGGGTGGCCCTGAGTCCTGCAGCACCGCGCAGCCTTCCTCCCAGGGCCCCGTGCGTGAGCTCAGCCACCGGCTCCCAGGCTCCCAGCGCCCTCCTCACTGCTCCCAGGTGACCCTCTGCATAACCCGGGGGACAGGGAGTGACCCCCTGCCACCTGCCCTTCACATTGGCCTCGGGCAGGGTTCAGGCAGGAGCTGCAGATGCTCAGAGACGCAGGACGTGGCGGCAGTGGCAGGGCTCCGTGGACAGGCGGCGGGGGAGGCTGCAGCTGCGTGTGGGGAGGTCTGTGTGGCGACCCCGGAGCGCCCAGGAAGAGAGCAGGGCCCCACGGAGGGACCCCGCCACCGGCCCAGGAGGGGGCAGGACCGGAGGGCCCGGCCACCTGGAGGGCTGCCCGCACCTCCTGCGGGGCCTCCAGGGCCCCTCCGCCGCCCCCTCCGGCCTCTCACCTCAGACCAGCGGAGGCGCTGCTGACGGGACCCAGCTGTGGGGCCAGTCCCGCTCCGGGGATTTCCCAGGGGAAAGGCCCCGTGGATGCCAACAGCCGCCAAGAGGTAACCACAGAGGCGCACGCTGCCCTTCCTCCTGCTCGGTCCCCAGGCCAGGGGCACCGGCCTACAAGCCCACACCCCGGGGGACCCTTCACCACTCCGGGCCTCAGTTTCCCCACTGTAGCGAGGTCAGTCTATTTTTACCCTGGTGGAATACCGTAAGGTTCTGGGCTTTCTCATCCTTTGAGACCTGGTAGCCACCCCAGTCTCCTCGGCCACCTCCATCTTCCCCCATCCCATGGCCTGGAGCCCCGGGCAGGAGTGTAGTCGGCCTTGACTCAGTCTGACCAGGAGGAGGGAGAGGTCTCAGGCCCGAAGACGATGCTGATGGGCAAGGTGGACCCCACAGGAGGCGGGACTAAGAAGCAGGGACTGAGATGAGAGGGCAGAGAGAGGGGTGGGTACGCATCCAGTTAGAGAGAGATGAGCCGGCGAAGATAACTCACCTCCGGGCAGGTCTTTCAAGTCACAGAAAAGGCACTGACCTTGGGGAGGGGTGCCCGCCCCGGAGTCAGTTCCTGGCCATGGCACACACCAGTGTACCCCCCTCTGCCTCAGTGGGCCCTCCTCAGCCCCCCTGGCCTACTGCACATGTACCAAACATTACCCACGCAAGCCCTGAGCAAAACACGTCATCTCGTCCCATCTCCCAAGGACCCGTGAGCGAGGTCTGCTGCTATTGTCCCATTTCACAGACGAGGACAGCGCGGCTTGAGAGGTAAACCGTTTGGCCCAATAAGCGCAGAACTGGACGGCTGCAGGCCAGGTCCAAGCCGATGCCAGCGGCTGCAGCTGGTCCACAGCGGGAGGCTGCCCACCTCAGCGCCCGGACGCCACCAGGAGGTCTGCTCCCGGTTCCCCCGCAGGATGTGGGCACGGCGCCCACCTGTTCTTGGCGGAAGGCACCTCCGCCAGCCTGGCCGGGAAGGCTGGGCCACAGCTGCCACCCAGATGGGCAGGAATTCGATTTCCCACCACGGCCGCCAGCCCAAGCGCCGCACACAGGTGCTGGGCCACCGTCCACCACTCCCCTGACCTAAAAGCCAGAGGCCAAGTGGCACAGTGCCCCAGAAGCCTGCCGTGAGGATGCCAGCTGCCTGCCCTCTCCGACGTGGGGAGGCGGCCCCAATGGCTGGCAGGCAAACGACAGGACCGGGCCGCACCTCCCAGATCTCCCAGTATCTGTCTCTCCGTTGTGGCCACAGCAAACCCTCAGAGCCCAATCCGTCCTGGCTCAGCCTGCCAGGAAGCGGTGCCTATGACTTCCGAGCAGTTCCCAGTGTCCTGACCCAGGCCTGGGACTCAGATATCCCGGCCCTCACAGCCAAGGCCGTGAACAGCCACAGAAGAGGGTAGACAGCCCTCTGTGAAAAGGGGGTCATCGTCTGTGGGGGCCAGATATAGGCATCCAGCACGGAAAGAGAGATGAACGAACCGGTTTTAAGTGGAGCCGGCCAGGGATTGAGACATAATAGAAAGAAAGAGACCAGAGAGAAAGACAGAAGCACAGCTGGGAGCCAGGTGGGACACCATTCTCTCTGATGGAGAGGCAAGGATGACTCAACCCATTTATTTTATAGCACATTTATTTTATACCCCCAAAACCAGGAAGTAACACCCAAACTTAGCATCAAAGGAGCTCATTTGCACTCTTACGTAGGCCCTCGCATTCCTGGCGCTTGACTGGATTTACATATCTAGACCCACACCTGGGCTGATATGAAGGCCAAGCTGATTACACTCTCCGCCATCTTGGGGAAATGTGTATCCAAGACGCGGCTCTGCCAATCACCTCGAACTCAGCTGACAATTTAAAGAAATGCCAGTGTGCCTTCCCAGGCGATTGCCCCTCGTTTAATAAGCAGTCACGATGGGCCCACCATGTGTGCCTGATGTCACTGAGCCCTCACAGCCACCCAGTAAAGAAGTAGTTTGGCCCAGCGCCAGTGTGGCTCTGTGGTTGAGCATTGACCATGCGCCAAGAGGTCACCAGTTCGATTCCCGGTCAGGGCACATGCTGGAGTTGTGGACTCAATCCCCAGTAGGGGGCGTGCAAGAGGCAGCTGATTGATGATGCTTCTCTCATCAATATTCCTGTCTCCCTCTAACTCCATCTCTCTCAACCATCAACAAAAACATATTTTTTTTTTTAAAAAGAAAGTGGTATGCTCGCTCTCTCTCTTTTTCTCCCTCTCTCTCTCATCTCCTTACTCCTGGGAAAGCCATGTCCCGAGAAGCTGCAGAAGCCCACGTGGTTAGGTCCTGAGGCTTCCCCCCAGCAGCCACATGAGTGAGCCAGAACCTGAGCCTCCAGAACGGAGGGGGAAAACATGTTCATTATGTTAAGCCTCAAAGTTTGGGGGCAATAGGGCCCGGGGAGAGGTCATACACAGGGAGGGCGTGGGGGGCACATGGTGATGGACGGGGACTTGGCTTGGAGTGGTGAACACACAGCACCGTGTACAGACGACGTGTTCTGGAATTGTGCACCTAAAACTCGTGTCACCCCAATAAACTTCATAAAAAAGGGAAAGAGAGAGCCCTGGCCGGTTTGGTTCAGTGGATAGAGCATCAGCCTGAGGACTGAGAGATCCCGGGTTTGATTTCGGTCAAGGGTACATGCCTGGGTACATGCCCAGAATGGGGCGTGTAGGAGGCAGCTGATCAATGATTCTCTCTCATGACTGATGTTTCTATCTCTCTCCCTTCCTCTCCCTTCCTCTCTGAAATCAATTTATAAAACTAAAAGGGGAACAAAGAGGTCATGCATACACCATCTCCCTCGGACCCCCCTCGTCCCCAGGTGTCCGGGACCCACAGGACGCAGACTCCGCACTGGCCGGCTACCGGGAGGGGTTCTCTCCTCCCAGCTCAGTGGGGTGAGGGGAGTGGGGAGACAGGCGGGGACAGGCCAACACTCACGTCCAACCTCCAGCCGGATCTCCGCAGAGGCGGCGCCCAGCTCGTTGACGGCTCGGCAGGTGTAGACGCCGGCATCCCTCTCCCGCGCCACCGGGATCCGCAGCGTGCGGGAGCCGGAGTCCTCGGCGGCCAGGATCATCTCGAGGCCCTCTGGACCGGAGAGGAGAACGCATCAGGCAGGCCTGGCCGCACCCCAGCCTCTCCTGCCCCCCGGCTCCTGCCCCGCACAGGCCCCGGCGGGGGCGGGGGGGGGGGGGGGGGGGGGGGAGAAGGTTCCCCCGAAAGTCTGGGAACAGAGTTTGGGTTTTGCCAGAGGAAAAGAGTTGTGGTGACAGGGAGGAGGCGGTTGTAGGTTGGCGGATGATGCTGGAAATGTCCCTAATGTAAGGTCCCGCTTTTGGCGGGACAGTCTCGATTTTTAATAATTTGTCCCGCGGAGTTTTAAAAAAGTCCCGATTGGAAAGAATGCACGACAAGCTAGGGAATGGCAGGAGAGTGGGAAGGAAATATACGGTTTTCGGCGGCCATGTGGCTATGTAGCCAGGATATGAGTTTTATATTATTTTTGATAATTTTATAATGTTAAGCTTTAGTAATAACAGATAATTGTTGAGAACTGATTATCAAGAACTGCTTATCAAAGTTCGCATTGTTGGTCAGTTGTTAGAATTCACTCAAATGAGAAATATGCCAAAGAATAAAATAATACTATAGATAATTGTTTTTATTTATTATATTTGTAAATTTTACTTACGTTAAAATTTTAAAAATACATATTACTATTTTTGCGTTCTGTGAAATTTTTTGTTGCTCCATAGAGACCAAATTTTTAATCAAGAACCCTCCCCCCAACCCCCCCAATGGTGTCCCGATTTACCAATGTTAAAATCTGGTCACCTTATCTAATGCCACTGAACTGCACCTAACCACAGTGAAGACGGTGAACTATTTCTGTGCCTTTTACCAAATCACACCTTTAAAGTCAGCGCCACTCAGCCTGGCCCCCGAGCCCTCTGCTGAGCCTGAGTGAGGCCTGCCAGTCTCCCTCCGTGTAACAGGCTCTCCACCCAAACACGCCTGGCCTGGGCCTCCCTGCTGGGTCCCCACCCTCTGCCCCGGGACCGACTCTGGGAGGGGCCTGGTCGCCCCGGGATGATCACACAGCCCCGTGCCTGCCTCTCTGAGGCCGACCCCGGACATCCACCCAAGGCCCCCGTTATTTCTCCTCCGGGCTGCTGGCTGACAGACTCCCTGATTCTGATCCCCTTTAACGTGCAATTTTTCATTTGTGGTAAAACATACATCACACACGTTTTTGTAAGCATGTGTTGGAAGCTGCCCATTGTCTCACCAGCAGAGAGGTGTGGACTAGGAGCCGGAAATGCTGGTGAACCTGGAGCCCTGGCAAAGGTCAGAGCTCAAGACGGTGGCAGCTGAAGCAACTTCCCGACCAGACAGACACGCAAATCCTTACTGATAAGATAGTCTGCCTGTTACTGGAACTGCCTGTTACTGGAACTGCCTGCCTAAGGGCTGTAGGTGGATCCCAAACTGAATAAAAGGATGGCAAGGCCTGAGCCCAAGCGGAGTCCTTCCTCTTGCCTTAGACTTTTGCCTGGCCCCTCAATTTCCAAATGATTATTTCTTGTCTCATCGCTGTCATTTGCACACGGCCCTTCTCCAGAGCCTGAACCCTGAACCACGTGCGACATGAGTTCAGTGCCCAATCCGTGGCATCAATGCATTCCCAGCGCCGTGCTCCCATCACCACATCCACCCTCAGAGCTCCCTCATCTTCCCCAACGGAAACTGTGCCCATTGGACACGAATCCCCGCTCACCTCCCGCCCCCCGCGGCCACCATGCTATTTCCTGTTCCTACCGGTGAGCATGCTCTAGGGACCTGTGTCAGTGGAATCAGGTAACACAGTGTTTCCCAAACTTCTCTCACCATGAGGATCACCTGGTGGAGCTGTTAAACTACAGATTCCTGAATCCCCACTAAGAAGCGCTAAACTAGAATTTTGGGGAACACATAGGTAAAATTGTATACTTAACTAGTGCTCTAAGCTTAGATTTTACCTATATGTTTCCCAAAATTCTAGTTTAGCGCTTCTTAGTGGGGATTCGGGAATCTGTAGTTTAACAGCTCCACCAGGTGATCCTCATGGTGAGAGAAGTTTGGGAGACACTGCGTAATATGTGCCTCCGGTGCCTGGCTTATTTCACTGAGCATGATGTTTTCAAGGATCATCCGTGTTGTATCAGAATTTCATTCTCTTCTCTTTTCTTTGTCTTTTTCTGATTCTTTTTTTACAAATTAAAAAGGCTGTGGCAAAAAAAACACAGAACGTAAAATTCGCCATCTTCACCACGGTTATGTGTACACTTCCGTGGGGTTAAATACGCTCACGCGGTCACACACGTGGACTCCATTCCTTTTTAAGGGTAAACAGCACCCCCCTGAGAGAGTCCCTTCTAAAGAGGTTCCAGGGCGGGCAGGGAGGGCTCTCAGCAGGAACGCACAGGGACGCGGGCCCTGAGTCAGGGGTCCAGAGGCCCCTGCCACCCCGGCTGGTGCCCGGGGCCGGATGCTCAGAGCAGCTCCCGCACCCATGGGCAGTCTGAGTTAACGCCTGCCTTTCGGAAGGCCCCAGTGGCAGACAGGGCTGCAGAGGATGGGTGTGTCCAGGTGGGGGCGCCGCGGGGGCTCAGGCTGGGCCTGGAGAAGGAGCCCAGGGTCTGAGGCAGCAGCCCCGCCCCCCGCTGGTGAGTGCGCAGAACAGCTCCTGCCAAGCACCAGCACCGAGACATTCAGCACCGAGTGCACTGGCTTGTCCCGGACACTCGGCTTGTGTGGACTCATCTCGGGCTCACCGCCATCTGGGGTTTCCTCGTCTCCCAAGCAGGGAGCCACTCAGAGATGCCACGGCCCTCGCCCACGGCGCCCCGGGAGCCGGAACCAGACCGGCCCCTGACTCCTGACGCCCTGCCTTGTGGACTGTGGGTGGGGGGGTGGGGCTGCTGAACTGGTCGTTTCTCCCCAGACACCCCATCCGGAGTGCCCCCACCCCGTGGCTGTTCCCCCAGGCCCTCTCCCCACCCCACTTACCTCGATACCAGATGAGCCGGGGCGGCGGCACCCCGGACGCCTCGCACGCCAGCACGGCCTCCTGGCCTGCAGCGGCGAGCACCACGGCCTGGACGGCGGAGACCGAGGGCGGGTCTGCACGGGGGCAGATGGGAGACTTGGTACCAACTCCCTAGACTGAGAATGTGGCTTCCACAGCCTGCGGGGAGGGGCCGAGGGGGTGCGGGCACTCTGCCTCCTCCCCGCCCTCCTCACCCTCATCCCCCTTACCTCAGGGACAGGAACCTAGGGAATTTATCCACGGCTCATTTTTTGCACGCTCCCCACCCAGGGCCTGCAGTTAAAGCCACTCACTCCTGGACCAACCCCTCCCGTTCCTCACCGGACCTGCCAAACCTTACAAATGCCTCTGTGGGATGTCAGCCGCTCCCGGCCCCGAGCCCCCCACCCCCCACCCCACGCCAGCCTCCTGGTGGCCCTGGAGCACCCAGGACTCCTTCTGGCCTCAGAGTCCTCCCCCTCCGGGCCCTCTGCCTGCAATCCTGCCCCATCCCGCCCCTCACGGGGGCCTCAGCGGGTCCTGTGTGTGACAGGCACCCCCCACCACACCCCCTCCTGCCTGTCACCCATCACTCACCCCACCCTGCTCTACGCACCCTCCCCACCCAAAGTGCCTTCCATATCTGTTTTGTGCCTCCCCACCAGACAGGGACCTGTGTCACTGCTGTGTCCCCACTGCCTGGCACGTAGCAGCTGCTCAATAAGCATTTGTGGATGGGAGGGAGGGAGGGAGGAGGGAGGGAGGGAAGGAGAGAGGGAGGGAGGGAGGGAGGAGGGAAGGAGAGAAGGAGGAGGGAGGGAGTGGGGGAGGCAGGAAGGGAAGAAGGGAGGGAGGTCCCTCCCCCAGATGCCCGTGGCCCAGGTACCTGTGTGGTAGAGGGTGACGGTCTCCTGGTCGGTGCCAACCTCGTTAGCAGCCTGGCAGCTGTAATTCCCAGCATCCTCTGGAGCCAGTCCCTGAATGATGAGGGTTCCCTGGCCATCCACGTGGATTCTGGAGTCGCAGTCCACAGCAAAGGGCTGATCAGATTGGGTCCCTCCAGTCATCGTCAATAACAAATTCACTAGCGTCGCCAGGCACCATCACCCCGCACCGCTCTGCCGAGCTGTGCGCTCAGCGCTTCGCACGCATTATGAGGCTCAGAGAGGTTAGGTGATCTGCCCAAGGTCACACAGCCTGACGGGCAGAGGCAGGATCCAAGCACAGGTCCTCGGGGCTCTGTGGCTGTGGCCCCTGGCCCCGGAGCCCACCCTGAGGCATCGTCAGGTTTCCCAAGTGCCTGGGCTCCTGAGCCTCAGGTGAGCCCAGAAGGAAGGCAGGACAATGCTGCTCCCCGTTTAGGGGTAAGAGGGCTGAGGCTGGGACAGGTCCCTGAGGGTCCTGGTCCCCCCCGGTTCCCAGTCCCAGAGCCCCGGGCCCTGGGCCCCTCACCTGCTGTCCTCTCGCAGGGTGTGACCGTCACGGCTCCAGGAGATGTGGGGGGCAGGGAACCCAGAGGCCGAGCAGCTGACCCTCACCTCCACGCCCTGGGTGAGGCGCTGGGACCGGGTGTGGATGCGGACCTTCGGGGCCTCTGTGGTTCAGAGTGGGCAGGCAGGACAGAGGCTGTCAGAGCAGCCAGGCTGACCTGGCCCCCAGCCCCAGACCCCTGCCCTCTCACGGCCACGGCCACGGCCACGGCCACGGCCACGGCTACACCACCGTCAGCAGAGACACAGGAGGCAAAGGCCCTGAGTCCCCAGGAGTGGCCTCCCTGGGGACTGGGGCTGAGCAGGCAGCCAGCCAGGCACGTCCCCGGGGCACACGGGGGCTGCTTTCCCAGGCCCCCGAGGGCGCTGCCTGGAGTTCCCCTCTGAGCCGAGCACCTCGGGGAGGCGGAGGGGGATGCCTGGCCGATGCCAGGACTGGGAAGGCTCTCACCGCTGGTGACCCTGAGTGACCCCAGGCCTGCACACAGACGTCCAGGCTCCCCCGGGCCTCGCCTAGAAGTGGGGACACACCCCTCCCGTGCCGGTGGCCGGATGTGGCCTCAGAATCCTTCTCCACCCCCGGGGCCACGCAAGGGGCGCTGGCACCGGAGAGCACCCTTCTTAAGACACTTGCCCGCTTGGGGAAACAGCTCCTCAGGGGGGCGGCCGCCTGAGCCCTGGCAGCCTGAGGCCATGCCTGGGTCCTAAGACTCTCAGACAAGTGCTCTGCCAACCTTTCCCTCCGTCCCTGTCCGGACAGCGCTGCCCAGCCCTGACCTCTGGCTCAGCAGTTTCCAGTGTTCCATCCCCAGCCTGCATGTGGGGGCGGGGGAGGGGGAGGGGGGTTGGCACGGGAGGTGCTCAATGGCTCTGGAAAAGGCCAGCACACACGACATGGGCTTGGCCTACAGCAGTAGGAATTTAGGTTAGATAAGAGGACGAACTTCCCAGGAGTGAGCACCACTAGACAGAGGCTACGAGGCTCAGACTCCTTTCTCTGAAGGTTCAGAAAACAGGGGAAGGGTTGAGGTTGCCTGCCAGAGGCCATATGTGGGCACAGGGATGGATGGGTGGATGGATGGATGGATGGATGGAGGGATGGAGGGAGGGATGGAGGGAGGAATGGATGGATGGATGGATGGATGGATGGTTGGAGGGATGGAGGGAGGGATGAATAGATGAAAGGAGGGATGGAGGGAGGAATGGAGGGATGGAAGGATGGAGGGAGGGAGGAAGAGAGGAACGGAGAGATGGAGGGATGGATGGAGGGATGGAGGGATGGATGGAAGGATGGATGGAGGGATGGAAGAATGGAAGGATGGAGGGATGAAGGGAGGGAGGATGGGAAAGAGGGAGGGAAGGATGGGCTTTGGGGGTAAACCCTGGGTAGTGTGTGGACCTGGGAGGACAGCCGCGCAGGCAGAGCCTCACCTCGCACCAGGAGCCAGGCGGATGCCCTGGAGACCCCGTTGGCGTTGCTGGCAATGCACTGGTACCGCCCGCCATCGCTGGGGACGGTGGCGCTGACCTCCAGCGACAGGTCGTCCAGCTGCCTGACCCTGCCCGGGGCGGCCGGCAGGACTCGCCAGTCCCGCACCCACGTCAGGTTGTAGGGGGCGTCCCCCAGGACCCGGCAGGACAGGACAGCAGTCTCCCCTGGGGACACGGTCACGTTGGGCGCAGGGACCAGCTGAGGCGGAGGGTCTGCAGGGACACGAGCGTGGGGGTTCGCACGGCCGGTTCGGGGAGGACAGCGTGCTGGCCCCCGGGTGTTGCGACGCCAGACCCAGCACCGGGGCCCTCGGGAGACCTCGGCCAGCAGAGAGGTTAACCGGTGTCTGCCCACCATCGGGGACGGTGCCATCGGAGAGGGCGCATCCCCTGTCGCCATCCTGCACCCACCGGGGGCTGCGTGGCGTGTGCGCGCTCTGCTCCCGGCAGCCAGCCGCGTGTCTAACAAACGCTACACGGCTCCTCACGCGCTTTGAGCCAATGTTTGCACCCCTGGGGATAAAGCTTGGGTTTTAAAATAACCCTCAAGAGGGAAAGAGAACAAAGCCACGCTCCGTGCAAACCGCAGGGCTATTATTACACACAAACGTAGAAAGAAGGCCCTGCCCCGAGAGACAGGAGAGCAAAGAAAGCCGCTGTCTCGCCAAGAAAAAGCCACAGGAAGCGGCGAGATTAGAGACCCGCCACCCAGCGTGGGCCTGGGCCCCTGCAGGGGGAACACTGGGTCCACACCGGCCACGTGACGTCCGGGCAAGGGAGCCTCAGACCTCCGCAGCCGACAGGGGCAGACATGGGACACGGGGGCCCAGCTAGGAGTGTAGGAACTATTAACCAAGCACTGTGAACCGGGACTGCTTTGTTCTGGTTCAAGAAGGCACATTCCAGCCAAAACTGGTTTGGTTCAGTGGATAGAGCATCGGCCTGCGGACTGAAGGATCCCAGGTTCGATTCCAGTCAAGGGCATGTACCTTGGTTGTGGGCACATCCCCAGTGGGGGGCGGGTACAAGAGGCAACTGATCGATGATTCTCTCTCATCGATGTTTCTATCTCTCTATCCCTCTCTCTTCCTCTCTGTAAAAAATCAATTAAAAAATATGTTTTTAAAAAAGAAGAAGAAGGCGGCACATTCCAGCTCACCATGGGCCTGGGGGCTCACGGGAGATGCAGCCCATCCTCCCCAATCCGGGAACTGCCTGTTATCGTGGGAAGATGAGCAATCTTGTTGCAGAAACCAATCTTGTCGCCGCCCACCCTTGGAAGACCCTCAGCCTTTGCACACCCACAGGCCTGTGCAAATCTCCAGCCCCCATGACCCGTGAACTGCCCATTTGGCTACTTTCCCAGGTCCTCTCTGTCCCTCTCCCCAATATAAGCAGCCGCTGATGGTGGGGGCGGAGCAGACTACTGCGGATGGCCTGCGGCTCTCCGTGCTGCCGGCAGGACTGAAGAAACTCATAATGATTCCGCCTGTCTCCGCTGAACTGGCTCACGCAGTGACAGGCAGCTCAGACCCACTGATTGGTTCCAAGATGAAAACTGATATGAATTTCTCTTCAAGTAGTTCTACACCAATATATTATGCCAATGCACCCCGATATGCCAGCGTGCAGATCATGGCAGATCGGGGCACCTGTGTGTTGTGGGGGAGACCAGCAGTAGGTGCTGACTGCAGTGCATTAGACAGTGACAGGGCCTTGAAAGTCAAAAGCCCTGAGTGGTGTAGCCGAGAGGAGAGAAAGCAGATGTGGAAAACGGTAGCCACGGCGAAGTCTCAGTAACTGGTGGACCCGTTTCCCCATACTGTTCTGCTTCTCTTCACTCATCGTCATCTATAAAAAGCAAATTTCTGTTCATTCCCACACGTGCTCACGTGCCATATTGTCAGAGGGTAACAGCTCGGATTGCTGTAAGTCTGTACACAGAAGCATCCACCTTGTATGAAAACTGCTGTTTGAAGTTCCAACCCTGCTATTTGGCTTCTGTGGATCGAGCCTTCCCCAGACAAGGTCATCAGTGCTGGCGCCAGGCCAGGCCTCTGGTTGAGGTCTCAAGGCCCCAGGACTCACTGGCTCTTTAAGAACTTGCAAAGGGGCCGGAAACACTCCATATTGGGGAGACAAAGAGGGTAGTATCATATAAATAGGGAGAATTCCTGCATGTTGGGGCCCAGAATTTGAGATACATTTTCCTCTGGACCCGTGCATAATAAATGTTCTTCGGTTCTCTGTAACACTACTCTCCCGTTTTCGTTGGAATGCACGCACAGATAAAGGCCTGAAAGGAAGCAAGTCAACATGCCCCGGAGGAAGGGCGCTCTGGGTGGGAGCCAGGCCTGTCTCCCAGTCTTCCTCCCGGAAGCTGTGTGTAAGCTTTGGATGCAGAAAGCCCAGCTCTCCATGCTGTCTGGCTCCTTCTCTTCTCTTCCAGACAGCTGGGGTCCACTGTTTAAAAACTAAAGCCAGCCCTGGCCGGGCTGGTTCTGTGCAAAGAGCATCGGTCTGCAGACGGAAGGGTCCCGGGTTCAATTCCGGTCATGGCACATGCCCGGGGTAAGGGCTCAATCCCCAGGGAGGGGCGTGCAGGAGGCAGCCCATCAACGATTCTCTCTCAACACTGATGTTTCCATCTCCCTCCCTCTCCCTCCCTTGCTGAAATCAATGAATTTTTTTTTTTTTTAATAATTCAAGCCCTGACCGGTTTGGCTCAGTGAATAGAGCATCAGCCTGCGGACTGAAAGGTCCCAGGTTTGATTCTGGTCAAGGGCATGTACCTTGGTTGCGGGCACATCCCCAGTAGGGGTTGTGCAGAAGGCAGCGGATTAATGTTTCTCTCTCATTGATGTTTCTAACTTTCTATCCCTCTCCCTCTCTGTAAAAAATCAGTTTTATATATATATATATTTTTTTTAATTCAAAATAAATAAAACGAATTTCCTTTCAAAATGGCCGGTGGCATTTCCAACCTCCCTGTGCTC